ACCAACTAAAATTAGGTTCTCTAAACTCTGGCTGCCATAGTTTTACCGACCATCGGCCCGACTCAGGCCAGAGTCGGCCCGACCAACTAAAATTAGGTTCTCTAAACTTTGGCACCCATAGTCGGCCCAAACTTGGGTGGAAACAGTAACCAAAGTCGGCCCGACTTTGGCTGCCGACCTATTGGCAGCCATAGATGGGCCGACCTGCGCCCGACCTTCCAACTCTGGCGGCCGACCAAAATTCGCACCTGGGTAATTGAAATTTTGCGAAGAATTTTTGTAACTTTTGAAAATAATTGAATTTCTGTAATGATTTGTAACTTTTCCAAAATCCAATTTTTTATGGTATTTTTAACTGAATTTCTTCTATCAATCTAGTATTTATGAAAATTGTAAAAATGATTTATAAAATAATTTGTAAGTCATAATTTTATGATAGTTTTTGAAAAATTCAGTTATTTAAAAAGAAATTATTGTCAGAAATTGAAAAAATTGAAGGTTTTGTATTGAAATTCGAGGTAATTTTATAATTTACGAGGCAAAAAGGAAAAAAATTCAGAGTTTTCTCATGAATTTTAAAAATTCAATTTTTTCCAGTACTTTTAGTAAAAATCCCTGACTTTTCCCTGACTAATTTTACTTTCCCTGATTTCCCTGACCTGTGGCAACCCTGATTTTGTCTAAATAAAATTTTATTTTGTCCAAATAAAATTTGCATTTAAAACAAATAAATAACCTCTTTAGTTGGCTCTGAGGAAAATACGCTTTTATTATTAACTCAATTAAATTGTAATTATTTGGTTCAATAAATAAAATTTTTTTCTAGGTGTACTGAGTAGTATTTCTAATACAAGAAAAAATTTATGAATTTGTTGGAAACAAATCAATATTGTTTTGTGTGTATTTCCCATTGTTGTCCATTTTCAGATATTGATGCGATAACTAAGTGTGGAAAATCGTAAACAAAGTAGTAAATAATAGTAGCTTTTAATGGATGAGTTCGTGAAGCCTGTAAAATTCAAGTATTTTATTACAATTTTTGAAAATTAACTTTTAAAGAATCATAATTGGAAATTTTGGAAATTGTATTTGGAAAATATTTTCAGAATATTGTAACAACATGCAAAATATTTTTAATAATCGAAACATTAATAAAAATAATTAAGTAGTTAATAAAAATAAGATTTTTGCAAACTAGGAAAAAACATTTAACAAAATAAAATCTTGAAAAGCGTAAAAAATTTAAAAATAAAATCGTCGATATAATGAATGATAGAAAAAAAATCAAAAAAAAATCAGTGCAATTACGTTCTGTTACAGAAACCAAATACAACATTCACTCATCACATTTTCCTTTCGCAAAGTGTTATAACTAGTTTAGCAAGTTTTTAAAAGCATCATTAACGTCTACGACGATTGGAAAATAATTAACAAACTTTGGTTGAAAATTTTGAAAGAAAGAAAAAAAAAATGGAAAAATAGACATTTTCCTATTACAACAAATTTTTTTTTGACAAAATTGAGTGTATCTATAAAAATATTATTACTGATTATATAGGAAAGGCAATGACGTCGATTCTCAAGTGAGGCGAATAGTAGTATTAGTAGTAGTAGTAGTGGGTGAAAGCTGATTTGTAATCTGGCACAGTGATGCCATCTAGAAATTATTAAAGTCTTCTCCTGTAATGCAATCGAGTTACATATCAAGTATAGGTACATTGATTGTTTCTAAAAGAGAAAAAATAAAACATCTTAATATTTCACTCTCTTAACTCCAACAATCTCTTTTCTAGGTCAAAGCAATACTAAATTTAAACTATCACAAAACCACATTTAATGAGTGTGTACACTCCTAACGAGAAAACTTCCATAATTGTAGAAATTTAAACTTGAAAAAATGCATTTTTCCTACTTTTGCGAATTTTATTTCAAAATTCTATACTTAATAATAAATATAATTATTTATTATTACAGACGCTCAAAAAGTATAGTCAGAAAAATGTTTATGACAGGGTTGCCACGCTTTTCCTCATTTCAAATTTCTTGATTTTTTCCAGGTTTTCAAAACTACATTTATATTTTACCAAATTTTATTTTTAATTTTAATTTTTTTATTTTATTTTTAATTTTACCAAACTCCATGATTTCCAGACAAAATGACTTTTTTCTGTTCTATTACATTTATTTACGAATTTCTTTAATTGTAAAATTACTCGAAAACATCAATAACTTCGTTTTTAAATGAATATTTAATCAGTTTATTTTTCCATAGGAATTAAAATTCTTCAAAAGATTTAAATTCAATAACATATAATAATTAAAACTTGATACTATCATTATTTTATATTATAAAAATATTATTACTGTAATTTCTTCAAAATTATTTTCATTTCAATTCAATTCTTCATCATTTCTAGAATTTTAAACTAAAATTCTTCTTTAAATCAATTTTTTAAAATTATTTTTGAAGAAGTTCTTCTTTGAGAATTTTTAAATCCATTTATTTACAATTCAATTTTACCTAAATTTTGGATAATTTTGACATTCTTCAATTAAATAAATTAGAAATTAAAAACTTCAAATAATTAAAAAAACAATTTCATTAAACTTTTTGACAAAAATTAATTTTAAATTTCCTTAAAAATCTTTTCAAAAATTTAATTATTTTCATAGATAATAAAATAATTCGCAGGAATTCAATTATTCTCAAAAATATGAATAAAATTCTTCAAAATAATTCAATTATTTTTAAAATTTGACAAAATTCTTCACATGAATTCAATTATTTTCAAAATTGATAAAATTCTCAGCAAGAATTCAATTATTTTCAAAAATGATAAAATTCTTTGTGTAAATATTCAATTATTTTCAATATTAATTTTTACGTAATTTCGATTATTCTGAAATTCTTCAATTAAATATATATTAGAAAATAAAAACATGAAGAAATAAAGAAAAATTCAATTAAACTTTTTTATAAAATGAATTGTACAGAATTGTTAATCAAAAAGTACGAAAAGTTCAAATTTTCAAAGATTTTAATTTGAAACCTTTTCGAAATTCAATTATTTCTAAAAATTTACGCTATATTGCTTTCAATATTCAATACAAATCTAAAATTTTAACTGAAATTTATTTTTAAATTAGTTTTTATTAAAAAATTCTTCGAGAATTAAATTATTTAAATAGAAAAATAAATATTTTATTAAATAATTGAATGTTTCTTAAAATTGAATTTTCATAAAGAATTTTATCAAACAAATTTTTAAATAATTGAATTCTCTTGACAAATTTTAATAAAATTTTTAAGAATAATTTTATTTTTCGGAAATTTGATTAAAATTTGATTAAAAATAATTGAATTTCTCCAAAGAGAAAAGAGTTTTTAAAACTTTTTTTTTTATAAGAGCTTTTGAAAATAATTGAAATTTTGACAAGAATTTTATTAAAATTTTTCGGAAAATATTTGAATTTCGGAGAAAAATTTATAAAGATTATTGAAATTTTGCCGAGAATTTTATTAAAATTTTTCGGAAAATATTTTAATTCCGGAGAAAAATTTATAAAGATTATTGAAATTTTGACGAGAATTTTTGTAAATTGTTGAACACAATTAAATTTCTGCGAAGAATTATATTATTTTTTGAAAATAATTGAATTCTTGAGACGAATTTTATTAAAATGTCTTTTTAAATAATTGAATTCTTTTCTGAAATTTTATTGAAATAGTAGACATGGAAAATAATTGAATTTTCACAAATATTTGAAATTAATAAAATTTTTACAAAGAATTTTATTTAAATTATTTTGGAAAAAAATTGAATTATTACAAAGAATTACAATAAAATTTTTGAAAATAATTTAATTTTTTTGTAAGAAATTTAATTAAAACTTTATAGAAAATAATACTTAAATTTTAATAAATAAATTGTAGCAAAGGTTTTTAAAATAATTGAATTTCTTTGAGGAATTTTAATAAAATTTTTAAGAATAATTTCATTTTTCGACGAATTTCATTAAAATTGTATTAAAAATAATTAAAAGTCTGCGATGAGTTTTATTATTTATGAAAGTAATGAAATTTTAACGTAAAATTTTATTAAAATTTTTTTTAAAGTAATTGAATTCTTTTGGAAAATTTTATTAAAGTTAATAGATTTATTAAAAATCATTGAATTGATAAAAGTTTTTGAAAATAATTGAAATTTTGCCATGAATTTTATTAAAATTGTTGGAAATAATTGAATTTCTGCGAAGAATTTTACTACTTTTGAAAATAATTGAATTTCTGCAATCATTTGTAATTATGCTTCAAAATTCAATTTCTTTTAGTGTTTTTAATTAAAATATTTTTGAAGGTCGCTGGACTCTAAAATCAAAAATTTTCTCATGACTTCTAAAAATTTAATTAAAAAAATTTTTCAAATAACTAATTTTAAAGAATTTTAAACTTAAAATTATTTAAAATTTAAATAATTTTCTGAAATAATTATTGAAATATTACTTATTCTTCTACAATAATTCAAATTTTCAAATAAAAACCATCTAAAAATGAATTATTTTCAAAAATTAAAAAAAAATTTTTTTTCGCTGAATCAATTATTTTTAAATATTTTGAGAAATTTCTTTGAGTATTCAATTATTAAAAAAATTGCTGCTGTAACATCTCTAAAATTCAATTATTATGTAGAATTTTCATCAAAAGTTCTTCGCCAAATAAAATATTTTTGACAAATTAGAACAAACTTTTCAAGTATTCAATTATTAAAAACAAAATTTAATTTAGATATTATTCAATAATTGTTATCATATAATTATTACTTTTATAAATTTCTATTAAAAAATAAATAAAAATTTCCATTTGAATAATAACAAAGTAGAAAAGTACCCGAGTCCGAAATTTAGTAATTCACAAAGTAAATTATTCTAAAACTCAAAAACAAAACAGAAATATTTTTTAAATATAAATAAAAATTATTCCTTTTTTTTCTCCTGCTCAGCTATCAACGGTTTTAGTCGCTGGTGTCCAATGGAAACAATACCTGAACGTTTACCAATAACTCCCTGCAAAACGGATACAGACTGCAATGAGGGAAAAAGAATTTGTTGTCCTGATAAAAACGACGAAAAATTATATTGCCGAACAGCTGCACCAAATTGGAATGAGTTACCCTTTCAAAAAAGTCACGCAAGTATAACAAAAAATAATTTAAAAATAAAAACAAAATTCTCTAAAAATAAAAAAAAATAAATAAAAAAAAATTAAAATTAACTAAAAAATAAAAAAAAAATTATTTCACAGCTCTGAGAAATCTACTGGAATACATGCAGTGTCAAACTCCACCTGAGAATCTCCTCTTCTTCCTCTCTAAACCATGTAATCGAACAATTGATTGTCTACCAAATCTATGCTGTCAAGAGGGTTCGAAAAAATTCTGCAGACCGCCTAAAAAATCACTAATCACACTGGCGGCTCAAGCAACAAACGTAATCATCAAAACATACCAATTATCCACTTTTTTCGTTAATTAATTAATAATTAATTAAAAATTTACTGCTCTTAGAAATTTACACGAGGTTGAGGAGATAAGGATAACAATCAAAATTGTCAATAACGGAAGAAAAGTGAATTTTTTTTTTGCCATTTTTACTGATTTCCTGCAATATACAGACGATGCACTCTTAGCATAATTTTCGCGTATTTATATTATGTAGAAATAAATTTAAAAAACAAAATTGACTGTTGATAAGAATGTAGAATTGTATATAATAAAAAATCAGCACAGCATTTTTGTTCTGCCTTTTAGTCCAACTGGAAAATAACAATGAAAAAATATTTTCAGAACAGAAGAAAAGTTTGTTCTTTATTTATTTTCTAACTTAAGCTAGATATTTTTTAACGAAAAGAAAATTATTTTTTAACTAATAAGTTCTATTTTTGTTAAATATTTAATTGATATTCGATTTTAAATTTTCAATTCGGTATTGAAATTTTGAATTTAAATTCCGTATTGAAACATTGAATTTAAATTCCAAATTTAAATTTTGAATTTGAATTGCGTATTCAAATATTAAATTTAAATTCGCTATTAAAATATTGAATTCAAATTCCGTATTCAAATGTTGAATTTAAATTCGGTATTAAAATATTGAATTTAAATTCGATATTCAAATATTGAATTTAAAATCCGTATTCAGGCCTCGGATCGACATTAAGGTGCAAAAAAAAGTCACTTTAGTCGTTTTAAAATAGAAAAAAAGTCGAAAAAGTCGTTTATTTAATTCAGTGTCGTCACAAAAATTTTATTTTGTATTTTTCTGATCTTTCACTGTTTTCTAAATTTAATTATTCAAAACTTGAACAATTTCGTTAAATAAATATTTAAATACTTCTTATTTCTTTTTTCACAGGAAATAAAATTTAAAAAATTTATATTCCAAAACCTTCTAAAATTTAATAACTTCTAAAAATTACAACTTTAATTCTCTTAAAATTCAATTATTTTCTACAATTTTTAATCAAACTTCCTCTCGAAATCAATTATTTTTAAAAATTTTCCGAAAGTTCTTAGCGAATTCATTTATTTAAATACAAAAATTCAGTTTTTTATAATAAAGAAATTCCTAAAATTAATTTTTCAAAAAATATTTTAAAAACAATTTATGAAAGATAATAGTTTTTTAATTATATACAATTGAAGAATTTCCAAAACAATTGAAATTTAGTAAATTATATTAAAAAAATAATTGAATTTTTAAAGAATTTTAATTATTAATGTAGGGTAGAGTGGGGTAAAAAAGCCACATTTTTACTTTTGATGCTGTAAAATCTGTATTTAAAATTTTTTTCACAAATTTCCAATTGTTATTGAAAGTTTAGTTATTAAGCTTAAAAATTCTTGACGGAAATATTTTTTATCTCATGAAAGGACTAAGTTATAAGAGTTTTACGAAAGCACTGTAAGTGGCTTTTTTGCACCACCTGGTGGGGTGAAAAAGCCACCCTACGATTTTAGCAAAACATGTTATCAATTTAGGTATTTTTATAGTTTTCCTTTATTTATATGACAAATAGTCTTATTTGAAAAATATTTTAATAATTATGAAAGAGTTTTTAGCAAGCAAAATTGAAAATTATATTAAGTTTACCTGTTTTCGATTTGCACTGCCAATTTTTCGTACCTTTTTTAGAAGTTCTCTTTAAGTTTCACCACTGATAAAATATTTCGTTGCAACCGTTTATTCATTGTTTATTTTTTTAATGCACTTTGCACTACTTTTTGTCGTGTTTAATTAATTTTATTAAATAAACACGAGAAATTTTGTAAAATAAGAAGGTTAGTTTAAATAGAAAACAAGTGAATTTCACAAAATATTCAATAGATTTTTTGCCCTGGCTTTTTTACACCCAAGACCAGTTATTAAAAAAGCAAAAATAAATTTTTAATTCAGTTCAATTTCCAAAAATTAACATTGTATACGTTTTCGGTATACTTTTCTCCTTATGCACAAATATTTACTTTTATTATTCGTTCACTTAATCAGATTGTAATATGTTTGAAAAGTTCGCCAAAATGTTTTCAAAAAAGCAACAAAAAATTAAAATTACAATAAAAACAATATTAATTTAGGTACAACATTCAAACTGGATTCAAAAGTTGCGTATTACCTAATAGTATTTATATTCTAAACAGCTGATAAATCGGCTTAATAGTTTTTAAATAAAACTCAAATGGCTTTTTTACACCATGGCTTTTTTACCCCACTCTACCCTAAGCATGATTTCTCTAAAATTTTAATAAATCTAAAATAATAAATTTTTAAAAAATTTTAATTTACTTTGTTTGAAATTAATTCAATCTTAAAAAGATAAAAAAATTACAAGAAAAAATTTTTTTTTAAATATTGTAATTTAATTTTTCGAAAAGAATTGAATTTTTTAAAAGAATTTTTGTATAATTTACACTTGAAGATTTTTCATTAAAATTTTTGAGAAACAAATTATTTTCAAAATTTGCAATTAAAATTCTTTAAAAGTTGATTTTCAAAAATTTTTCGTAAAACACTTTGAAAAAAATCAATTATTTTCAATTAAATTTTACAAAATTTCAATTATTGAAACTGATTTTAATTGTAAATTTTCAAAATTTATTTAGTTTTTATAAAAATAGTTGAATTGCTTCAAAGAAATTATTTAAATTTTAGGAAATAATTGAATTCTTCCAAGAAATTCAATTAAAGTTTTTTTTTTGGAAATAATTGAATTCCTGCAAAGAATTTTACAATTTATAAAAATAATTGAATTCTTTTTAAGAATTTTACTATTTATAGAAAATAATTAAATAGTTTCGAAGGATTTATTAAGGTTTTAGGAAATAATTGAATTTATTCGAAATATATTAAAATTTTTTTAAAATTGAATTCTTCCGAGGAATTTAATTTAAATTATTATCACAAAATTTACAATTAAATTTCTTCTAAAGTTGATTTTCAAAAATTTTTATAAAACACTTTGAAAAAAATCAATTATTTTCAATTAAATTTTACAAAATTTCAATTAATGAAACTCTTTTAAATTGTAAATTTTGAAAATTTATTTAGTATTTTATAAAAATATAGTTGAATTGCTTCGAAGAAATTATTAAAATTTTAGGAAATAATTGAATTTTATGGAAAAATTGAATTGAATTCTTCCGAGAAATTCAATTAAAGATGTTTTGAAAATAATTAAATTCCTGCAAAGAATTTTACTATTTATAGAAATAATTGAATTCTTGAGAAGAATTTTATTACTTATGAAAATAATTGAATTATTTGGAAGGATTTATTAAGATTTTAGAAAATAATTGAATTTATTTGAAATATATTAAAAATGTTTTTTAAAATTGAATTCTTCCGAGGAATTCAATTAGAACTGAATTCAGTTTTAATTACTTTTAAAATTTGCAAGTACAATTCTTCAAAAGTTAATTTCCATAAATTTTTATAAAACACATTGAAAAAAATCAATTATGTATTTTCAATTAAATTTTACAAAATTCCAATTATTAAAAATCTTTTTAATTGTAAATTTCGAAAATTTAATTAGAAAAATTATTAATAAGTTACATTTTATACTAAAAATTATTGCAAAATTTGGAAGAAAAGTGGACAAAGTCGTAATTTTTTAAAATAAGTCGAAAAAAGTCGCATTTTTTGAAAACAGTCGAAAAAGTTATAATATCCGAGGCCTGAGTATTCAAATATTGAATTTAAATTCTATATTTAATTTTTGAATTTATTTTTATTTTAGTAATTAAAAATATACGTAATAATTAATTTGTATTAAAATTTTTATTTTCCAAATTCTGAATCAATTTATTGAATTCTTGACTCAATATTTCAAGAATAGATTTATTTACTTTTAGGTTAAATTTAATTAAAGAAAGACGCAATTAAATTCTACGTCTTATTTATAACAGAATTTAAAATTAAAGTACGACAAATAAAATATTTTTAAATTTCAAAAATTGTATTAATTTGAAAAATTTTACCTTTTTGAATCCAATGTCGGCAGCGTATTCTCTGAAGCACTGTCTGCAGATGTTTAATCCATATTTGCGAATCAAACCATGCCTATTTGCACAAGCTCGGCTATTTAAAAGAAAACGTTTGTTTTTCAATCTATTCCATAAGTTACAATGTTAATTCAAGTTATATTATAAATAAATAAATATATATATTACATATTTACTACAAATTATATATATTGTCAATAAAATATTATTTATAAAATTGCATTTACATTTTTCCCCCCCGACAAAATCACATGTGAGTATAGATGTAACGCGTCGTTTATAGGTTATGTTTCCAAGCCTCAAAATTAAATCAATTCAAACGTCAAAATTCAACGAAATTAAACATATTCTCTAATTTAAAAAAACTCCCTCTAAACTACAGTGAGAAGAAATCAACCAAATTCTTGAAAATTAACTCAATAATTCCCGTTCAATAGTCAAAATAATGACAACACGCGGTGAACACGAGGAAACAAATTTTCGCCTTCTCGGCATAGGAAGACTATTTATAAGCAAAAATATATTAATAAACTCACCAGGAACGTGATCCTTGACCATATTTTCGTGGATGCGAATACCAAATATTTTGGAAACCCATTTTTTTCAAGCAAAAATTATCCTTCGCTTTGCTTACGGGAATAAGTCAGCAGACGTAAAGAACCGGAACTCAACTGCGCATTGTGACAGGCGGAAGTAATTTCACAAAAATCCACCAGAGAGCGCAATGAATTTTTAAATATTCCCATATTATTCGTAACCCAATTAAAAATTTTCAAACAAAAATAAATGGAAAATTAATAAAGTAAATTAGAAGTTTTTTTAGGGGTTAAAAGATATTTTCGTTTATATAAAAATTAATGACCGTAACTTTAAAATTTTTATTTCAAATAGGGAGGGGAGAGTGGTTTCGCGCATTCCTTCTGCGCAAGGAAGTGTTGAGTTTAAAAATGGCGCGAAAATTTAAATGTATTCTCTTAAATTTGAAAAATATGTCACATTTTCCGGTCGTATGAAATCTCCCAAAAATCAAATCGATCGAATATCCATTACATCGAATTTCAAAACATCGAATGCTCAATACATCGAATTTTCAAAACATCGAATGCTCAATATATCGAATTTTCAAAACGTCGATTGCTCAACACATCGAATTTTCAAAACTTCGAATGTTCATTAGATCGAATTTTTAAAACATCGAATGTTAAATTGATCGAATTTTTAAAACATCGAATGTTAAATTGATCGAATTTTCAAAACTTCGAATGCACATTACATCGAATTTTTAAAACGTCGAATGCTCATTTCATCGAATTTTCAAATCTTCGAATGTTCATTTGATCGAATTTTCAAATCTTCGAATGTTCATTTGATCGAATTTTCAAAACGTCGAATGCTCATTAGATCGAATTTTCAAAACTTTGAATGCTCATTTCATCGAATTTTCAAATCTTCGAATGTTCATTTGTTCGAATTTTCAAAACTTCGAATGCTCATTACATCGAATTTTCAAAACTTCGAATGTTAATTTGATAAAATTTTTAAAACTTCGAATGTTAATTTGATCGAATTTTTAAAACTTCGAATGTTCATTTTATCGAAGAGAATTTAACATCTGAGTTTACTATCTATGTAATATGTTCTTTCTAGGGAATTTTGAAAGTGCGCGAGATTTGAAATCGTTATGGTAAGTGACAATTTTTTTTATTGAGTAAAATTTTTTTGTTTGTTTACTAATTACTTGTCAGTAAATGTTTATTTTTTTGTTATATAAGTATCACTATTATTATGATTATTTTAATTTATATTATAGTTTTTATTATAAGGTAATTAAATTAAATTGTGGTTATCTATTACAATCATAGATGGCTCTAGTAATATGAATATGTGTTTTACAAATTTTTATAAATATTAATTTATTTATAGTATAATTATTAATATTGTTATTCTTATTATTGTGTAATTGTGAATTTATTATGTATATTTAATGTAATATTGATTTATTTAGAAGTCAGTAAGATGATCGTTAAAAAAAAGTAGTGAATATTTCTTATTTGTCTAAATATTTCGCTTCTAAATGAAGAGTTCAAGTTTCTTTTATCTATTTATAATGAATGATTGAATGAATGAATGAATGAATGAATAAATGAATGAATGAATGAATTAATTAATTAATTAATTAATTAATGTGCATAAATTAAAATTATTTTCAAATTAAATAAAATATTGTGTATTGTTATTATTTTGTTATTTCTTTATATAGTGAATATTAAATTGCATTACTCTCTACTTTAAATAAGAAATAGATTCTATATGTAAGTAATACTTAAATTTTTATTGTAAATAAATAACAAGATTCCTACAGAAATCCGAAATTAAAATTCCATACCTTTTCCATGATTTATAGGTCAAACTTTTACGACATTCCAGTGCAATTTTAAATATAATTTCATTACTTTTGGGCTCTTCGAAAATAGTTTACTTATTGAATAGCCTCGACTCTTTGATAAAAAATTTAAAATTGTCTAATATTATCAAAAATTCAAATATCCGAATTGCTTAAAATTCAACATTTTTTCCTCTTTTTTTATGGGATTTAGCTTCATTATTTTTGGGCTCTTCGAAAACAGTTTACTTATTAAATAGTCTTGACTTATTATTATTATTATTATTATTGTTATTATAAATTCGAAATAAAATCACATTTTATATTAAACAAAATTATATTTTTATTTATAATTGTAGAACTACATACATTTTATTTTATAATCGTGAATAAATCTTTGAAACATTAAAAGTTGTTATACTTTTTTTATAAAATTTACATTACTATAAAAGTTTAGTGTGAGTGACTGAAGAAAACGGTGATTTTTAGGAATTTTTTTCAGGGAAATTATTGCATCTAATTTTTTATACAGTTTTGTACATGTATACATATTTCCCCAGTACCACGTAATATTACAGCGATATTGGGAACATTGCCTTAACATTACCAATATTGCCTCAATGTTGTGGCATATTGCTGGGATGTTTCCAATATTACGTGCTACTTGGGTTGTATAAATAGTCAACATTTTGTAATTTTTTCAAAGAAAAATATTCTTTTTTAATTAAGAGTTATTCGCTATATAAAAAAAATCCAGTTTTCCCACTGCGCTGCAGTGATTGCGGCCTTCTCAGTAACCTAAATAAAAAAAACCAAAAAGATTATTAAACTAGAAGATATTTGCCGTACAATGAGGTTTCAGTTTTTTTAATGCATGAAAAATAAAATTTTAAAATAAAAGTAAAATAAAATCCGAACCATCGGATTTTTTTTGGCGAAAATGAAAAGCTTTTTCAAAACTCCACCATTTTGTTGCAATTCAATATTTTTTGACATCCAAGAGTCATTGTACGGCAAATATCTTCTAGTTTAATAATCTTTTTGGTTTTTTTTATTTAGGTTACTGAGAAGGCCGCAATCACTGCAGCGCAGTGGGAAAACTGGATTTTTTTTTATATAGCGAATAACTCTTAATTAAAAAAGAATATTTTTCTTTGAAAAAATTACAAAATGTTGACTATTTATACAACCCAAGTAGCACGTAATATTTGAAACATCCCAGCAATATGCCACAACATTGAGGCAATATTGGTAATGTTAAGGCAATGTTCCCAATATCGCTGTAATATTACGTGGTACTGGGGAAATATGTATACATGTACAAAACTGTATAAAAAATTAGATGCAATAATTTCCCTGAAAAAAATTCCTAAAAATCACCGTTTTCTTCAGTCACTCACACTAAACTTTTATAGTAATGTAAATTTTATAAAAAAAGTATAACAACTTTTAATGTTTCAAAGATTTATTCACGATTATAAAATAAAATGTATGTAGTTCTACAATTATAAATAAAAATATAATTTTGTTTAATATAAAATGTGATTTTATTTCGAATTTATAATAACAATAATAATAATAATAATAATAATAATAATAATAATAATAATAATAATAATAATAATAATAATAATAAGTCAAGACTATTTAATAAGTAAACTGTTTTCGAAGAGCCCAAAAATAATGAAGCTAAATCCCATAAAAAAAGAGGAAAAAATGTTGAATTTTAAGCAATTCGGATATTTGAATTTTTGATAATATTAGACAATTTTAAATTTTTTATCAAAGAGTCGAGGCTATTCAATAAGTAAACTATTTTCGAAGAGCCCAAAAGTAATGAAATTATATTTAAAATTGCACTGGAATGTCGTAAAAGTTTGACCTATAAATCATGGAAAAGGTATGGAATTTTAATTTCGGATTTCTGTAGGAATCTTGTTATTTATTTACAATAAAAATTTAAGTATTACTTACATATAGAATCTATTTCTTATTTAAAGTAGAGAGTAATGCAATTTAATATTCACTATATAAAGAAATAACAAAATAATAACAATACACAATATTTTATTTAATTTGAAAATAATTTTAATTTATGCACATTAATTAATTAATTAATTAATTCATTCATTCATTCATTCATTTATTCATTCATTCATTCATTCATTCAATCATTCATTATAAATAGATAAAAGAAACTTGAACTCTTCATTTAGAAGCGAAATATTTAGACAAATAAGAAATATTCACTACTTTTTTTAACGATCATCTTACTGACTTCTAAATAAATCAATATTACATTAAATATACATAATAAATTCACAATTACACAATAATAAGAATAACAATATTAATAATTATACTATAAATAAATTAATATTTATAAAAATTTGTAAAACACATATTCATATTACTAGAGCCATCTATGATTGTAATAGATAACCACAATTTAATTTAATTACCTTATAATAAAAACTATAATATAAATTAAAATAATCATAATAATAGTGATACTTATATAACAAAAAAATAAACATTTACTGACAAGTAATTAGTAAACAAACAAAAAAATTTTACTCAATAAAAAAAATTGTCACTTACCATAACGATTTCAAATCTCGCGCACTTTCAAAATTCCCTAGAAAGAACATATTACATAGATAGTAAACTCAGATGTTAAATTCTCTTCGATAAAATGAACATTCGAAGTTTTAAAAATTCGATCAAATTAACATTCGAAGTTTTAAAAATTTTATCAAATTAACATTCGAAGTTTTGAAAATTCGATGTAATGAGCATTCGAAGTTTTGAAAATTCGAACAAATGAACATTCGAAGATTTGAAAATTCGATGAAATGAGCATTCGAAGTTTTGAAAATTCGATCTAATGAGCATTCGACGTTTTGAAAATTCGATCAAATAAACATTCGAAGATTTGAAAATTCGATCAAATGAACATTCGAAGATTTGAAAATTCGATGAAATGAGCTTTCGACGTTTTAAAAATTCGATCAAATTAACATTCGAAGTTTTAAAAATTCGATCAAATTAACATTCGACGTTTTGAATATTCGACGAAATACGCATTCGATGTTTTGAAAATTCGATCTAATGAGCATTCGAAGTTTTGAAAATTCGATGTAATGAGCATTCGATGTTTTGAAAAATCGATAAAATGAGCATTCGAAGTTTTGAAAATTCGATCTAATGAGAATTCGAAGTTTTGAAAATTCGATCTAATGAGCATTCGAAGTTTTGGAAATTCGATGAAATGAGCATTCGAAGTTTTGAAAATTCGATGACATGAACATTCTACTTTTTAAAAATTCGATCTAATTAACATTCGATGTTTTAAAAATTCGATGAAATAAGCATTCGAAGTTTTGGAAATTCGATGAAATGAGCATTCGAAGTTCTGGAAATTCGATGAAATGAGCATTTGACGTTTTGAAAATTCGATGAAATAAGCATTCGAAGTTCTGAAAATTCGATCTAATGAGCATTCGACGTTTTGAAAATTCGATGAAATGAGCATTCGATGTTTTGAAAATTCGATGTAATAAGCATTCGAAGTTTTGAAAATTCGATCAAATCAACATTCGAAGTTTTGAAAATTCGATGAAATGAGCATTCGACGTTTTAAAAATTCGATGTAATGTGCATTCGAAGTTTTGAAAATTCGATCAATTTAACATTCGATGTTTTAAAAATTCGATCAATTTAACATTCGATGTTTTAAAAATTCGATCTAATGAACATTCGAAGTTTTGAAAATTCGATGTGTTGAGCATTCGAAGTTTTGAAAATTCGATGTAATGAGCATTCGATGTTTTGAAAAATCGATAAAATGAGCATTCGAAGTTTTGAAAATTCGATCTAATGAGAATTCGAAGTTTTGAAAATTCGATGTAATGAGCATTCGAAGTTTTGGAAATTCGATGAAATGAGCATTCGAAGTTTTGAAAATTCGATGACATGAACATTCTACTTTTTAAAAATTCGATCTAATTAACATTCGATGTTTTAAAAATTCGATGAAATAAGCATTCGAAGTTTTGGAAATTCGATGAAATGAGCATTCGAAGTTCTGGAAATTCGATGAAATGAGCATTCGACGTTTTGAAAATTCGATGAAATAAGCATTCGAAGTTTTGAAAATTCGATCTAATGAGCATTCGAAGTTTTGAAAATTCGATCAATTTAACATTCGAAGTTTTAAAAATTCGATCTAATGAACATTCGAAGTTTTGAAAATTCGATGAAATAAGCATTCGACGTTTTGAAAATTCAATCAAATGAACATTCGAAGATTTGAAAATTCGATCAAATGAACATTCGAAGATTTGAAAATTCGATGAAATGAGCATTCGACGTTTTAAAAATTCGATGTAATGTGCATTCGAAGTTTTGAAAATTCGATCAATTTAACATTCGATGTTTTAAAAATTCGATCAATTTAACATTCGATGTTTTAAAAATTCGATCTAATGAACATTCGAAGTTTTGAAAATTCGATGTGTTGAGCAATCGACGTTTTGAAAATTCGATATATTGAGCATTCGATGTTTTGAAAATTCGATGTATTGAGCATTCGATGTTTTGAAATTCGATGTGATGGATATTCGATCGATTTGATTTTTGGGAGATTTCATACGACCGACATTTTCGCACACATTACTCAATAGTCAATAGTGGAAATTCGATTATAATATAGATTCGTAATTATTTGAAATTTACACTACAGGATAACGAGTTAATTAAGCAAAAACGAAGGCATTTTCAATTTCAGAAACAAGGTCACAAGGTCAGGTTGGTTCGTTTAGTTAAAGTTAGGTTAGGTTACGTTTAAATCACGCGTTTAGGAATATAAATAAAGGAATTAAAAGAAATTAAATTCAAAAAATGTTTAAACAAAGTTTAAGACTTATCACTCCAGGTAGTTTAAATGTATTTTCCGGTAAGTAAATAAACTATTTTTAACAATTACCGGGTAGTATTGTAAATAATAAACGCCTGTGAAAATAAGTCCTAACCTCAAACAACAAGAAGTTTAAAATTTATTTATCATTAAAATTATTATAAATATATTAATTAATTAACAATAAAGTTAACATTATATTTCATTATACTGTCAACTGATGGTCTAATTAAATTATAAAAGTGTTTTTTTACTATACTGTAGTGTTATTTCAATTTTGTCTCAACAAACAAAAATGGACAGGAGTTTAATTCACTCAACAACAAAAAATTAAAATAGATTTAATTTTTTTTCAGTTAGTCCTAGACACGAAACTTATTGTACAATATCAAGTGAATCGACGAAAAAATGGGATTTATTGAGTGCAGTTTGTTTAGAACGACATCCAATTATTACAAGACCATTGAACAAAATAGAAAGGGAATTTCAAGAATGTATCTCCGAAATAGAATTCGAAAACAGTTTTAAATCAAATCACGAATTGAGAATTGAAAAAGAGAATAGAGAGAAAAAAACAGCAACAATAGTGATAGATGAAAATGAAGATGCTAAATTTAAAATGCAATCTGTAGGGGAATATGAAGATGCTTGTCAATTGGAGTTGGAATCATTTAAATTAGCTCCAAGAACTACAGGTGAATTTAATTTTAATTTAATTAATTTTTAATTCTTGCAAAGTATTTATCAAATAATTAGAAAATAATTTAATTCATTTCCAAGCACTTTATCAAAATTATTAAAAAATAATTGAATTCTTTCGAGAAAATTAAATTATTGAAAATAATTTAATTCTTGGAAAGAATATTATTATTTTTATGAAAAAAATCGAGCTCTTCGAAAGAATTTTATTAAAATTTATGAAAACAATTTAATTCGCGGCAAGAATTTTTTGATAATTCTTGAAAATAATTTAATTCTTGGCAAGATTTTAAATAAAATTCTTTAAAATAATTTAATTGTTTTAAAGAATTTATTTGAATTTTTTTGAAAATAATTTTTTTTTAATATGTAATGTTCATTAAAAATGTTGAGAGTAATTGAAATCAACAAAGAATTTTATCAAAAACCTTTGCGAATAATTGAATTTTTTAGAAAAATTTTATTACAATTTTTAATAATAATTAAATCCGTCAGAGAAATTTTATAAAAATTGTATTGAAAATAATTCAATTCCTCCGAAACATTTTATTATTTATGAAAATAATTAAATTCTTGCGAAGAATTTTATTATTTCTAAAAATAATTAAATTCTTGCAAAGAATTTTATCAAAATTTTTGAAAATAATTACATTTTTTGATAGAATTTTATTTAAAAAATTTATTCTAACGTTTAAAAATAATTATTCTTTTTTTTAAGGAATTTTATCAAAATTGTTGAAAATAAAATTGAATTCTTTCGAGAAAATTAAATTAAAATTGTTTTGAAAATAATTGAATTCTCCCAATGAATTTTATTACTTATGAAAAAAATATAATTCTTCCAAAGACTGTTATTAAAATTTTTGAAAATAATTCAATTCGTAGCAAGAATTTTTTGAAAATTTTTGAAAATAATTTAACTCTTGGCAAGAATTATATAAAAATTCTTTAAAATAATTGAATTGTTTTAAAGAATTTATTTGAATTTTTTTAAAAATAATAATGTAATTTTTTAAAAATAATTTTAATTGAAAATTTTGTAAAAAATTGTATTCTACAAAGAATTTTATCAAAAACTTTTGCGAATAATTGAAATTTTTTTGAAAAATTTTGTTACAAATTTTAAAAATAATTGAGTCCGTTAGAAATATTTTATTAAAATTGTATTGAAAATGGATTCTTGAGAAGAATTTTAATATTTATAAAAATAATAATTAAATCCTTACGAAGAATTTTATCAGAATTGTGGAAAATAATTGAATTTAAATAATATTTTTAAAAATAATTGCATTCTTTCAAGAAACTTTTTTCCAATTTTTTAAAAAAATAATTGATTTGTTTTTAAGAATTTATTTCAATTTTCTTGGAAGTAAAAATGTTCTTTTTTTAACAATTTTTACCGAAAGTTTTAAAAATAATTGAATTTTGAGTAGAATTTCTTATGAGTTATTAAAATTATCTTGAACACAATAGAATTTTTTCCTAAAAATTTTATTAAAATTGTAATGAAAATAATTTAATTTATCAAAAGAATTTTAATATTTACAAAAATAACTGAATTCTTGCCAAGAAAGAAAAACAAATTCATAAATATAATTGAATTGTTTCGAAGAATTTTTTATCAGAATTGTTGAAAATAATTGAATTTGTATTAAAACTCTTGAAAATAATTCAATTTCGTAAAAACAATGTAATTTTTAAAAATAATTTTAATTGAAAATTTTGAAAATAATTGAAATTTACAAAGAATTTTATTAAAAACTTTTGAGAACAATTGAATTGTTTAGAAAAATGTTATTACAATTTTTTTAAAATAATTGAACCTGTTAGAGAAATTTTATTAAAATTATCTTGAACATAATTGAATTTTTTTCTAGAAATTTTATTAAAATTGTATTGAAAATAATTGAATTTTTCAAAACAATTTTTTTTATTTAGGTACAAAAATAATTGAATTCTTGACAAGAATTTGACAATTTATAAAAATAATTGAATTGTTTCGAAGAATTTTATATTAGAATTTGTTTGAAAACAATTGAATTTAAATAATATTTTTAAAAATAATAGTATTCTTTGGAGAAATTTGATTAAAATTATATTTATAATATATTTTACTATTTATAAAAATAAATGAATTCTTCCAAAGAATTTTATTATTTATGAGAATTGAATTATTTCGAAGAATTTAATAACAATTTGCGAAAATAATTTAATGTTTTGAAAGAATTTTATTAAAAATTTTGAAAATATTTTAATTCAATCAAAAAATTGTATTAAAACTTGAAAAAATAATTATTTTTTTTTTAAAAATGTTGTATAAACTGTGAAAAATAATTGAATTCTTCCGAAGAAATTTATTATTAATTAAAATAATTGAATTCTATTAATATTTTTTCATGATATTTCCTTACAGAAGCAGACGAGAAAAATTTGACGAATACTTTTAAGCGGAAATTGGACAAATCATTGTTATTCATAACCGAGCAAAAATTGGGAAATAATCTTCTGTGGCAACCGCCACAAGGAATTAGAAACGACGGAGAAACTATGAGACAGGTTATTTGAAACAAATTGATTTTATATTTATCAAAATTAATTTTGAAAACTAAGAAAAACTGAAAATTAATTTTTAATTAATTAATTAATTAATAAAATTAATTTAATTTAAAGTTTTAATTAATTACTTTTACTAATTTTAGGCGGCCGAAAGAGTATTGCGTGACACCTGCGGACCTGAATTGACAGTTCAATTTTATGGAAATGCTCCCGTTGGTTATTATAAATATTTATATCCAAAAGCGGTGCGAACGGAAAAAGCCGATGGAGCAAAAGTATTTTTCTACTTAGCCAAATATATAAAAGGAAATGTTTCCGATAAAGTGAAACATCAATGGCTCGATAGAACTGAGCTTACTAAAGTGTTAGAAAAACCTACACGAAAGGCATTATTTCAATTTTTACTTCCCGATTAAATGGATTAGTATTTTTTTTAGACAAGATAACGCCAAGAGTGCAAACCTTTTAAATTTTTTCTAATAATGTAAATATTACGATGAAGAATATTAATTTATAGCACTTGATTTGAAGTCAATTCACGAAACTAATTTAAATTTTATAGAGTATAAAATTAAATTATTCGCGAACTGAGGTATTTTTGATTCCTTTTTTTTTATTACGAGTAAAATGGTCCTTTTTTTTCTTTTTAAAGAGGCACTTTATATTCCTTCGAGCTATGTACAGTGTGAAAAATATAGTGTTGATAATATATTTAGTATTTTTCATCAGAAACGATCACCACGATAACGTCCAGTATATTTTGTATTTGTTCGAACTTCTCTGCCCTGTCGCTTTCGACGTTCTTTCTTCTCCAAAATCCAGTCCCGACTCTTTTTTAGTGGCTTTCCTTTCACTCTCTTCATCTTTTCTCTGTGTTAACATAAAAAAGAAAGAAAAATGAGAAGAATTGAAAATAGAAAGATAAAAGTTATCGATTCTTTTTCATTTGGTAAAATTAATAAACGAATCGTATAATAAATTTTATTTTAAGTTGAAATTTTCTTAAAAATCTTTAAACACAGGCAAAGTTTCAGAAATTTTTTTTAAATTAAAAAAAAATTAATTACTGGTCCCAAACTATTGTTAGAACAATTTCAATTAATATCTGGGTCATCAAAATTAATTCAATTCACAATTCATAAAAAGTAACCACAGCCGATAATCAGCAGAAGATAAAAAATTTTTTTTTGAGCGAACTTTATGTTTTGTTTGTTAACAGTTATTAATAAAAAAAATTATTTACTGTTCTTAAAATATTAACACAAAATTTTCTCAAAAATCTTTAAAAACGCAAAATTACAGAAATTTTTTTAAATTCCATACTATTTTAATGACACAGAATTGGAATATTGGTAAATAATTGGAATTTAGTAATTATTGAGAATAATTAAATATAATTATTTTTTAATAATTTTCAAAAACCAGACTTCGCACTCGATAATTAATTTTAAAAAAGTAGCAAAAAGTATCTTTGAAACTTAAAAAAGTAGTAAAAAAAGTAGCTATCGAAGAATTAAACTTGACGACCAAAAAAACTCGTTTTAAGCACTTCACAAAACTGACAAAAATTCCATTCTATATTTCATTTTCCTGACTTTTTCCTAATTTTCATCAAAAATATTTACTTCTTTCTTATCCTACTGCTAATAAATTGAATTCCTGCAACGAATTTAAATATTTATAAAAATAATTTAATTCTTGCGAAAGGAATTTTATAAAAAATTTTAAATAATTGAATTCTGTGTGGAAATTTTATGAAAATAGTAGATATTGAAAAAAAATTGAATTGCGAAAAGTTTCTAAAAATAATTAAATTTTACAAAGAATTTTATTAAAATTTTTAAAAATAATTTAATGTCTGTGTAGCTTTTTATTAAATTTTTTTTTGAAAATAATTGAATTCCTCAAAAGCATTTTATTATTTATGAAAACAAATATAATTCTTGCGAACGATTTTATTAAAATTTTTTAAAATAATTGAATTTCTAAGAAAAAATATATTACTTTTAAAAATAATTGAATTCTTGTGATAAATATTGTTATTTATGAAAATAATTGAATTTTGCAAAGATTTTAAATGCAAATTTTATTAAAATTATTAAAATGCCTCAAAATAATTGAATTTTCGGGAATAATTTTGTTATTTATCTTTAATAATTGAATTCTTTCGAAGAATTATTTATGTAAATAATTGAATTCTTGGGAAGAATTTTATTAAAATCTAAAAGAATAATTGAATTATTTCAGAAAAATTAAATTGAAATTATATTTAAAATAATTGATTTCTTTCGATCAATATATTACTAAAATATTTGAAAATAATTGAATTTCTGAGAAAAATTTTAATATTTTTATAAATAATTAAATTTTTAAGAATAATTACATTTTTTGAGCAATTCCTGTAAAACTGTATTAAAACTAATTGAAATCCTGCAATGAATTTTATTATTTATGAAAGTAATTGAATAGTTACAAAGAATTTTATTATTATAATTGAATTTTTGCGAAAAATTTTATTAAAATGTTCAAGAAGAATTAAATTTCTGTGAAAAATGTTGTTATTTTTGAAAATAATTAAATTCTTCATAAGAATTTTATAAAGATTTTTTTTTTTTTTTAGAAAAAACGACAAAAAGGAAACACGAAAATGTCAAAATTGTAAAAAAAATCACATTTCTCGACAACAGATACATTAATATCAAATAATGAGCAATAAAATTTTTAAAAATTAAATAAAATTCATAGCAAAATTGTAATTGGGTATTTTTAACATTTTTTTAAAAATTCTCTTTAAAATATCAATTATTTTTATAAATAATAAAATTCATCTCCGAAATTCAATTATTTAACAAAAATTTTTATAAATTTCTTGTCAAAGTTTCAATTATCTTTATAAATAATAAAATTCTTCTCTGAAATTCAATTATTTTCAAAAGTAATAAAATTCTTCGCAGAAATTCAATTATATTCAAAAGTAATAAAATCCTTCGCAAAAATTCAATTATTTTCACAAATTTGAAATAAAATTCTTCTTATGAATTCAATTATTTTCAAATATTAATAAAAATATTTGTAATAATTCAATTATTGTTTCAAAACGTTTAAAAAAATTTTACGCAGAAATTCAATTATCTGCCAAAATTAATAAAATTATTCACAGGAATTCAATTATTTTTTAAAATATTAATAAAATTCTTGACAAGAATTCAATTATTTTTAAAAACTTTAAAATTCTTGACAGTAATTTTTTTTTATAAATTAATAAAATTCTTCACAGGAATTGAATTATTTTCCAAAAATAATTGAACTCTTCGCATGACATCAATTATTTTCGAAAATTCATCAAATTTATCGTAAGAATTCAATTATTTTCAATTATTACTAAAATTCTTCTCAAGAAATTCAATTATTTTGAAAAATTTTAATTAAATTAATGATAAGAATTGAATTATTTCAGTGCAAAATTTTTTTCGCGCAAGTTTAATTATTTTAAGGAATTTTAATAAAATTCTTCGCAAAAATTCAATTATTTTCAAAATTTAATTGAATTTTTTACGGGAAATAAATTTTTTTTTTTAAATATTAATAAAAATCTTTGCAAGAATTCAATTATTTTCATAACTTTTAATAAAATTCTCCACAAAAATTCAATTATTTGCCAAAATTAATAAAATTAATCACATGAATTCAATTATTTTCAAAAATAATAAAATTCTTTTCTGAAATTCAATTATTTGCATAGAATTTTAATAAAATTCTTGTCAAATTTTCAATTATCTTTTTAAATAATATAATTTATCCTATAAATTCAATTATTTTCAAAAGTAATAAAATTCTTCGCAGAAATTAAATTATTTTCAATTTTTTTTTAAATTTCTCGTTAAAATTTTTATTATCTTCATAAATAATAAAATTGATCCTGGAAATTTAATTATTTTTAAAAGTTCTGATAAAATTTTTTGCGAAATTCAATTATCCTCAAAAGTAAAAAAATTCTTCACAGAAATTCAATTATTTTCAAAAAAATTGTTTTTAAATTCTCTTCAAAATTTCAATTATCTTTGTAAATATCAACACTCTTCTGCAAAATTCAATTACTTACTAATGTTTTATAAATTTCTTCCCAATAATTTAATTATTTGCATAAAAAATAATTAAAAAAATTTTTTTTTATAAAGTCTTTTAATATAAATTAATGATTTTATCACTCGGTCATCTTTAATTATTATAAAACATGAAGGCATCGATTGCTCCGAGTCGAAGACTCGGTGTGATCGATTTCTTCTTGTTTAATAACAATTTTTTTAGAGTTGATTAATTTGAAAAAGGTTTGAATTTGAATCTTTTGAAGAATTTTAATTCCTATAGAAAAATAATAATTAAATATTTATTTAAAAAAAAAGTTATTGATGTTTTCAAAAAATTTGTAAATAAATGTAACAGAACATTTTTTTGACTCAAACTTTTTTCTTTAAATTTAAAAAAAAATTTAATTTAATTCGCATTTTACTAAAAAAAAAGTCGAAAAAGTCGATTAGTCGCATTTTTTCACAAAAAAGTCGAAAAAGTCGCACAATCCGAGCCCTGAAATAATGAATTTTTTTCGATGTATAATAAATATTATGAATATTTTATTAGTTTAAATAATTGAATTCTTGTGGAAAACTTTATTTGTGACAATAATTTAATTTTTCGATTTATTAATTTAAAATAGTATTACAAATAATGGAAATTTTTCAATGAGTTTTATTATTTTTGAAAATAATTGAATTCTTGCTTAGAATTTTATCAAATTTTTTTAAAAAATTGAATTTCAATGAAAAATATTATTATTAGTGAAAATAATTGAATTATTTTTAAGAATTGTATAAAAATTTTGTTAAATAATTGATTTTTCGAAATTTTTTTGAAAATGATATTTTAAATTAATTGAATTTCTGAGTAAATTTTACTATTTATGAAAATAATTGAATTTTGGATGAATTTTATCAATTTTTTTTAAATAATTGAATTTTCTTGCGAAATTTTATGAAAATACTAGATATTGAAAATAATTGAATCGTTTTAAGGATTTTGATTATAATTTTTGAGAATAGTTTTTTGTTTTCTAGTATTAGCGAATTTAACTGGAAATTCTGAAAAAAACAGAAATAGTTGCTTTTAGTGGCTGAAATCTAAAAAAAGTATCCAAATAGTATTATATCGTAAAAAAAAGTAGTAAATAGTAGGTTTTAGTAGATGAGTGCGAAGCCTGAAAAACTATTTTTATAAAAAAAAGTCGAAAAAGTTGTATTTTTGGAAAACTGGTCGAATAAAATAGACTGTTTGGAAAATAGTCAAAAAAAATTCCAGAAAGTAATTCAATCCGAAGCCTGTGCTTATAACATTAAGAATTAATTTAGCATTAACAATAAATATATATAAATTACCTTATAAATAATATAAATTACCTTTTTGAATTGTAATTAACTTGATTGGAATCTTCTTCTGTGCCTAGGCCTTTAGGAAGATTTGTTACACCTCCAGTCATTAAGACCAAGAAAAATTTCTTTGCTTTTGTACTGTTTGGATAATCAACAACGACTCCCCCATAGAAACCAGCTTTTGTAGCTTGTGTCGTGACCAATTCAATTTGATCACTATTCTCTGGATAAAATTGGAAAACTGCTCTTGCCGATCTCGATAAACAGGCGAAAAGTGTGGAAAAAAATTTGTATAATCTCTTGACAGGATTATGTGACGTTTTATCTGCATTGCATAACCATTGCAAAGCCGAAATACTAACTGCACCATCGAAACTGCCGGCTCTAAATGGCATTCCTTGACCCATGTCATTTAATGTTAAATCCCCCTCGACTTCTCTTTCATGGGCAACTTCTGCAAATATGAGAAAAAACAATTTCTATAGAAAATTTTGTTAAAATATAAATTTAATTCTAGTAGAATTTTCTAAGGAAATGAGAGATTAAATTATTTTCACAATTAATAAAACTCATCGCAAAATTTCAATTATTTTTTAATCAATTTTAATCGAATTTCTCGAAAAGTAGATTTTTATTGCAAAAGAATTAAATTATATTGATAAAACAATATTTTGTCATCAATATTTAACTTTTGAGAGAGTGAATATATTTTCTTACTTAACATTGCTGGGGAAATATCAACACCAACCCAAATGTGTCCTTGTTCTTCTAAAACACTTCCACTGAGTCCAGAGCCACATCCGATGTCAAGAAGAAAACAAGACTCGTCTTCAGGTAAAAGAAGAAGTTCAATAGCTCTTTCACACATTTGAACTTGAATGTCCATCATACGAGAACTGAAGTAATTAAAATACTATTAGAAAAAATAAATAAATAAATTAACAATAAAAATAACATTTTATTAAAAATTATTTACTTTTGTGTGTATTTTCGAGCTTCCTCTTCATTGTAGAACTAAAAATAAACATCAAAATTATAATTCTTAAAATGACTAAATAAAAATTAAAGAGGAGAGATAATAAATAACAATCGACAGTACTTTAAAGCTTCCAACGAGGAAAACATAGAAAAGTACTAAAAAGATAAATTAAAAGGATTAAATACAAAAAGTAATGATAGAAAAAAGACTATAAATAACTACCTTGTAAAGTTATTCAAATTCAGTTCGATTACATTTTACTAATAACTTACCACTTCCGGAGGGGCCGAATGTTCAGGTCGACGAGACATTTTAATGTTATTTTTAAACTATTTCCCTTTTAAAACAGTTTAATAATTTTTAATAATAAAAATAATAAACTGTCATAACTCGAAACCCTCACAATCAAAACACGTGTTTTAAAAGGTTATGTTTTCTTGACAGATTGTTGACATCTGACATATTTTCGAAAGTGCTGCCCCCTGTCAACAAAGTAATTCGAAATTCTCTTTATTTTCTATTGCTACAAAAAGAAATCCTAAAGTTCTGCAACAAAAGTAAAAAGTAGAAAATATTCCCCAAAATCAAAAATATATTTCCTCTTCACTTATTCTATGTTTTCTTTCTATTTTCCCCCTGCTAATATCAATAATAATAATTACTATACAAAAACCATTTTTACCGCCCATTTTTCAGCGGTAAACTTCAATTAATTAAAACGATTAAAACAGTCATGAATTGTCACTATTTTCGCAGCACAATTATGATAATATTCCTCAAAACACAGTTAGAAAACTTATTCATTAACAAACTTTATCAATATCTATAAATTTTACAATAAATAATATTTTAAAATATAAAGAATTTTGAAACAACTTCTAGGAACTTCTAGGAACTTTAGTGTCCCTAGTGTCCATATAGTGACAATTTTCCGGAACTAAATTCAACGAACTTGTTTCCGTTTTTTGTCGTCTGCTATTATTTTTTGATCGTTTGTCACAGTGAAAATGGCGTGTTGACATTTTAGTTGTTTTTGACAGTATAAATATAATATCTTAATAAAATACGGAGTGTAGGATATTAATAAATCAATCAAATTTTGTTAATGAATTCTCTATTTGATAATATTCTTTTTCTAAAATGTCGTCTATCGCTGCTGGTGATTCACAGGATTCCGTGAATTGTGATTGTCTACAAACTTCAAAACCACCCGGTCAATCATTATTAAAAACTAATGTCGATTCTTCTGAATCAGAGAAATTATGTGAAACTGAGAGTTTAAAAATTCTTGAGAAATTCAAAAGAATTTATGAGAATCGTATTGATGATGTTGATCAAAATGCTGAATTCACCGAATTCGAACGTATCTCGGTAAGTTTTTCTTTTTATAACCTTAATTTTTTTTTTCGTTTCTTCTGCAATTTTTTCTTTAATGAAAAAGAAGTTTCTTTAGTAGAGTTAGATTTACTGTAATTGGTCCTTTATAATTTATTATTATAGTTGTCATCCAAATTGCATGAAAGTTTTCTAATTCCTTTGATTTTTGTTTTTTTGTATATTAATTAGCATTTTTTTAGATTAGTTTTCTTGTGTAATGTATTTCTTGTGGTTTTTTTCCCTTTTGCATAAATATTGATTTTTTGGTTATTTTTATCGAAAAATGTTCTTTTATAAATCTGTATTAATTTTCATATAAATTTTTATAATAGTTTTATTATTAAATTTTTTTTAATACTAGGTTTATAAATACTTTATTCATAGTAACAGTGTTTGTTTATTTTTAGTTTACGTGTTAAGACTGCTTATAGAGGTATTTTAAAATCTTCCCCTCTATAAAACCATTTCCGAGCGAGACATCTAAATATAGTCTCCGGAGAAAATTCTAAAATAATATTATAGATAAAATGCATAATCCTGCAGTTTAAAATTTTCATTTTACAAATTACAGGCTTCGCACTCATCTATTAAAATTTATTATTTACTACTTTTTTAAGATTTGCTATTATTTGAATACTTTTTTAGATTTGTGACACTAAAAGCTACTTTTTTTTCTATTTTAAGAATTTATTTAATTAATTTATTAATTTATTTATTTAATTAATTAAATTTGCTAGAAGGTGAAATAAAAAAATTATTCTCAAAAATGTTAATAAAATTCTTAGAAACAATTCAATTATTTTCATAAACAAATAAATCAATTGAAATCAATTCTCAATCGTTAAATTCTTAATATTTTGTTAAATTATAAATTCAAACAAATTTTTATTTTCTTTTATTTTATTTTCTTTTTGCAAAAATTCTTTGAATAAATAAATTTCAGGACTCGAAAAATTGTTAAAAACAAATTTTGTTTCTATTACCTATTGAATTTCAGACAAAATTGAAAATAATGACCGAATGGGTTGAAGATTTAAAGGATCAGAATGTAATGTTAGTGCGTACAGTTGAGGATCTCGAGAAGGCGGCTGTTAATAGAGTTAAACTTTTAGAAGACAAATTATTGCAATCAACTAATTTAGTGTCGGAAAATATTGCAAAATGTGCCAATTCAGGAGAGGTATGAATTTTATCAGACAAACAAAAAATCTTTTGTCGTCGATATAAAAATGAAAAAAAAAAACAATTTTCAATGAAAAAAAATAAACAATTCTCCAGGCTTTAAATACACTTTCGGATCGAATTTCTGAATTAGAAAGAGACGAGTATTTTGAAAATAAAATTGAATATCTTCAAAGTGATATTCGAGGCTTATTAGAATTAATTAGACGAGCTCACGAAAATAGTTGTTGGAATCACGATGGCATAACATTTTATGAAATTAAGCCCGAAGACATACCAGTTCCTTTCGAGTAAGTTAATTATTTTATAAAGAGACAAACAAATTATATCGGTTTTAATTCAATTTTTCAAAAATAATGACAAATTTTAATAGTAAATTAAATTTTTAACGCTGATAATTTATGAAAAATTTATGAACATATAAAGTTATTTAAATAAAAAATCAGAAAAAATAATAACTTAATTTTAACTGTAAAAAAGTTCATTTTCAATGTAAAAGAATTAAATTTAAAATTTAAACGAATTTAATTTTAAATGTTAAAATTTAATTCCAACTGTAAAAAAATTCATTTTCGATACAAAAGAATTTAATTTTTCATGACGACGAATTTAATTTTAAATGTAAAAAAATTCGTTGTTAATTTAAAAGAATTTAATTTCAACTGTAACAGAATTAATTTTCAATGTAAACGAATTTAATTTTTAATGTAGACGAATTTATTTAAAAATTTTAAATATTAATTTTAACTGGAAAAAATTTATTTTCAATGTAAAAGAATTTAATTTTTAATGAAGACGAATTTAATCTTAAATGTTAAAATTAAATTTTCCATGTAAAAGAATTAAATTTAATTTTTTTAATATAATTTTAACATAATTTATTTTTTTATGTTGAAGAATATAATTTTCTTTGGAAAACAATTTAATTTTAAATGTAGACAAATTTATTTTTAATATTTAATTTGAATTTTAACTATGAACAAATTCATTTTCAATGTAAAAGAATTTCATTTTTTTAATGATAAAATTTAATTTTCCATGTAAATGAGTTTAATTTGAATCGTAAACGAATTTACTTTAAAATTTTAATTTTATGAACGTAAAAAATTTTATTTCACTGTAAAAAGTTTAATTTTAACTTTTAAAAATTGAATATTGATTGTAAAAAATTTAATATTAAATCCAAATAATTTGTGATAATAATAAATTAAATTAAATAATGTGCAATAATTTTAAAATCATTACTGTGAAAATTATCAATAGAATTTTTATTTCGAATTATTTTTCTTTCCAGTTGCCCCTGCAACGAGGTAAATGACTCTATAAATAAATCCAAGAAATTGATATTTGAATTAGATGTTAATTGCGATAGATCGCAAAAGCGAAAATATACAGCAAACGAACTCCATTGCAATTGCATCTCTGACACTGGAGATTTGCCTTGAGATTCGAAATCTTCTGCATGATTTTTTAATTCAATTAATTTCCCTTAAATTCAATTATTTTTAGCCACTCCCACACTCCTTGTAAATTTACAGTTATTTATACAATTCCAATAAATTGCCAAATGAAGAGTGAACTTTTTTTTATCTACGAGTTCTATTACAATTTTCATAAATTCAATTTTAATTTTCCTTTTTTCAATTTTCAATTAAAAAAAAAATTCGATTCAGCTTTTTTTTTTAATTTTTAAACAATAATTACAAAAAGAAAAATTCTAATTTCCATTGATATTTAAATTAGGAAACGGAAAATGCAAAGAATGAAGAATACAATAATATCTTGAAAACATTGCAAGATAATGAAAAATTATTACTCGAGTAAGTCAATATTTTTTCTAAATCTAATCTTTATGAAAAAGAAATTAACCTGAAAAACCAGCTGCATTAAAATTTGTTTTTTTTTAAATTTCGAAAAGTGGCAAAAAAAAGTCAATAAAAAAGTAAAAATATTTTCAAGTGAGATATTAAAAAAGTAAATAAATTTTCAAGTGAAATATTTAAAAAGTAAATAAATTTGCAAATAAAATATTAAAAAAGTAAATAAATTTCCAAGTAAAATATTAAAAAAAAGTAAAAAAATTTGCAAATGAATCTGAAAAAAAGAAAATAGAATAAAAAGAGTAAAAATATAAAATCCAACAGGAAAGTGACAATGTTGGAGCAACAAGTGTCAGAGAAAAATAAAATAATTTTACAAAAAGACGAGGTTTACAAAAAGTTTCAATACAAAGTCCAAACTTTAAGAGATAATCTCAAAGAAAAGTCCATCATGACTATTACCGATACTACTGAGAACGTTGACTTTGACGTAAGTCTTGTCCTTGAAATTACAATAATTTTGAAATTACAGATTGACAACGTAATTTATTTATTAATTAATATAGATTTTTCCCCAAAAAATAGAATTTAGAATTTTTGTGCAGCAAAAATTGTTATCACTTGAGGAAATTCTATAACATTTTGAAAAAAAAAAATATTTTATTGATACTATAAGGATTTGAAAAAAAATTATTTTACTGAATAAAATTAATAAATTTAGTAAATAAAAAAATAAATATAGTCTGAAAAGAAAGTAAAAATAGAAATAATTTTATTAAATAAGAATAATAAGGCAATTATGCTATTTTGTTGTAGTTTCGGATTTCTTTCTTCGTCTCCTGCATGATTTCGTGGTTTTGAGTGCATGGGAAATTCGGATTTGATTTGCATGGTTTACAGGCCTCGGATAGTATGGCTTTTTGGAGTTTTTTCGACTATTTTCGAAAAAGTCGATTTTTATCGATTTATTTTCCAAAAAAAAAAAAAAAAAAAAAATCGAAACGAATTATTTACAAAGAAAATGGGAACATTTTCAATTTTTCTTCCACATATTGCAACCAAATACCACTTTTTTGGTATAAAATGCAACTAGTTTCCAGTTTCAATTTGTGAAAAATAACTACAACTGGTCAAATTTGACAAAAAATATTTTCCAATCATTTTTTCAAGCTCATTAAATTTTTAAAATAAATCATTAAAAAGTTTTTAAATAATTGAAATTTAGCAAATTTCTATTGAAAATAGTTTATTTTTTTAAAGTATTTCATTATAATTTTAGAAAATTGTTTTCAAAGATTTTAAATAACAAATTTTTTAAAAGTATTTCATTAAAATTTTAGAAAATTTTTATCAAAGAATTTAAATTACAAATTCTTAAAAGAATTGAATTCTCAAAAATTTTAATGATAAATTTTCAAATGAAAATTAGTTTCAAAAAAGGTAAAATATTTTTTAAAAAAGTAATTCTCAGAAGTTTTCTATTACAATTTTTTACAATTCTATTATTGTTTCCAGTATAATTATAATTATTCAATTGAGCGGATGGGAAGAAGAACTCGACGAGCGCGAGACCGTAAAGGATAGTTCCAGTCAGGTAGCAGTGTGGGGCCCAGAGGCGCTCACTGCTACCTGACTGATATTATCCCTTACGGTCTCGCGTTCGTCGAGTTCTTCTTCCCATCCGCTCAATTGTATATTTCGGAAATTTTAAATATCTTCAAAAAATAATATTGAACTTTTAGGAAAAATCTAATTTTTTACAATGATTATAATAAACTTTTTCAACAAAACAAATTATTTTCAAATTTTTTAATTAAAATTTTAAAAAAAGTTTATTTTTTTAAATTGTCCAAAAATTCATTTAAGGAATTCAATTATTTTTGATAAATTACATGGGAATAATTTTAAAAAATATTTTAATTTTCGAGAATATGTAATTGAAAATATTAAAAATAATTTAATTCTAAAAAATTTTAATCAGACAAATTCTATAAAACAGTTTCTTAAAAATATTTTAAAGCAAAATAAAATGAAAAATAGAATCAAAATTTAAAATCAGATATTTACAGTTTCCATGTGTAAAAAATACAACTAGTCAAATTATACAAAAATTATTTTTCAATAATTTTTTCAATCTAATTAAATTTTTAAAATAAATCATTAAGAAGTTAAATAATAAAGATTTTGCAAACTTCTATTGAAAATATTTGGTTTTTTTTAAGTATTTCATTAAAAATTTTCAAGTGAAAATTAATTTAAAAAAATTAAAATATTTTTGAAAAAAGTAATTTTTAGAAGTTTTTGATTATAATTTTGTAAAATTCAATTATTTCCATTATTTTCAATTACATATATATTATTTCCGAAAATTTAAATATCTACAAAAAATAATATTGAACTGTTAGGAGAAATGTAATTTTTTACAATTATTATAAAAAAAATTTTTAACTAAATTATTTTCAATTTTTTTGAATTTATAATTATTAAAAGAATTGATTAGTTTTTTAAATTGGCCAAAAATTCGTTTAAGAAATTCAATTATTTTCGATAAATTACATGGGAATATTTTAAAAAAAACTAGTTTGTAGAATTTTTTTATCATCATTTTTTTAAAATTCATTTTTGTTCGAGAAAAAGTAAATTAAAATTTCTTAAAAATCCATTTTTATGGATTTATTATTAATTCTTTGGAGAAAAAAACTATTTTCATATTTTTACTAAAAATCTTTTAAAAAAACTTGATTATTTTTTAATATTTTCCAAAAAATTTCTCAAAATATTTAATAATTGTAAATTATTAAATTTTTTTTATTTTAATTCCCCTGAAAAAAGCTATTTTTTACGCCTTAAAGTCGATCCGAGGCCTGTGTTTACAATTAAATTTGTTTTTTTTTTTGTAATTTTTCCCCTGAAATCCTGTTTTTATGGTTTTATTTTGCATGATTTTTTCTGACTAGATTTTATGAATTTTTTTTTCTTTATTTTTCACCTGAAATCGTGTTGATATTTAGATTGTGCAAGTGGCTGATTTTTTGGAAAGTGCACTTGTTGCCAAAGATTTGAAAATTAAAAATCTCAACGAATGTCTTGAGGAAACGAATGCAAAATTAGAAAAGCTTCTGCATGAGAATGACAATTTTGAAACAAAGAACAAGCAAATTCAAGAACTTGAAATTCAACTAAAAGCCCTTCAGAAGGTTCGTACAAATAAATATTTCATTAAATTCCAATATCAAAACAGACAATAAAAAATAAATAGTAAAAAAAAAAAAAATTTTTTTATTTTATTTTTATTTTTTTTTACTATTTTTTCTATTAATTAGGATTCAAAAAAAAATTCTCTTCTTAAAAGTTTCTTCTCTTTCAGGAATCATTGGAATCAAAGGAAGCTTTGGCTTCAGAAGTTGCTGAAAAATACGATCAGGTGATTATTTTACGACGAGAAATTCAAGAATTAGAAGATAAATGTCATCATTTGAGTATGCAGACACAATTCAAGGAGGATATAATAAAGGATTTGCGAAAAGAATTGAAACAAATTTCACAAAAAGTAAGGAATTGTTTTTTTTTCCTTTTTTTTCTATTCAAAGTGCGCAATTTTCAATTAATCATTTCTTTTTAGTTAATAACAGTAAATTACGATAAGCAAAATAGAAATGAATCAACTTGTGATAATTGCAATAGAATTATTGAGACCTCTTCATATTGCATGAAAAGAAAAACAAAAATGTCCATTATTCACGAATTCCCGGAAAATTTGAATAATTCGAAAATAATTCTCGAAAATATTTATCCATTTAAATCGAAAAGTTCGGAAATAATTGGCGATCAAAAAATTATCTCTATTAAAAATTCAAGAAATATGTCGAGAAATTTTGTGGAACGTAAAAAACAATTGAAGCAAGTTGATCGAGAGATTATTGATACAGCGGGAAAATTATCCCCACCAAGTAGAGATAATTCGTGTATTTTGATGAAATAAAAATTAATTTTTCTCTTTTATAAAAAATGTTCTTGAGTCGTTTTTTGAGTTTTTGATGAGGAGAGAATGTTCTTTAACATAGCGCGACGTAGTAGAAACGTAGAATTTTTCCTGTATTTTTTTTAAATTTAACTTTTACTTCAGTAAGACTGACTTTTACTTTTTTTTTAATTATTTTATTTTTTTATTTATTTTTATTCGTTATATATATTTATATTTAAAAAATGAATAAATAGCATAATTGCCATATTTTTGAATCTAAAAAAATAAAAAAATTTTCAAGTAGATTTGTAACCCTAAAAAATTTTATTCGAGGTCTAAGTTTTTAGAAAATGTTTATTAACAAACAATTTTCTTTATTTCAAATGCAAAAGTAATAATTTATAATTATATATTTCAGGACGTTCATCAAACACGACATGTTCGAATCAATCAAGAACCACCTTCTGAAGTAAGAAAATTAGAAAACTAATGAAAACAAAATAAGAGAATAAATTTTCTATGAATTAATTTATTTTTTTTATTTCCATATTTAATAATCAATTAATTTTAATATTTTATTTAAATAAATTTTTTCTTTATTTTCAGATCATAAGCGAAGATTCCTCATCTCATAAGGTGTGTTTTCAAATTTTATATTTTCAAGCCTCGGATATTATGACTTTTTCGACGACTTTTTTTCGACTATTTTCAAAAAATGCGACTTTTTTCGACTTATTTTCAAAAATTGCTATTTTTTCGACTTTTTTCCAAATTTTGCGTCAAAATACCATATTTTTAGTATAAAATGCAACTTATTTCGATTTTTATGGAGTAAAAAGTATAACTATAGACAAATCTTTAAAAAATTTATTTTTGAATAATTTTTCTAATTAAATTTTTTAAATATACAATTTTGAATAATTGATTTTAAATATTTTAAATAATTGAAGCTTTTGAAAATTTAATTCAAAATAAATCGTTTTTTCACGTATTTTATAACAATTTTTGGAAAAAAAAACTTTTAAAGACTTTTAATTGAAAATTTTGGAAATAATTGAATTCTGAAAAAATTTTAATGAAGAGCCTTCAAGTGTAAATTTAATAAAAATGAAAATTCATGAAAATTAGGTTGTAAAAATAATACCTATTAAAATATTTTTAAAAAAAAACTAATTCTCAGAATTTTTTCATTATAATTTTATAAAATTTCACAAATTAATTCAATTTTAAAAAAGTTGCGTTTACAGTTTTGATAAATAGATAAAATTCAAAAGGTTTTATTTTGAAATTTAAAAAAAAATTCAATTTTGAATGAATTAATTAAATAATAAAAATTTCACAGGAATTTTAATATTTACAAATTCTATCTAAATTTCTTCGCAATAATTCAATTATTTTCATAAATAATCAAATTTTTTACAGAGTTTCAATTATTTTCATAAATAATAAAACTCTTCCCAGAATTTCAATTAATTTTGATTTCAATTTTAATGAAATTTCTCGAAAAATGTAAAATTATTCTTAAAAATTTTATTAATATTCATCAATGAAATTAAATTTCTTGAAAGAGTTAAATTATTTTCAAAAATTTTAATGAAATTCTGTTTGACAATTCAATTTTTTTTTCAAAATAATTTTAATAATAAAATTCTTCGTAGAAATTTAATTAATTTCAATTTAATTTATCAAAATTCAATTATTTTCAATATCTACTATTTCAATAAAATTTTACAAAAGAATCCAATTATTTAAAAAGAAATATTAAAATCCAATTAATTTTCAAAAATTTTAATAAAAAAAAAAGTTTTTTTAATCTAATTTCTCGAAAAATCAAATTATTCTTAAAAATTTTATTGAAATTCGTCAAAAAAATTTTAATTACCTATTTAAAAATTTATTGATAAAATTCTTTAAATGAGAGTTCAATTTTAAAAAACATTAAATTCTTCAATAAATTGTGTATTTTTTTATTTAAATAATTGAATTCTAGTAGAATTTTTTAATAAAAATTTATTTAAATATGAATTTCAGTTCAAATTTTAGATAATAATTGAATATTAAACTCTTTAAATTTGAATTAGGTAAAATGTTTTCTAATTTGAATTAGTGACTGATAAAGAAGCATTTTACAATTAAAAAGAGTTTTAATAATTGGAATTTTGTAAAATTTAATTGAAAATAATTGATTTTTTTCAAAGTGTTTTATAAAAATTTTTGAAAATCAACTTTTGAAGAATTTTACTTACAAATTTTAAAAATAATTAAAACTGAATTGAATTTTATTTGAATACCTCGGAAGAATTGTATTTTTAAAAAAAATTTTAATATATTTCGAATAAATTCAATTATTTTCTAAAATCTAAATAAATCCTTAGAAATAATTCAATTATTTTTATAAATAGTAAAATTCTTCGCAAGAATTCAATTATTTATATAAATAGTAAAATTCTTTGCAGGAATTCAATTATTTTCAAAACACCTTTAATTGAATTTCTTGGAAGAATTCAAATATTTCCATTAAATTCAATTATTTCCTAAAATTTTAATAATTTCTTCGAAGCAATTCAACTATTTTTATAAATATACTAAATAAATTTTCAAAATTTACAATTAAAAAAAGTTTCAATAATTGAAATTTTTGTAAAATTTAATTGAAAATAATTGATTTGTTTCAAAGTGTTTTACAAAAATTTTTTGAAAATCAACTTTTAAAGAATTTTAATTGCAAATCTTGAAAATAATTTCTCAAAAATTTTTTAATGAAAAATCTTCAAATGTAAATTATACAAAAATTCTTTTAAAAAATTCAATTCATTTCGAAAAATTAAATTACAATATTTAAAAAGAACTTTTTATTGTAATTTCTTTATCTTAATTTTTTAAGATTCAATTAACTTCTAATAAAGAAAATTAAAATTTTTTTAAATTTACTTCTTTAGATTTATTAAAATTTTGGAGAAATCACGTTTATATTAATAATTAAAATTCTTTAAAAATTCAATTATTTTTTTGAATAGAATTTATCAAATTTTAATTGTTTTGGAAATTTTCCAATTGTATATAATTGAAAAACTTTTATTTTTGATAATTTATTTTAAAAATATTTTTGAAAACCTAATTTTAAGAATGTCTTTATTATAATTTTTTGAAAATTAATTAATAACTTAAAAAACATGGACAGTTACAATTATTATAGAAACACTAAATTTTTGTATTTAAATAATTAAATTCTCTAAGTACTTTCGGAAAATTATTAAAAAGATTTTAAGTAGAATTTTTAAAAATTTTATTTCTGTATAAAAAGAAACAAGAAGTATTTAAATATTTATTTAACGAAATTGTTCAAGTTTTGATTATGTAATTAAATTCAGAAATCAGTGAAAGATCAGAAAAATACAAAATAAAATTTTTGTGACTACACTGAATTAAATTAAACGACTTTTTCGACTTTTTTTCTATTTTAAATCGACTAAAGCGACTTTTTTTGCAGCTTAAAGTCGATCCGAGGCCTGCAATTTAAAAATTATTTTAATAATTGATTTTATTAAATTAATTAAATAATTAATTTATCTGTGAAAAATTAATTTCAGAATGAAATAGTGCAGTACTTATCGAAAACAAAACAATTGATGGAAAAGGAGAAAGAAGCGTTATCTATTTTGAAAGAAGAAATAGAAAAAATGACAACGGAATTACGTTACAAACAGGTAAATAAAATTTAAAAATTAACAAAAGAAATTCTAATGAAATTAAGGAAATTCAAAATTACGTTACAAATAGATAAACTAACTTTTACAAAATAGTACAAAATTAAAATACTGATATTTTTTTGTCTTTAGGAATTTAGAGAAGATTTTCCACATCTCTATATAAAACTACACGAAATGGATAGTTTATTGAAAACCTTCATTGCCGAAGTAATTGAAAATGTAAGTTTTGTTTTTTGAAATTGTTAATTGTTAATTAATATTTAATTATAAATAAATATCTCTTAATATTGGTAAATATTTGTTCATGTTTCGATTAAAGAGTAAATGGAAAAAATATTTTTTTTTAAATTTTAAATTGCGATAGTTTTGAGGAATATTTTTAATAAAATTTGTTAGTAGTTTGTAATAATTGTCCTTAGTCTTTATCGTGGAAGAAACAAAAAATCAAGACAACTGCAATCAAATAAAATTTTAAACGTTGAAGTTAAATATTATTTCTGTGCAGAATGGATCCATTGAAAAAATGAAGCATTTTTTTACTGATATTGAGGGGAACATGGCATCGCTCCTCATGATTCTTCAAAACTTACAAGAGGTAAATAAAGAATTTAGTATTTTCTCTTCAAAATTTTAAATTCAAATAGCAAGTTTTACATATGAGTGAAAAAAATAAATTTTTAAATTTTTAAAAATAAATTTTATATTTCAATTTAAATTAAAATAGTAAATTTAAAATATAATTATAAATATAAATTCTAATTACATAATTCTGCTATTAAATTGTCGAATTGAATTTAGTCAAAGTTAATGCGATTTTTATACAGAACTTCAATAGAAAAATTCCATCCATTTTGACATTCCCTTAATTTTCTAATAGAAAACTTTGTATTTCTAATATTTATTAAAATTATTTTTCAGAATTCTGAAGGAAAATCCCAAATAACAATGGAGGAAATAGTTAATCGATTAGGTGGAGTAACTAATAAAATTGCGGAAATTTGTTCGGAAAAAGAAGGCACGCTCACAAATACTTGCGTAAGTAGAATGTTTCTTCTTAAATTATGTAGTAAAAGAATTCAAATCTCTTCAATTTTTATAATGAATTCAATTTGTTAATAATAATAAATAAAAAAAATAAAAATAAATAAATAAAAATAAATTTATTCTCAATGAATTACATTTTTTCCAGACAAATGAAGAGACAGAGCCTTGCGAGAATAGTTGCAGTGATCCAAGTCACGAACTGGTAAGGAAATATTTAATCAAATTTCTTATTTTTAAACTTTTCTGTAGTAAATTTTAATACAAAAAATACATAATTACAGGCATTCAAAACATTTCATCAGCAATTTAAAAGAATGGAAGAATTTAGAATTTGCACAGTCGAAGCTCAGGCAGCTACTGAAGATTTGCGCGAAGAAATGGAAACTATTATCAGCAATTTTACCTCTCGCCATGAAAAGGTAGAATTTTCGAATTAAACCTACTTTCGTTTAATGAATTAAAAAAAATCCAATTCAATTGTTTCCTTATTAAGGAAAAGTTGTATTTTCATTTTGAATCAAGTATTTTTGGTATTAACATTTTTTTCTATTTTAGAATTGTGAATTGAATAAATTAACAGCGGAAGTGCAAAATTATTTAATAACAACAAGAGAGAAAATTTCGAAAACAATAAGTCAATTGAAATTACAGGTAAAAAAATTAATTTTCGTTTTATCTATTAATTCTTAATTGAAAAAAATGAAATAAATTGGGAAAAAATTATTTTTCAAGGGAGAGGAGAGAAGGAGATACAATATGAGAATTTCGTCTGGCAACGATAAATTGAAGGATATGAAAAATGAGATCAATATGGCTCGTGTAAATTTTTCCCAATACAGTGGCAATATTGAGGGAAATAATCAGGAGTTTGGAAATGTAGATTCGACACAAAATTCGAGTGATGTTCTAAATATTGTTGCAGATGAGGTGGAACAAATTGTGTCAAATTTACAAGCCGTTCAAGAAAAGGTCTGTAATTAATTATTATAATAAAATTTCGGTATTTATTATTTTAATAATTTCGATGGTTTAATAAAATAATAAAAATATTTGTTATTCAGGAATCTTGTACAGTGTCATTGTTAACAGAATTAAATACGCAGCTTTCAACAATCGACAATAATTTAGAAAAATTCTATAATAAAAGTCAAGAAATAGTGAGTATTTTTAGAAGATTTTCATTTCAAAATTATTTTTAAATTAATCAAAAACTTTAGTGGTTTTATTATATTTATTTATTATTAACTTATTTATTTTTGTTTCCGTTTAAGCTGAAAGCGAACGAAGTGAGTCAAAAAGTATTCGAAGAAAAGGAAAAGAGTTTGGACAAATCGGAAAAGGAGCTTGATTATGTTCATACAAATATGCAGAATGCCTTGGAAGCAATTTCCATTGCGATAGATGAGGTTCGTTTCAGAAAAACAAGTAGTACAATTTTCTTTTTATTTCAATCATTTTTATATGGTAATTTATTTCATTTACAATAACAGAGTTGCCACTCAACCTGAAAACCTAGAAAACCTGGAAAAGTCAGGAAATTTTTATCTAAATCCTGGAAAATTGTTATTTTCTAAAGTTTATTCTTGAAATCTAATTTTACATAAATATTCAAAAATTAATTGAATTTTAAAAGAGTAACGTTTACAATTTTCATAAGTATAGATGAATTTCAAAAGATTTTCAATTGTCTTAAAGACAAAAAATTTTTGAAAAATTTTTTTTTTTTTTCTTTTTTTTTGATTTTTGAAAAATTTTAATTATTCCAATTCTTCTGAAATTAGCTCAATTTTTTAATATATATTTTTAATTTATTATTAAAAATAATTGATTTGTAGAAGAATTTTAAATAAAAACTCTAAAAGAAATTGAATTTTGAAGCAATTACAAATGATTGTAGAAATTCAATTATTTTCAAAAGTTGTAAAATTCTTCGCAGAAATTCAATTATTTCCAACAATTTTAATAAAATTCATGGCAAAATTTCAATTATTTTCAAAAACTTTTATCAATTCAATGATTTTTAATAAATTTACTACTTTAATAAAATTTTCCAAAAGAATTCAATTATTTAAAAACAAAATTTTAAATTCTACGCAAACATTTCAATATTTTCATAAATAATAAAACTCATCTCAGACTTTCAATTATTTTTAATACAATTTTAATGAAATTCCTCGAAAAATGAAATTATTCTTGAAATTCATCAAAGAAATTCAATTATTTGAAAAGACATTATAATAAAGTTCATCTCAAGAATTTAATTATTTTCAAAAGTAATATAATTCTTCGCAGAAATTTAATTGTGTTCAACAATTTACAAAAATTCTCCTGAAAATTTCAATAATCTTTATAAATTTTTCTTCGAAATTCAAATATTTGCAAAAATTTTAATAAAATTCTTTATGAAAATTCAATTTTAAGAAACATTAAATTATAAAATATTTATTTTTGTATTTAAAAAATTGGATTCTCGCAGAATTTTTTAATAAAAACTAATTTAAAAATAAATTACAGTTAAAATTTTAGATTATTATTGTATATTGAAAGCAAGATAACGTAAATTTTTAGAAATAATTGAATTTTGAAAAGGTTTCAAATTACAATCTTTGAAATTCTAATTTTTTCATATTTTTAACTAACAATTTTGTGGAATTAATTTTTTTGAGAAAGTTTAGAATTATTTTTTATATAAATAACATTCTTTGGAAGAATTCAATTATTTTTATAAATAGTAAAATTTTTTGCAAAAATTCAATTATTTTTAACAAAATTTTAATAAAATTTCACAAAAGAATTCAATTATTTTCAAAAATTTTTTAAAATCCTTCTAAGCAATTCAATTATTTTGAATAAAATTTCGAGAATGAATTTCATTTTTTTCTTAATTCGTTATAAAATTTTTCAAACGATTCAATTATTTTCTAAAATTTTAATAAATCCTTCGAAAAAATTCAATTATTTTTATAAATAGTAATAGTTTTTGCATTTTTTATTTTTTTTTTTTTTGTATTTTTTTTTCCGAGTCGAAGACTCGGAGTAATCGCTTTCTTCATATTTTATAATAATATTCTCATATGTTATTGAATTTAAATCTTTTGAAGAATTTTAATTCCTATGGAAAAATAATAATGATTAAATATTCATTTAAAAACGAAGTTATTGATCTTTTGAGTAATTTTACAATTAAAGAAATTTATAAATAAATGTAATTGAACAGGAAAAAAGTCGTTTTGTCTGGAAATCAGAGAGTTTGGTAAAATTGAAAATAAAATTGAAAATAAAATTTGGTAAAATATAAATGTAGTTTTAAAAACCTGGAAAAATTCCGTTTTTTAACTTGGAAAACCTGGAAAAGTCAGGGAATTTGAAATGAGGGAAAGCGTGGCAACTCTGAATAATAATTAAAAATATTAATTTTATTATTCTATTTATTTATTTTTATTTTATCTTATTAATTTAAATAAAATTGGAAATTTTTTTTCTTTTTATAAATTTTCTAATTTATTCATTTAGATTTACAAACGTTTGATAAATTCTGTAGAAATTATAAATAAATGTTATATCTAATAAATTCTATTTATATATTACTTACAGAAAAAATAAAGATAAAATTTATAGTCAATTTGAAATAAATTATTTAAAAATTGTAAGTAATTTTATTTAATTGCAGATAAATGAATTAGAAGCTTTTAAGGACAATCATATTGTTAATCAGGTTCGTATCATTAACTATAATTGAATAATAAGTTATTATTATTAATAGCAAGTGAATTCATTTTTAATTAATTTCTTTTGAACTAAATTCTAAAATTGAATTAAATTGAATCAAATCAAATTAAATACTCTAAACGTTAATTATTAAATAATTTTATAAAAATAATTCTTAGGAAATTAGAAACTTTTTTTTATAATATCTAATTTACTTTTAGGATGTCAACCAAATTTTAAAAGCGAAGGATGATTATCACAAAATAAGAAGGGAATATGAAAATTTGCGAATGAAAATAGTCGAGGTATTTAAATTTATTTAAAATTATGAAACTTTCCTTGTCTCTTTATTTTTAGATCGATATTTTTTTATTTGGCCACACGAATTTTAAATAATTACCAAAGTTGTCAGTGGAAACAAAAAACTGCAATTTCTAGTTATTAGTTGCGAGAAAAAAAAATGTGAATTCTGTTTATGAATTGAAATTTTATTTAAATATTTAATTTCTTTATAGGACTCTTATAAAAAGGAAGTAGACGACTCTGTTAACGAGTGTAAGCGTCAAATAACAAACTTGTTGGGTCAAATACGCTTTCTTCAAAGTGAGGTAAATATAATTCGATTCCAGAAAAAAATAATAAAAAGTACAAGAAAAGTTAACTAATAAAAGTAATAAAAATTATAAGAAAAGTAAACTAATAAAAATAATAAAAATTACAAGAAAATTTAACTAATAAAAATAATAAAAATTACAAGAATAAATAATATTACAAATAATAAGAATGAATATTAATAAAACTAATAAGAGTAAATAATAATAAAAATTATAAGAAGAACACAAACAATAAAAATAATACGTATGACTAATATTAACAATTAAAATATTACAATAAGAATAATAAGAAAACCAAAAAAAAAAAAATTTTAAGAACGAAAATTCGAAAGAAAAATGAATGCTTCTTTGCATTTTTAAAATGAAAATTGTTTTAATCGCTTAAAATAATAATTTATTTTGCAGCTGAAAATTGGTCAAGACGCAAATGGTATTTTGGAAAGTCATATTCAAGTATTAGAACAAGAATTAAAGGGAGAGAATAAAAAATCAGAAGATACAAGGCGTAGTTTTTCCAAAGAATGCATGCTATTCAAGAGAAAAATTTCCGAACTAGAAAGCACCGTAAGTTTTTATTTATAAGGATTAAAAACAATTTTTAATATCAAATTTCTAGTGATTGAAAATAAAAAATTATTTTTTAATTACAATATAAAACCAAAACTTTTCAGTTATGGAAACAAAAGGAAATAGAATCAAATCTAAGAAGAAGTTTGGCTTCCAGTGAAATAGAATTAAAGAATTCTAAGGAGATGCTCAATTCATTTGTAAGTTCATTATTATTTCTTTTTTTGAATCTTAGATAGAAAATTTAATTGAAATTACGAAAAAATAATAATTTTTAATAATTAAAATAGTCTTGAATATTAATTAATTTTTTGTTGTCTAAATTTAGCAATCAAGTTCTGAAGGTACATTGTCCACACGGGGAAGTGGAGTTAATTCTGAAAATTGTTTCGCTGAAGTGGAAAAACTGAAACACACTTTATTCACAAAGGAAAAAATGGTAAATGACGAATTCATTAAGTTATTTTATTTCTTGTATTTTATTTTCGTTCACAATTTTTATATTTCGTTTTCAAGTTTTATATTTTCTTCATTTTGTTCAGAATTTTTATATTTTTTTTTATTTCGTTAACAATTTATATATTTTTCTTTCATTCACAATTTTTATATTATTTATTTCGTTCACAATTTTTATTTTCTTTTAATTCTTTCACAATTTTTGTATTTTTATTTTGTTTTCAATTTTTGTTTTTTTTATTCCGTTCACAATTTTTACATTTCTTTAAATTAATTAATTAATTATTTATTTATTTTTTTTTAAATTCGTTCATAATTTTTTATTTTGTTCACAATTTTTTATACTTTCTTTTTACCCTTTTTAGTTGAAAGACAAGGAGGAAATAATTAAAATTCAACAAGATTCAATAATTCTGTCTCAAAGCGAAGTGAAGGATTTACATGAGAAATTACAAGAGAAGGTATTTAAATTTTTCAAAATGATTAAAGTTGTGATAAGAATATCTGATTTCCAAGCGTAATAAAATTTCTCCCTTGTACGCTGAATTTAGAAAAGAAATTTTCTTTGTTGCACATTTTATTTTAAATTAATGTCTATAGTGATTAAGACAAATAGATGACATTTTTTACAATTAAATTTAATTTTAAATTTAATTTCTTAATTTTAAATATTTAAAACTGAAATTTTTTGTCTTCAAATTTTTCTAATTTTCTAATTTATTATTTTAGAAAACAAGTTTCTTTATTGCTCGTTTTTTAAGTAGATCGTTAAGTAATTAACAAATAAATTAAATTTTTTACAATTAGATTTAATTCGCATTTTTTTTATTTTAAATACAGGGCTCGAACCACTGAAAGTATTTTAAAAAAAATACGGACTTTACGGATCGAAAATTAAAAATTACGGATCGATTACAGACAAAAATATTTTATTTCTTTTTTTATAATAATTTAAGATGACCGAGTGATAAAATCATTGTCAATTCAATTATTATTTTCAAGAATTTTTAACTAAAATTCTTCTTTAAATCGATTATTTTTAATAATTTTCGAAAAAGTTCTTTGACAATTTTCAAATCCATTTTTTTACAATACTTTACGAAATTTCAATTATTCGTAAATTGTTCAATTAAATAAATATTAGAAAATAAAAATTTCAAATAATTTCAACAAAAATTCAATTAAACTTTTTCAAAAAAATTAATTTCAAAATTCAATTATTTCTAAAAATTAAGGATACATTGCTTTTTATATTCAATTATTATCTAAAATTCTACTAGAATTCAATTATTTAAATACAAAAATAAATAATTTATTGAATAATTGAATGTTTCTTAAAATTCAATTCCAATAAAGAATTTTATCAACAAATTTTCAAATAATTGAATTCTTTCGACGATTTTTAATAAATTTTTTCAGAATAATTATAGTTTTCGAGAAATTCGATAAAAATTTTATTAAAAATAATTGAATTCCTGAGAAGAATTGTATAATTTATAAAAATAATTGAAATGTTTCGAAGAATTTATTAAAATTTTAGGAAATAATTGAATTGTTTTGAATAATTTTATAGAAATATATTAAAATAATTAAATTTTTTCGAGAAATTCAATTAAAGTTGTTTCGAAAATAATTGGATTTCTGTAAAGAATTTTATTATTTTTAGAGAATTTTAAATTCTTTACAAGAATTCAATTATTTTGGAAACAACTTTAATTGAATTTCTCGAAAGAATTTAATTATTTTCATATAATTTTTATAAATTGCTTCAAAAATCGAAAATAATTGAATTTCTGTAAAGAATTTTATTATTTTTTGAAAATAATTGAATTATTTTTAGTAAATTTTAAAGTCTTGTTGAAATCGAATATTGTGGCAATTTTTGAAGATAATTAAATTCTTTCGTGTAATTATATTTAAATTGGATTAAAAATAATTTAATTCTAACAATTTATTAAAATTTTACGAAATAATTGAATTTTATGGAAATATTTTAAAATATTTAAATTCTTCCGAGGAATTTAATTAAAATTGTTTTGAAAATAATTGAATTTCTGCAAAAAAATTGTACTATTTATAAAAATAATTGAATTCTTGCGAAGAATTTTACTTATTTATAAAAATAATTGAATTGTTTCAAAGGATTTATTTAGATTTTAGAAAATAATTGAATTTATTTGAAATGTATTAAATTTTTTTTTTAAATTGAATTTTTCTGAGGAATTTAATTAAAATTATTTTAAGAATAATTGATTTCCTGCAAAAACTTTTACTATTTTTAAAAATAATTGAATTGTTTCGAAGGATTTATTGAAGTTTTAGAAAATAATTGAATTCGATTAAAAAATTTTATAACGAATTAAGAAAAAAATTAAATTCTTTTTTAAAATTTTATTGAAAATAATTGAATTGGTTAGAAGGATTTTTAAAAATTTTAGAAAATAATTGAATTTTTTTGTGAAATTTTATTAAAATTCCACAAAATTGTTAGTTAAAAATATGAAAAATTCAGATTTTCAAAGATTTTAATTTAAAACCCATTCAAAATTCAATTATTTCTAAAAATCCACGCTATATTGCTTTTAATATTCAATTTTTAGCTAAAATTTTAACCGAAATTCATTTTCATTTCATTTAAATCAATTTTTATTAGAAAATTCTACGAGAATTCAATTATTTAAATGCAAATAAAGTAAATTATTTATTCAATAATTAAATGTTTATTAAAATTTAATTATTGACGAAAATTAAAAAAAAAATTTTGAAAATAATTTCATTTCTGCAAAGTATTTTATTACTTTTCAAAAGAATTGAATTCTTGTGATAAATTTTGATATAATTATATGAAAATAATTGAATGTTTTCGTAAAATTTTATCAGAAATTTTTTTCAATAATTAAATTTTGAATTCCTAAAAAGAATTTTATTATTTACGAACATAATTGAGTCTCTGTCAAAATTTTATTATTTCTGAATAATTGAATGATTACGAAGAAATTTATAAAAAATTTTGTAAACAATTAAATTTTTGTGAAATTTTTATTCTTTTATGAAAATAATTAAAGGTTTGCGTAGAATTTTATTACAATTTTTTTAAATAATTGATTTCTTTTGGAAAATTTTATTAAGTTAGTAGATATTAAAAATCATTGAATTGAGGAAGATTTTTGAAAATAATTGAAATTTTGCCAAGAATTTTATTTATTAGAATTTTTGAAAATAATTGAATTTCGGAGATGAATTTAATTATTTCTTTAAAGATAAATGAAATTTTGACGAGAATTTTAAAAAAAATTTGTGAACATAATTGAATTTCTACGAAGAATTTTATTACTTTTGAAAATAATTAAATTTCTACAATCATTTCTAACTTTTTCCAAAATTATTTCGTACAATTTACGAGCTTTTCGTCCTTTTTCAATAAAATTACAAACTTTTCGTTTTTTTTAATCAAATTACGGACTTTACGGACTTTTTTTCAAAAAAACTGATTTTTACGGACTTGAAGCAAATTTACGGAACTTTACATGATTTACGGACCTAGTTCGAGCCCTGTAAATACTTAAAATTGACAATTTTAAAATAATTACTAAATTTATTTAGAAAGAAACTTTGCCAATTGCACGTTTTTTAAAATTAGTGCTAGTGATTAAGAACTGCATGAAAATTTGTTAACTTAATACGGTATGTGTAATTTACAATCCTCCATTTTCTATTACTTTTACTTAAAAAAAGGAAAAATTTTTTTTTTTTTACAAATTTCGACTTGAAAATTCCATCGATTATTAAATTTAGAGTTTAATTTACAGATAGACGCGCAAAATAATGTTATTTCTCATTTGGACAAGGAGAACAAGCAGCTGCAAAATAAGGTATGTAATTTTCTTTTAATAAAATCACAAGAAAAGAAATTTAAAAAAAAGAATTTAATTAACTTTTTTCTTTCCCTTTGTGTTTAGATTGAACTTCAAGTACAAACGATCGGTCACTTACAAAATGCAGTGGTTCAAACTAAAAGATGTTTGGACCAAATGGGTCAGAAATTTGTGAGCGATGTGAGTGAATTATGGTCTTCAGTCTCGCCTTCAGTATTCAATCATGGGAATGTGCACGATGTTTGAAATAGTGAGTGTTGTTTCTACTAAACAAAACAAACAAAAGTTTGGTCGACAACTACGAAAGTCTCTCAGTTTAAATTATCACAATCGCACGTTTTTAAAGATGCAAATTAATTTTTTTTCTTCTTTTAATTTATTGTCTATTTATAATCAACATTTAATCGAATTGAAATTTATTATATAAAAAAAATGAAAATTTGTATTTTATACTAAAATACAATTTTTTTTTAAAGATAAATTGTAAATATAGGCATCGCTAGACGTGCGGAATTGTAAATAAAAAAAATTGAATTCTAACAAAAAATTAATTTTGCCGTTTTTTAATTTTATTAACTTATTTATTGCTTACGCTGGCAAAAATTTTATTTAATAATTTTCTTTCTTTTTTGCATGGTTTGTTTTTTTTCAAATGAAAAATAACTAGTGCAGTGTTCAAAAAAAAAGTTTTCTAAGTAAGTGAGAAATTAACTTTTGAGCATTAATATAATTTGCTATTAATTTTTTTTCAATCTTTGTGAGAAAATTTGAATTAATTGAATTATTTTCTTGATTTTTTTATTTTAATTTTCTTATTATTTTATTCACTTGCTATTGAGAATTTGTATTTTAATGAATTTTTTTAAAAAAATTGAAGAGCTTAAATTTCAGAAAGAGAAAAAGAACGAAGCGATTCGAATGTTGTACATTTTCCTCAATGAAACGCAGCGACAATATGGCGAATGTTTTGCGGAGGCAAGTTTTAATTGAAAAAAAAGAAGAATTGTTGCTGTTTTTTTTAATTAGCTTTTTTTAATTTTTTATTTAATATAGGCCGCGAAACAAGATTCTTTACTGGAACTACAACGTGATTCGATTGAATCACTGCAGCAGAAAATTATTTACAAAGAATCCAATGTACTTTGTAAAATAATTCTTCTTCACTGTATTTATTGCGCCTTTATTTTTCACTTACAGGTAAGTATTTTTTTTTTACAGGTAATTTATTTTTTATAAGGCAAATTTGTAATTTATTTCAATTTTTAATTATTTTTTGATACACGATTTAATTAATTTTTCAGTAATTATAGAAAAGAAAAAGTGGACCGAAGTTTGAAAATTTTTTTGTAAATTCTGCAGAATAATAAAAAAAAAATTGTATAAAAAATAATGTCTTTTTTTGCTGATTAGTAATTATTATAAATTTAGAATTAAAGTTTCTAAAAATATTTTACTTTCAAAATTTTCAATTCAATTAATAAAAAAACTAAAGTTTGAAAATTTTTAATCTATTTTCTTGTTTATTTACAGGATCAGCTGAAAATTTGCGGCACTGATTGTGAATCATTAAAATTCAAGGTAATTTAAAAACTATTTTTTATTTTTCAAGAAATAAATTTGATTTTTGATTTTCAAGATCGAGAGTCTTAAGAGGAATAATAAATCCCTCGAGGAGAAATATTTGTCAGCGGCCTTTTTGTGGAAAAATACAGACTTAGAATTAAAGTGAGTTATTTTTTTTAAAACTATTTTTCAAAATTTCCCAAAAAACATTTCGAATTCATTTTTTTTAGTTTCTAAATTTTAGTTAAAAAATTAATAAACAAAATTCTTAGTTAATTATTTAAGTTATTAATTAATAATATAATAATACTTCTTATTTATTAAAAATTTAATAATTAAAAAAATTAAAAATTAAAATTAAATCAAATTAAACAAATAAATGAAAATAAAAATTATAAATTATAAATTATAAATTTTCGATTTTTCCGGCAGTGAAATGAGAAATCCGGATAAATTCAAAACAAAAGGAGTCGAATGTAAAATTGGAGACGAAGAAATAAAAAGTTTACAACTTGAATTTAATTCCTTGACGCAGGAAAATGAGGATTTACAAAAGGAAGTTCAAAAATACAGAATTGATTTTGAAATCATCGAGAAGGAATTAAAGAAGCAAAATGAAATTTGTTCGTTGAATGAAAATTTACAGAAGGAACTGAATGAAGTAAATGTATTAAAATTGGAATTAGAAAGAGAAACCGAAAATTTACAAATTGAACTAAAAAAATATAAGGTGGAATTTGAAATGATTCAGGAGGAATTAAAACAACAGAGCACAGAATACATTCCAAAATTGCGATCGGATTTGGAAATTATTAGTTCTCAGAAAGAAGGATTAAATTCGGAATTGGAAGAAGCGAAAAATCGGAATGAAATGCTAAGTGAAAAATTGAAATTAACTAATGATAAAGAGAATAAACTCAATGAGAGAATTTTCGAATTGGAAAACAATCAAAAAGAGGTAAATTGGAACATTTTTACAAGAATTTAAAAAGTTGATACCATTTTTCTTTTTTTTATTTAACTTCATTTTTCAATTATTCTATTTGATTTCATTTTCCTTTTCTATTTAATTTAATTTTCCTTTTCTATTTGATTTCAGTTTACTTTTCTATTTTTACGAAAGAATTCATTTTTTTTTAAATTTTATTAAATTCTTCGTAGAAATTTAATTGTTTTCATAAATAGTACAATTTTTTAGATGAATTCAATTATTTTAAATATAATTTTAATAAAAGAAAAAGATTCATTTTTTGAAAAATTTAATAAATTCTTCGTAGAAATTCAATTGTTTTCATAAATAATACAATTTTTTAGATGAAATTAATTATTTAAAATATAATTTTAATAAAATTCTTCGAAAAAATTCAATTATTTTCATAAATAATAAAATTTGTCAGAGGAATTCAATTATTTTCAATACAATTTTAATTTAATTCATTGAAAATCTTTTAATTATTTTCGAAAATTTCCACAAAATTTTTCAAACTACTTTTCTTATTTTCAAAAATTTAATAAAATTCAAAGGGAAAATTCAAATAATATCATGAATATTATAATAAAATTTTCAAAGTTATTCAATTGTGTGAAATACAATTTTCAAGAAATTTTTTCGAAAGAAATCAATTATTTAAATGTTTTAATAAAATTCTTCGGAAAAAATTAATTATATTCCAAAATTTTGTCAAAATTTGTTTATAATTGTTTTTAATTCTATTTTAATTAAGTTATTCGAAAATCGAAGCATTTGAAATATTGTTTTGAATTTTTATAAAATGAAAAAAAGAATTCAATTATTATTACAAATTATAAAATTTTCCCAGGAATTCCATTATTTAAAAAAATTTAATAAAATTCGTTACAAGAATTCAATTATTTTCACAAACAATAAAATTTCTTTGCAGGAATTCAATTACTTTTATAATAATAAAATTCTTTGCAGAATTTGAATTATTTTGAATAAAGTTTAAAATGAATTTCTCGAAAAATGCAATTATTTTCTAAACTTTTACTAATATTCTTCGAAAGGAATAAAGCATCATTTACAAAAATTTTGATAAAATTATTTTTTAGTATTCAATTTTATGAAAAAATCAGTTATTCCATTTTTTTTATTTCGCCAAATTTAATTTTTCAATATTAGCTAATTTTTTACTACTTTTTTAAAACAAATTTTTGAGTACGAAGTCTGCTTTTCTACTTAATTTAATTTTCCTTTTCAATTTAGTTTCATTTTTCTTTTTTATTTAATTTAATTTTTTTCTCTATATAATTTCCTTATTCAATTTATTAATTACAATTATTAATTAATAATAATACAATTTAATGCATATTTCGTTGATTCTAGATGATTGAGAAATTAAAGGCAAAAATAATTGCCAGCGAGCAAGAAACGAAAAATTATATTTCGGAATTAAACGACTCGGAGAAAATGTCAAATTTTTTGAAGAGATTATTAGAGGAGAAATCTGATTGCATGGCAAAATTACAAGCTGCTTATCAAGTAATGAAGGTAATAAAAAAATTAATTAATAGACGGATTTCTTCTTCGTGTATTTTATTACTCAAAATTCAGACAAAATATTTTATTATAAAAAAAATTCTTTTTTTTAGAACAATAACACGATTTTAAAAACGGAGTACGAGAAATTTGAGGTCAAAGCGAAGGAAGAAATTTTCGAATTGCAGAGCAAGGTATTTATTGTAATTTATTACACATTTTTTCCTCTTTTTAATTGTTATTCTTTTTTTTAATCCAAAAAAAACTTTTTTTCTCAAAAATTCTTTTTTATTTTTTTTTAATGAAAATTTTATATCAAAGAAAAGGCAAAATTTTTATCAATTTACTAATGAATGAATAAATTTTTATTACTTTCTCATGGAGGAAGTATTTATTTATTAATCCTAATATTTTATAGATGAAAGAAATTCAACGTCAACTTGGAATCGTTGAGACTAATTACGAAACTGTCACACAGGATTTCAACAAAAGTCAGGAACTTTTGAATCTAAGTTGTAAACGAGAAGTTGAATTGCAACAAATGTTGACTAGTCTGGTAATTTAATTTATTTTTTTTTTGGAAAATCACTTTCTTTACTATTATATTCTATTCTTTGTATTTATTTTTCTTTTCGTCTAGGAAAAGAAATTTTATTCCCGAATAATGAACACGGAGGAAGAAGAACTGAGAATAAAGGAATTAATGAGTAAACTGAAAAAGGAACTTGAGTATGAGAAGGAGAAAGTTTCGTCGAAAAAAATAGAACTCGAAAAAATTCAGACGGCCTGCAATCTTTTTTCTACTCAACTTGAAGAAACACAATACGAAGTAACTATAAATTTCACTTTTAAAATCGAAATCACACTTAGTGACCGCAAAATTTCATTTTCGAAATTCTTTAACTTTTCTGACTAACAAATTTTCGAATTATTTAAAATTCTACATTACTGATAAAAAAATCTATATTGTTTCTTAAGTAAATAACAATTTTTTTTCTAAAGAAAAATTAAACTAAAATTCTACAGAAAACAAAATTAAAATTTTGTTTAAAACTTTTTTTTTTCTAAAAAACAAATCAAAAATTTTGGATTTATACATTTTTAATATTCCATTTATTATTTAAAATAATTATTAATTAATTGAAACATATTTTATTACAGTTGGAAAACCAGAAGAAGAATAATTCAAAACTACAAACTGCAAATTGTTCTGTTAAAAAGAAATTACAAGATTCGAAAGAGGAAAATTTGAAACTTTTGAGAAAAATCAAATTTCTCGAGCAAACTAGTGACAAATCGAACAATGAGGTGACTCCCGTTATTTTCATAAACTTTTATTTACTATTAAATTCTCAAAAGTATTTTTTTTGAAAAACAAATTTAAAGCCATGAAAAATGGCTTTTTTTCAATTTAAAAAAATTTTTAATTCAATTCAAATTTAGGTTTTATTTTAATTTAATAAAATTCTTATCAGGATTTCAATTATTTTCAATAAAATTTTAATTAATTTCTTCGAAAATTTAAATTATTTTTGAAAATTTTGTTAAATTTCTCCGAGAAAATTCAATTCAAAATTCTTTAGTTAATTTATAAATAATAAAAATCTTCGTAAAAAATTCAATTATTTCTATATGAATAATAAAATTCTCCTAAAAAGTTCAATTATTTTAAAAAATAATTGAATTTTTCACAGGAGTTGAATTATTTAAAACACTTTTAATAAAATCCAATTCAAGAATTCAATTATTTTTAAAAATAATGAAATTTTCGCTTGAATTCAATTATGTTAAAAAAATACAATTTTAATTGAATTCCAGGAAAAATTAAATTATTTTTAAACATTTTTTTTAAATTCATCGAAAGAATTCAATAATATTAATATATTTATTAATATTAAACTTTCCACAGAAATTCAATTATTTTAAATACAATTTTAATAAAATTCTTCTTAAAAATTCATTTATTATTTAAAATTTTGCAAAAATTCAATTATTTGTAGAAATAATAAATTTTTTCTCGAAGAGATTCAATTATTAAAAAAATGTTTTAATAAAATTCTATTCAAAAATTCAATTATTTTTAGAAATAATTAAATTGTCGATGTATTGAAAGTGATTGAATTCTTGTAAAGTATTTATAACAAAATTTGCAAATAATTGAATTCATTTCAAGAAATTCATCAACTTTTTTTCAATAATTGAATTCTTTTGAGAAAATGTAATTAAAGTTGTATTGAAAATATTTTAATTATTGGCAAAATTTCTAATAAAATTCTTTAAAATAATTGAATTGATTTGAAGAATTTATTTCAATTTTCTTGGAAATAAAAGAGTTTTTTTTAATAGTTTTTACTGAAAATTTTGAAAATAATTGAATTTTAAGAAGAATTTCTTTTAAGTTTTTAAAATAATCGTGTTTATTATTAATTGCATATTAATAATTTTTCGACTAAATTATATGAAAATTATTCATAGAAAATTAAATTCTTTTAAACAATTTTATTAATTATTTATATATAATTATATATTTAAACAATTTTATTATTATTAGAGTTTTCGAAGAATTTGTTGAAAATAATTGAATTTAAATGATATTTAAAAAAAATAATTGTATTCTTTCGAGAAATTTTATTTGAAATTGTATTGAAAATAATTGAATTCCTCCGAATCTTTTTGTTATTTATAAAAATAATTGAATTCCTTTGAAAAATGTTATTATTTATGAATATATTTTAATTCTTACGAAGAATTTTCTTATTCTTGAAAATAATTCAATTCTTGCGGTAGATTTTACAATTTATAAAAATAATTAAATTGTTTCGAAGGATTTTAGCTAAATTTTTGAAAACAGTTGAATTTTTTGAAGGAATTTTATACAAACTTTCGAAAATAATGATTTTTTAAAAGAATTTCATCCAAATTGTTGAAAATAATTGAAAATAATAATAATAATTGAAAATTCTTGCAAATAATCGAATTTAATTAATATTTTTAAAAATAATTGTATTCTTTCGAGAAATTTTATTAAAATTGTATTGAAAATAATTGAATTGCTCTAATGAATTTTATTATAATTTTATAAGAATAATGAAATTCTTGCGATAAATTTTATTAAAATTAAAATTTAAAAAATATAAAAGTATTAAAAACAATGAATAATTAAAGAAATAAAACAATAAATAATAATAATTAATGAATCAATTTTAAAATTAAATAACTTTTTATTTCTAAATTCGAGTTCGATGCGAAGAAAGAGAGAAATAATCTAATATTTTGTGAATGACATCTTCAAAAATGGAAATTAATTTTACAGCTGGAGGATATGCATAATATGTTTATTGACTTGAAAAAGGAATGTAAAATGAAGAATAGATCTTTAGCGTCAATTACTGCCGAATTGTCACAAGCGACAGCCAGCCGATCAGAATTATGCAATGAATCGCAATACGTTGTTTCCTGTATTCGCGATTGGATGGAGGAGCAAAATAATATCGTTGACACTTTAAATGAAAAATTGAAAAGGAAACAGGAGCAATTGGAGATTCTTGGCTTTCAAAAAAAGTAAGAATTTCCATCAATTTTTTCGCTGATAGTTTACAATAATTTTTTTTTTTTCTTTACATTCTCATCAAAAATGAAAAGGTCACGAATTTTTCATTTATTTTCAATTAGGGCCCTGCTGTTGAAAATAAAAGAGCAAAAGCGTATTATTAACGCATTGCAACAAAAACGAAAACGACAACAAAGATCTTACATTGGTTCGAGGAATATTAGCAATAAAAATCATTTTAATTTGAAATCAATTTATACACAAAGTGAACCGAGTTCGACAAATTCTCTCCTTTCGAAGGTCAGACAATTTTTTTCTAATACTAATTATTGAATTAAAATAATAATTGAAGCTTGGATTTAATTAATTAAATTTATCTAATTAAAAGTCGATTAAATTAAATTTTTTAAAACTATATTTAATGGATAAGATTTAATTTAATTATTTTTAATGGATTAATTTAAATTTAATTAAATTATTCTTAACGGAGACGAAAAATTTTATTAATATATTTAATGGACTAAAATTAAATTATATTTGTAGTTTATATTCGTATTTATTTATAAATTTATTTTTTTTCACAGGAATTTCTCACTAGAAGTTGTAAAAAAACGGAGTACTGTTCAACATTCTTTCAGGAAATTAAACATTTAACGAATGCCCTGAAGCAGGGAAATGAATTTTTCCACGAAAATTCTAAATTCCATTCTGAAAATGATTTTGGAATCGACGAGAATCGAGATTGTGGTTATCAATCATCGACCAGCAAATGATGAACAAAATATTGCAATTTCAGAAAATTTGTTTTTTTTCTTCTTTAAGAAAATAGTTTCCACGTATAAAAATGGAAAGAAACAATTGAAAGTTTCCCTCCTGTGAAAATCATGTGAATGACGAGTTTTTTTTTTATTTTAATAAATCTTTTTTATCAATATTTCACAGATTTATTATTCATCGAAATATAATTTTCTATTTTTTTAAATTATTAACTAATTTTCTAATAATTAATTATTATTGTTTTTAAACAAAATTTTAATAAAATGTCACGAACAAATAGAATTATTTTCTATAATTTTAAATAAATCCTTCGACACAATTCAATTATTTTTTTAAATGGTAAAATCTTTGCAAAAATTCAACTATTTTCAAAAATAATTCACCAAAGAATTCAAATTTTTTCTTAATTCGTATTATAAAATCTTTGCAAAAATTTTCAAACAAATTTTTAGAAGTAATTCAATTTTTTTCTTCATTTATTATAAAATATTTCAAAAGAATTCAATTTTTTTTAATTCGTATTATAAAATCTTTGCAAAAATTTGCAAACAAATTTTAAGAAAGAATTAAATATTTTTCTAAATTTTAATAAATCCTTCGAAAAAATTCAATTTTATTTATAAATAGTAAAGTTCTTTGCAAAAATTCAAGTATATTCAAAACAATTTCCCAAAAGAATTCAATTTTTAAAATGTTTGCAAAAATTTAACAATTTTCAAAAAAAAATTCACGAACGAATTCAATTTTTTTTCTTAATTCGTTATATAAATAATTTCAACAGAATTCAATTATTTTTAGAAATAGTAAAATTTTTAGCAAAAACTCAATTATTTTCAAAAAAAATTTCACAAAAGAATTCAATATTTTTTTTTACGTTAAAAAATTTTTAAAAACAATTCAATTTTCTAAAATTTTAATAAAATTCAATAAATGTTTAATTTTAATTATTAACAAACAGGATTATTTTAAAAACTAGAAAGAAATTTGTTCATAAAATTCAATTATTTTCAAAAATTTTAATTAAAATTATTAAAGCTCCATTATTTAAAAGAAAAAAATTCAAGGAAATTCTTCAAAAAGAATTTAACTAGAATTTTCAAAAATTTTAACAAATTCTTCTCGAGAATTCAAATATTTTCCCGAATAAAAAAATTCTTCACAGAAATTCTATTATTATCAAATATTTTTGATAAAATTTTTTGCAACAATTCGATGATTTTCAATATACATTAATTTAAAAATTGAAAATATTTCAAAAGAAAAGTGATTAAAAAAGTTAAGAAACAAAAAAGCAAACAATTAACTTCAAACTGCGAACAGATTACCGAAATACAACGATTATTAAAATATAGATTTTATTAATTTATTTTATGTTAACAATTTATTTCCATCAATTTTTATTTAGTTATTTTTATAATTTCATTTGGATAATAATTTTCATATTCAATTAAAGCAATTTTTCTCTCATTACGCTTCTGATGGCTCATTTAATTTTAAGTAACAAATTATAATTAGGAAGGCCGATAAAACTTCATATGTTGCATGTAAGTCGTGAGAAGAAGGTCAAGTAGCAATTTACGCTCTTCTAGAGTAAAATTTCTTTATCTAACGGATCTCGTAATTTAGAAATTATCATTAAAAAAAAATAAATGCTACGTTAAAAAAATTCAGGGTGTCGACTATTTTCGTTCAACAAAATTCTCGACTTTGTCCTAATTTTCCCCGATTTTTTTTCTCATCAAATTTAAATTTATTTGATTTCGAAAATAAATAAATCTACAAATGGCTTTAAAAATTTTTATTACAGTTTTTATGAATAATTAAATTCTTTTGACGAGTTTCTTAAAAATTTTTTAAAATAATATTTTTTTAAATAATTTTTATTGAAAATTTGGAAAATAATTGAATTAAACAAAGAATTTTTTCAATTTTTGATAATAATCTTCTGCTCATAATTTTGAAAATAATCTTCTGTTCATAATTATGGGTAAAAATTTGATTAATTCAATTTTATTAAAATTTTTATTATTAAAATTTTTTTAATTAAAATTATGCAAAGAATTTTACTATTTATAAAAGTAATTGAATCCTCTCAAAGAATGTTATTGTTTATGAAAATAATAAAATGTTTGCGTAGAATTTTATTACAATTTTTTGAAAATAATTGAATTACGAACAACAATTTAATTATTTATAAAAATAATTGAAATTTTGAGGAGAATTTGACAATATTTTTCAAAATAATTGAATTTCTGCGAAGAATTTTATTACTTTTGAAAATAATTGAATTGTTTTTCTTAGAATTTTATGGAAATTTAGGAAAATAATTGAATTCTTGTAAAGAATTCATTTTAAAAATAATATTCAAAAGAATTTAGTAAATTCGAAGAATTTTGTTATTTATGGAAATAATTGAATTCTTGAGAAGAATTTTTTTTACAGTTTTTAGAAATAATTGAATTCTTTCGACAAATTTTAATAAAATTTTGAAGAATAATTACATTTTTCGAAAAATTCGATTAAAATTGTATTAAAAATAATTGAAATTCTGCGATGAGTTTCATTATTTATAAAAATAAATAAAAAAAAATAAATAAATAAATAAATAAATTTCTAACAAGAATTTTTTTTTTTTTTATTGTTTATACTCCTGCCCTATTGGCCTTACGCACTTCGACAAGAATCCCCGAGAAATACTTTTTTGGATTAAGCATAACCATTCTACTTAGAAATTTTCTATATATTAACCTAATTTGCGTCTACAGCCTAGAATTTTATGAAATTTTTTTAATTAAAAAAATTGAATTCTTTTAGAAAATTTAAAAAAGATAGTAGATATTGAAAATCATTGAATTAAGGAAAATTTTTGAAAATATAATTGAAATCACAGTGACAAACTTCCGTTAATTATTTGCGAAAAATTCAGATAAAATTCTTGAAAAGAATTTAATTATTTTTAATAGAATGTAAAGAATTTTCAATTATTTGTTTATATATAAAAATTCAATTATCTTGAAACAATAGAATTAAAAAATTTCAAAAATCTTATTTATCAGAATTTTCAAAAAAAACTCTGAGAATTCAATTATTTATCAATTTTTAAATTAAAATACTTTAAAAATTCGATTTGTTAAAAAGTTTCTAATGAAATTCTTTAACAAATTTAATTATTTTCAGTTGGAATTTTACAAAATTTCTATTAATTCGATAATTTTTTTAAAAATTTATTTACTAAATATATTTGAAACAGTGACTGATTTTTTTACTATCAAATTAATTATTTTTAACTAATTTAGAGAACAGTATAAATATTTATAAAAATTGAAATAAAAAGCGATTTTTTAAAAACAAATTAAAATAATAAGTTTTTTTAAGTTTTGGTGAAAAAATTCCCGGTTGAGCATAAAATTTCTGGCTTATTCCCTGTTTCTCCCGGTCAAATATAATTCCCAGCTATTTCCCAAATTTTCCGGTTAGTAGACATCCTGAAAATTATAATTTTGATAAATGATAAACATTAAAGAATCCTAAAATACTAAAATTTACAGAATAAATAAAACTTTGAATTCGAAATTTTATTTATTTAATCGACTGAGTGATAAATAGAAAAGAATTAAAAAATATTGAAAAGTTAAATTTTCTAATAAAAAATTATTCTAAAAAATAGAATTGAAAAATAGAATTGAAAAATAGAATTGAAAAATAGAATTGAAAAATATAAATAGAAAAAATTGAAGAAAATAAAAGATTCGAGAGAAAAAAATTAGAAATATTGAAAAGATCAGTAATTTTATAATATTCACAAGTTTATTCTTTCCCTTGTATAATAATTGTTCATAATTTATCAGGATTTATCAATAAAATTAATATACAATATACTTTAGAGTATAAGTGTCATACACGATTTATCTAACAAAGAAAATTTATGTATAATAATAATAGCAGGAGGAATGGCCTCTACTATCTTACAAGAGTCGCGTGCCAAAAAAGTCCATTTTTTTTTAAATGTTATTACCGTATAATTAATTGTATAATTATTATTGTTATCAATATCATTATGCTTATTATTACACAAAATCATATCACCTATGTTTCATTATATATTTATATATTTATAACGAACACCGCCCATTTACTACTAGAATTACAAACGAGAGATCCGTCGAAATAAACAAGACCAGATCTTGCTTTTTTTTTCTTTTTTTTTTCTTTCTTTCTCTCTTTTTCTCTCCCTCTCTCTCTCTCCCTCTCAAAAATTGGTGATATATCATCGAATATGAGACATTTATTTTTTTTTTCTCCTCATTCATTCACAAAAAATGTTCATGATGCACAAATCACCTCCCACTGTTTGAAGTTGCATTTCTTCGCGTAAGTTCCATTAAAAGTCAATGTGGACACATTTTGGATTTTTTTACTTTTCTGGAATATCGTACATATCTGAAAAATCAAAGATTTACCATTGTCAATAATTGAAAAAATTAAATTATACTCGTCGATGATTTTATTCATCAAGAAATAATTATTTATTTATTTTTCCCCTTGAAAAACCATTTTTTTCAGAATTTGAAACAAAAATTACTTTCAATCATCGAATCGATAATTCACTTTTGAAATTGAAAGTTAAAGTTTCCGAAAAATACTGATTTTTTCTGATTTCACTCAAAAAATATTCTTAAAATTAATTTTTTTTGTTACTAAATTTTTTCAATAACTAAATCAATTTTATATCGTTTTAACAAAAATCTTTTGTAATTATATAAATAATTTCAGAATTAAAAAATCATCAATTTCAGAAAAATACTCACTGATTATTTTCACTTAAAGAAAATTTTAATTATATTAATCTTTTTTGGTATTAAATCTTTTTAATGACTCAGTTTTAATTTATTTTCTTTGAATTCTTTTGCAATTAAATAATTTTCGATTAGTTAAAAGTTTGAAATTAAATTTATTCTAATCAATAATTTTATTGTTTCCTAATTTTTTTTTATTCTAAAAATGGTACTAAATTAATTATATTCTTTTATAAATAAATGAAATTTTACAGTTTTCTATAATAAAACGAATAAAAATAAATTCTTCATTAATTATTTTTCTATTTCCAAAATAGAAAATTTTTTTTTAATGAATTTCATTGTAAAAGAATTTAATTTAATTTTGTACACAAAATTAAATAAATTCTTTTACAATGAAATTACATCTAAATTATTAAAATTAAATTCTTTTATAAAAAAAACCAAGAAAATTAAATGAAATAAAATGATTCAAATTTAAAAAATGACATGTCACATAATTGAAAATTTATTTATTCAAAATTATTCCGAACTATCAATTCAATATTATCTAATCAATACAAAAATGATCTTGATTTAAAACTCGACTGCTTTTTAATGAATGTAAAATTCTGAAAAGAGCAAATATTTAGAAAAATAACAGAAGATAAAAAAAGAATGATTGATATTTGAAAAAGAATTTTCGACAATATTTGTATAATACAACAAAATTTTAATTTTTTTTTGTACACATCATGTTTATTTAATCGAAAAAAGAGGTTGCACATTATTTACAATATATTTCGATTTGTACCACAAAAGTTTAAATCAAATTATAATTAAAGAATAAGATTTTTTTCTTCAATTTTCTATTTTCTTTTCTTTTTTCGTTAACAAAACAATAACAAAATCAATACGGAATGTAAATCGATGTTAAAATAAATAAAAAGCAATAATAATAATAATAATAATAATAATAATAATAATAATAATAATAATAATAATAATAATAATAATAATAATAATAATAATAACAAGAAAAAAGAGAAAAACCTTAAAAATAAAAAGTACTTACCAGGAAGTTAAATAGTATTTTTTCTAAATAATTTTTTTCTCGCATTGTTTTTTTTTTATTCATAAAACTAATTTTATTTTTTTTAATCAACATTTTTTTTTATTAATCGTGAAAATTAGGTACTTCTTATCGAAGGCGAATCTTTTTCTTTCTCAAAATTGAAAATTCAGGCCTCGGATCGACTTTAAGGAGCAAAAAATATTTTAAATTAATTTTTAGAAGATAATTTTTATTAATTTTCACTAGCAAGTGTTACACGCGAAACGTGATAATCAATTTATTATTATTATGCAAATTACAAAATTCTTTATTTTCAAATATAAATTTTTGAATAATTTCATAAGAAAAATTTTTAAAATTCACTTATTAAGTAAATAATTAATTATTATTGTTTATATATATAATTTCAAAAATTTTAATATAATTCTTAAAAGGAATTCGATTATTTTCATAAATAATAAAAATTCTTCGGACGAATTCAATTATTTTTGTAAATAGTAAAATTTTTGCCAAAATTCAATTATTTTCAACAAGATTTTATTCAAATTTCACGAAAAAATTCAATTTTTTTTAATTCTTTATAAAATTTTTCAAGAGAATTAAATTATTTTCTAAATTTTTAATAAATCCTTCAAAAAATTAAATTATTTTTATAATATATATAATATATATATTATATATATATTTTTTTTGCTTTGCACAAAATAAATTATTTTTAATAAAATTTCATGAAAGAATTCATTTACATTTTAATTTTTAATATTATTTTCCGAAAAAATTTAATTATTTTCTAAAATTTTAATAAATCCTTCGAAACAATTTCAGGGTGTCTAGTAATTTAGAAATATAAAATTCCCGGGGTTTTCCCGGTTTTTTCCCGGTATGTAAATAATTTTCCCGGATAATTGAAAACTAAAATTTTACAGTAAATTTAATCGTAATATTTGTAAAACTTATAATAAGAATTGTATTGTGATTTACTTGACGGTAATTTCATGTTTAAAATCAAAAAAAGGTGTCGCATCACTGTAAAAATTTGGCACAAGCTTCCCAGTGGGCAAAAAACCATCATTGTTTTAAAAACGTTCCAAAAATGTTTTTAGAACGTTTCATGTCTGCCAAATAACGTCCCAATAACGTTATATGTTTCTAAAACGTTTTAAAAGCAATGGAACGTTTTTGGAACATTATTTGGCAGACATGAAACGTTCTAAAAACATTTTTGGAACGTTTTTAAAACAATGATGGTTTTTTGCCCACTGGATTGTCACATCGAAAATCATTTCCCATATAAGTTAGGTCTTAATTGGACAATAATAAAACATTGTCTAATATACGAAGAGAATCAATATACAATTCGAAATTGAAAAAAAATTAAGTTAAGCGTTGAAAAAATGTAACTATTTTTTCCAACAACATAATAAAGTACTTCATAAAAAAATTCCCGGATTTAAAAGAAAATTCCCGGGGGTTTCCCGGTTTTTCCCGGGAAAAAAAAATTCCCGGGGTTTTCCCGGTTTTTCCCGGATTCCCGGTTCGCTAGACACCCTGAATTTAATTTTTAAAAATTTTTAATAAAATTTCACGAAAGAATTCAATTTTTTTTCTTAATTCGTTATAAAATTTTTAAAAAGAATTCAATTATTTTCTAAAATTGTAGTAAATCCTACAAAACTACTCAATTATTTTTAATACAATTTTAATAAAATTTTATGAAAGAATTTAATTACATTTTAGTTTTTAATATTATTTTTCGAAAAAAATTCCATTTTTTTCAAATATTTTTGAAAAATCCTTCGAAGCAATTCAATTATTTTTTTAAATAGTAATAATTCATCGCAAGAATTAAATTATTTTTTATAAATAATAAAATTCTTCTCAAGAATTAATTTATTTTTAATACAGTTTTAATAAACTTAAGTAATCAAATATTTAATTATAATAATTAACAGACGATTATTTTAAAAAGTTGAAAGAAATTCTTAGATTATTTTCAAAATTTTCAATTAAAATTATTCAAAAAACTACATTATTTTTAAAAAAATTCAAAGAAGTTCTTTAAAGGAATTTAATTGGGATTTCTGAAAATTTTACTAAAATTCTTCACAGAAATTCAATTATTCTAAAATTTTTTGATAAAATTCTTCAAAAGAATTCAATTATTCTCAAATTATTTTTGACAAAATTCTTTCCAGGAATTCAATGATTTTCAATATATTAATTTAAAACTTGAAACTAAAATACTAAAATACTCGGAAAAAATCAATTATTTTCAATTAAATTTTACAAAAATTCAATTATTCAAAAATTTTTCAATTTTATATTTTGAAAATTTAATTAGAAAAATTATTCAAAAATAATTTTTGAAATATTTGTCTATACATAGTTATTTTTCACAGTATAAAAATCGACATAAGTTTCATTTTACACTAAAAAAATATTATTCTTTTGCAATATTCGGAAAAAAGGTGAAAATGTCGCAAATTTTTGAAAAGAAGGAAAAAAAAGTCATAATATCCAAGGCCTGAAAATCGAGAAAATATTGAGAAACGCAATAAAGAAGAATGCACTTTTTTTAACATTATCGATAGAAATAAAATTTAATCCTTTTCTCTAATAAATTATTCTACAAAGGAATTGAGGTACAAAAGTGATAAAATTTTCCACTGTACACCGCAAAAATTTTTTTATTTTCTCTAAAAGAAATCACTTGTTTTTTTTGTGGTGTACAAAAAAAAGGAAGAGACAAAAAGAAAAAACATAGAAGATGGACTAAATTCACTATAATAATATATAGTCTAAAATTCATTTTAATTGTCTTTAGTAGATTAAAATCCTCCCTGTATAAATACAATCGACGTTTAAATTACGACAGTCTCTAAATTAAGAAATTATACCTCTTTCGTGGTACACAATGTTTCTTTTCTTATCGAATTTTTTTTTCATTTTCTTTTAATTTGCATGCATGAAAATTTTTCTTTGCAAGCGTGCTTTTTTTTAACTTAGAGAATACGAGGTGAGTCATTAAAAAAAAAATTGTGAAATCTAAGACAAATTCTTTTTTTAAAAAGAGTTTTTTAAAAAAGTTTTTAAAAAGATTTTTTTAAAAAGAGTTTTTAAAAAGAGTATTTGAAAAATTTTTTTAAAAAACTCTTTTAAAAAAAAAATTTGTTAAATACCTAGCAAATGTCACTTTAAAATCTAAAAAGCGATAAACAATAAACTAGTAAGAAAATAACAAAGTCCCTCTCTGTCAAGTTTAAAAAATCTAGTTTCTTTTTAAATTTTCCACATTTTTTTTTGTTCATTACGGACTCACCTGCACTTTTTTTTTTATTAAAGAAAAAATCATAAAACGTAACATTGCAAAAAATATATCACAAGAAATGCAATAGATAAGTCTGCAATATTGAAAAAAATGAAAATATTGTTATCACTTAATAACATACTGACGGTATTTCAGTGAAATTAAATTTTCTTTTGCTAAATTTATTCATTTCTAGACATTTTTCGATGTCTTACATTTTTTAACGAATAAGAGATATCGAATTTTATGATAAAAATTAATTCAGAGCAAATTGATAAAAAAAATTAAAAAATGGAATTTTTGAAATCTGGATTAAAATACATTTTGATATTTTTTTTTGAGAATTATTATTTACTTTCTTCTATTTGCTCTGATAAATTTTAACAGGGCTCGAAGTAGGTCCGTAAATCCAGTAAAAGTCCGTAATTTTGCTTGAAGTCCGTAAAAGTCCGTTTTTTTTAAAAAAGGTCCGTAAAATCCGTAATTTCATTCAAAAAGGATGAAGAGTTCGTAAATTGTACGATATTATTTTTTAGAATTTTAGAGAAATTACAAATGATTGCAGAAATTCAAATATTTTTAAAAGTAATAAAATTCTTCGCAAAAATTCAATTATGTTCAAAATTTTTTTTAAATTCGCGTCAAAATTTCAATTATTATCTTTAGAAATATTAAAATTCTTCTCAGAAATTCAATTATTTTCAAAAAATCTAAAAAATATTGTCAACATTTCAATTATCTTTATAAATAAATAGCAAAATTCTTCGACAAAATTCAATTATTTTCAAAAATTTTAATAAAATCCATTGCAAAATTTCAATTATTTTTAAAAGTAATAATATTCTTCGCTAAAATTAAATATTGTTCAATATCTACTATTTTCATAAAATTTATCAAAAGAATTTAATTATTTGAAAAAAAAATTTAATAAAATTCTACAAAAACTTTTAATTATTTTCAAAAAATAATAAAAATTTCACAAGAATTTCATTAATAACAAATTTTTTTTATAAATTTCCTCCCAATCATTTAACTATTTTCATAAATAATAAAATTTTTACGGGGATTCAATTATTTTCGTAAATAATAAAATTCTTTTTAGGAATTCACTTATTTTCAATAAAATTTTAATCGAATCGAAAAAATTCTTAAAAATTTTATTAAAATTCGTCTAAAGAATTTAATTATTAAAAAATTTGTTGATAAAATTTTTAATGGGAATTTAATTCCAAGAAACATTTAATTATTCAATAAATTATTTATTTTTGTATCTAAATAATTGAATTCTGGTAGAATTTTCTCATAAACATTGATTTAAAAATAGATTTCAATTAAAATCTTAGATTATAATAATTGAATTCTTTCGAAGAATTTCATTGAAATTTTAAAAATAATTGAATTTTATCGAGACACTTTTTTAAAATTGTCTTAAAAATAATTGAATTTCTACCAAAAAAAGTTTTATCGAAACTTTTTAAAATGTTTGAATTTCCTGCTAAAATTCTAATATTTTTGAAAATAATTGAATTCTTGCGAAGAATTTTATTAAGACTTTTGAAAATAATTGAATCTCTCTAAAGATTTTTATTATTTTACGAAAATATTTAAATTCTTGCGAAAAATTTTATTAAAATTTCTTAAAGTATTTGAAGATCTGCTAAGAATTTTGTTATTTTTAATTTATGCCAAAAATTTTATTGAAAATTTTAAAAAATAATTCAATTCCTGTTAATTTTTTACAAGAATTTAATTATTTTTGAAAATGTTAATAAAATTCTTCGCAAGAATTCAATTATTTTCATAAATGATAAAATTCAATGCAGAATTTCAATTATTTTATTTATTTTTAATACAATATTTAATCGAATTTCTCGAAAAATGTAATAATTCTTAAAAATTTCATTAAAATTCGTTGATAGAATTCAATTATTTGAAAATTTGTTGATAACGATTTTTTATGGGAATTGAATTTTAAGAAACGTTCAATTCTTCAATAAATTATTTATTTGCATTTTTGCATTTAAATTTGTATTTAAATAATTGAATTCTAGTAGAATTTTCTAATAAAAATTGATTTTCATTTCATAAAAATGAATTTCAGTTAAAATTTTAGATAATAATTGAATATTAAATGCAATAGAGCGTGAATTTTAAAAAATAATTTAATTTTGTAATTAATTTTTTTGAAAAAGTTTAATTGATTTTTTTAAATATTATTTTTAGTTTCTATTTTCTAATATTTATTTAATTAAAGAATTTACGAATAATTGAAATTTTGTAAAATTGAATATTGTAAAGAAATGAATTTGAATATTGTTAAAGAACTTTTTCGAAAATTTAAAAAAATAATCGAAGAATTTTAGTTTTAAATGATTAAAAATAATAATTGAATTGATAATGATTTTAATTATTATAAATTATTTTGATTAATAATTATTATAAATTATTTTGATTAATAATTATTATTAATTATTATAAAACATGAAGAAATCGATGACTTCGAGTCGAAGACTCAGAGTTATCGATTTCTTCATGTTTTATAGAATTATGAAAAATTGAATTTCTAGTTTTAAGTAAAATATTCCCTTATTTGATTGGGCCTGATTCTATTTTTGTCAGTTGGTCCGTAAATGGTCCGTAATTTTTCATTTTTGGTCCGTAAAGTCCGTATTATATTTATTTTTAAATACTTTCACTGCTTCGAGCCCTGTCTGATAAATTTTAATTAACTGATATTTTCATTCGTTAAATTCTCGCTTTTTCTATGTATTTTTTCTTTTATGTAACGAATTTCATTTTTTTCTTTTTTTTTCAACTGTATATGTATAATTTTTTTTGCTTTTATAACGTTAGTATGTAGAGAAGCCATAATGTGGCCCCTGCCGTTTATAAAATCTATATTATTAAATATCATATTGCATAAAATCAATTACGCTGTACAACAATTAGCATCATCGAGATGAGCATAATCCTCGAATCTATTAAACACCATACGATACACAAATTACACGAAAAGGATTTTTTCCTGGTTTTTCGCATTGAAACGAGAAATACTGTGAACAATAGAATTTCACGTAGGTTTCTTTCTTTCTTTTTTTTGAAATGATTTTTTTCCCGACCGCTGGATTTTTTTTTTTTTACTTTTGTTTCGTCATCTCTCGATATTTCTTTGCAATATATAAAAAAGTATTTTTAAAACTTGCGATCGACTTCTCAAAAAAAAAAAAAAAAAAATTTTTTTCCGAGAGGTATAAATGCGCAACTACATTATGATGGGTTTTATTATTTTTTTTTCTTGACATAACTCTTTACGATTTTTCTACTTGAAAAAATTCGTATTGTCAGTTATGTCTTTGCTTTTTTTTATGATTTCGCTTCGTCGATCTCAAGAAGCATAAAATTTAACTACTATAAAAATAGATACCAGTATGAATATATAGGACACATACGGATTTGGTCAATCACTTGCAGCAATTGCCGGTAGTTGCTTTCTGCCCTTCTGTTTCGACTAGTCGGCGCCCTTGTCCACTTGTACTCGCATTTCCTGTTTGCTCGCTCTTTGGAAGTTTTTTAGCTGCAAAATAACAGTTCATTTGAGAATTTTTATTCAGTGTTACAAAAAAAATATATATATCATTCGTAGTTTATTTTTCACCGATAAAATTTCCTATTTCAAAATTTAAAAATTTTAACTACAATTTTCAAATATGGAATTTTATTTCTTATTTTGTAATCTATCTTCTATATTAATAATCATTGCATTCCGGTAATTTGTTCGCAGTTTGAAGTTAGTTGTTGTTTGTTTTTTAGTTTCTTAACTTTTTTTCAATAATTTTTCTTTTTAAATATTTTCAATTTTATTTTTAAATTAATGAATATTGAAAATCATCTAATTATTGGAAAGAATTCTATCAAAAAAGTTCGTCATAATAGAATTTCTACGAAGAATTTTGTTAAAATTTTTGAAAATTCTAGTTAAATTCGTTTTGAAGAATTTCTTTAAATTATTCTTTTAAATAATGAAGTTCCTTCAACAATTTTAATAAAAATTTTTTTAAATAATTGAATTTTATGAACAATTTCTTTCAAGTATTTAAAATAATCCTGTTTGTTAATAATTGAAATTAAACATTTAATTATTGAATTTTATTAAAATTTTAGAAAATAATTGAATTCTTTTTGAAAAATTTTATAACGAATTAAGAAAAATATTTTGCATTCTTTCGTGAAATTTTTTTGAAAATAATTGAATTTTTGCAAAGTATTTAAAAAAAAAATTGAAAATAATTGAATTTTATGACGATTTAAATTATTTTCAATAATTGTAATAAAATTCTTTAGTTAATTTATAAATAAAATAAAAATCTTCGTAAAAAATTCATTTATTTCTATATGAATAATAAAATTCTCATAAAAAGTTCAATTATTTTAAAAAATAATTGAATTTTTCACAGGAGTTCAATTATTTAAAATACTTTTAATAAAATCCAATTCAAGAATTCAATTATTTTTAAAAATATAATGAAATTTTCGCTGGAATTCAATTAATTTAAATACAATTTTAATTTTAATTGAATTCCAGGGAAAATTTCATTATTTTTAAACAATTTTCTTTAAATTCTTCGAAAAAATTCAATAATATCAATAAATAGTCAATTTTTCACTGGAACTCAATTATTTTGAATACAATTTTTATAAAATTCTAAATTCTTCTCAAAAATTCATTTATTTTTTTAAATTTTGCAAAAATTCAATTATTTGTAGAAATAATAAATTTTTTCGCAGAGAATCAATTATTTAAAAAAAAGTTTTAATAAAATTCTATTCAAGAATTCAATTATTTTCAGAAATAATTAAATTGTCGATGTACTGAAAATAATTGAATTCTTGTAAAGTATTTAGAAAAAAATTTGAAAATAATTGAATTCATTTCAAGAATTTTATCAACTTTTTTTCCAATAATTGAATTCTTTCATAAAATTTTATTAAAATTGTATTGAAAATAATTTAATTTTTGTAAAGATTTTTATTAAAACTCTTTAAAGTAATTGAATTAGTTATGAAGAATTTATTTAAATTTTCTTGAAAGTAAAAGAATTCTTTTTTAAAAATTTTTACTGAAAATTTTGAAAATAATGGAATTTTAAGAAGAATTTCTTTTAAGTTTTTAAAATAATCGTGTTTATTATTAATTGTAATTAACGATTTTTCTATTAAATTATATTAAAATTATTCATAGAAAATTAAATTCTTTTAAACAATTTTATTAGTTTTTGTAAATATTTACATTCGTTTTGAAGAATTTCATTAAATTTCGTAAAAATAATGTAATTTTTTAAAACAATTTTACTTGAAAATTTAGAAAATAATTGAAATTTACAAAGATTTTTATTAAAAACTTTTGAGAACAATTGATTTGTTTAGAAAAATTTTATTATAATTTTTAGGCTGCGTCTACAACAGAAAAAATAATGTGTAGAAAATTGTGTAATATACAGTGTAATTGCCCCTGACAGTTGTCAATGCCAAAAACAATACACATTACACTACAAATTACACATTATTTTTTTCTATTGTAGACGCAGCCTTAAAAATAATTGAATCTGCTAGAGAAATTTTATTAAAATTGTATTGAAAATAATTTAATTTCTCAAAAGAATATTATTATTTACAAAAATAACTGAATTCTTGCCAAGAAAAAAAAACAAATTACATAATAAAAATAATTTAATTGTTTCGAAGAATTTTATATTCAGAATTATTGAAAATAATTGAATTTTTATTAAAACTCTTGAAAATAATTGAAATATTCAAAATATTCAAAATCGAAATAATTGAATTAAATCATTGAGATAAAGAAAAATAATTAAATTGTACTATTAATTAAAAATTGAGATAACGAAGATGGAAAGAAAAGAAATTTGTTTATTTTTTTTACCGATGATTCCGCCTGATAGAGGAAAGTTTGCTCAGTGTTTTAATAATGTTTATTCGTTTTCAATCTGTTTTTGTGAAAAACAAACATTTACTTAGCTTTTTTTTATCTTATACAAATTCTTTTATAAACTTCTAGCAAATAACTTATATTGTTAAAATAAACAATAAAATCAAAAGTGGGGATTCTAAAAACGTAAAAACCAAAAAAAAGGTACACGAAGGAATAACAACAACAATAATAAAAATAATAACAAATGTAAACCACTTCAGGGCCAAAAGGCTGAAGTTACAATAAATTATTAATAAAAAAATAGCAATAAAATAGTAAGAAATAATAATAATACTTATAAAAATATAAAATAAGATCTTCTAAAATTTTATTTTTAAAAAACTTCTTTTTGAATTTAAAATGTAGGAAAAAATATAAAATCTACTTATGAGAAAATTTGGATGTGAATAAAAGTTTTCTTTAAATTAGCGTGAACGTTTTCCAGCGGTGAACGTTTAGTTTGCTTGAAATTGAAATAAATTTAAGGAAAATATGAAAGTTAATTTTTGTTTCAACGATTGTAAATTAATAACTCACCAATAGCTAAGAATATATCGTTTACGTTCATCGCCGTTTTAGCGGATGTTTCCATAAAGAGAAGTCCATTCTCTTCAGCGTAAGTTTGAGCTTCGTCGAATTCAACAGCTCGCTTATTCGCAAGATCTGCTTTATTTCCTGCTAATGCTATTACTATACTTGGACTGGCTTGTCGTTGCAATTCTTTAACCCACGTTGTAGCTCGTACAAATGTGTCCTATTAGATGTAAAAAAAGTAAATAAAAAAGAGTAAATTAAAAAAGTAAACAAGAAAAATAAAAACAAGTAAATAATATAAGTAAAAAAAAATAAATAAAAAACGTTCAAACAAGTAAATAATAAAAGAAGTAAAAAATAAAAGAAGTAAAAAAATAAATAATAAATGTAAAAACAAGTAAATAATAAAATAAGTAAAAAAAATAAATAAAAAAGTAAACAAGAGAAGTAAAAACCAGTAAGTAAAGGAGTAAAAAAGGTAAATAAAAATAGTAAAAGAAGATAAACAACAAAGAGTAAATTAAAAAAAAATAAGAAAATTAAATTGAAGAAATAAAAAAGGCAAATAAAAATAAAAAGAGAGTAAAAAAGTAAATAAAGAAAGTAAAAAAAGCAAATAAAGTAAATAAAAAAGCAAAAAAAGGAAAGAAGTAAACGAAAAGTAAATAGAAAAATAAATAAAAAAATATTAGTAAAATTGAAATTTAATCAGAAGAAATGTAATTTAATAAAAAAGAATTCTTTCTTAGACAGGGTTGCCACAAATATTTAATTTTATTTTTCCCTGACTTTTCCCTGATTTCCAGAAAAAAATTTCACTTTTTCCCTGACCCTAAAGAATATTCTGATTCACTCTCAAAATTATTAGATACTCAAAAAAAAATGTTCTATTACATTTATTTACAAACTTCTTTAATTGTAAAATTATTTAAAAACATCAATAACTTCTTTCTTAAATAAATATTTAATCATTATTATTTTTCTGTAGAAATTAAAATTCTTCAAAATACTCAAATTTAAACCTTTTTGAAATTCAACAACTTATAAGAATATTATTACAAAACAAATAATTTGAATTGCCATAAAATTTTTTAAAATAAGTTAATTATTTACAAAAATCCTAAAAAAAATCCTTTGCAAGAATTCAATTATTTTTACAAGCAGTAAAATTTCACAAAAAAATTCAATTATTTAAAAAAAATGTAATAAAATTCGTTGCAATAATTCAATTATTTTTATAAATAATAATAAATCGATTATTCGTTTATTCATTTTTAAATCAACTTTTATTAGAAAATTCTAAAAAAATACAATTCTTTAAATTAAAAAATAAATAATTTTTTGAATAATTGAATGTTTGTTAAAATTGAATTCTCATAAAGAATTTTATCAATAGAATTTTAAATAATTGAATTCGTTTGACAAATTTTAATAAAATTTTTAAGAATAATTACATTTATCGAGGAATTTGATTAAAATATTGTATAAAAAATAATTCATAAAAATAATAATTAAATAAATAATAAAAATTTTCATGAAATAATTGAATGTCGGAGAAAAATTTTATTATTTATATAAATAATTGAATTCTTACAACGAATTTTATTCAAGTTTATAAAAATAATTGAATTTCGGTGAAGAATTTTATTATTTATAAAAATAATTGAATTCATAAAAAGAACTATGTTAAATTTTTTTAAATAATTAAATTCTTGTGACGAATTTTATAAAAATATTTTTAAATAATTGATAATTTTCGAAAAATTTTATGAAATTTTGTATTTTAACTAATTGAATTCCTGTGAAAATTTTATTACTTATGAAAATAATTGAATTATTTCAAAGAAATTTATTAAATATTGAATAATTGAATTCGTGTGGAATTTTTACAAGAATTTTATTAAAATTTTTAAAAATAATTGAATTTCGATGAAGAATTTTATTATTTATAAAGATAATTGAAATTTTGACAAGAATTTTTGTTAAATTTTTGAACATAATTGAAATTTTGTGAAGAATTTTTGTAACTTTTGAAAATAATTGAATTTCTGTAATCATTTGTAACTTTTCCAAAATCCAATTTTTTTTAGTATTTTTAACTGAAATTCTTCTATCAATCTAGTATTTATGAAAATTGTAAAAATTATTTATAAATTAATTTGTAAGTCATAATTTTATGATAGTTTTTGAAAAATTAAGTTATTTAAAAAGAAATTATTGTCAGAAATTGAAAAAATTGAAGGTTTTGTATTAAAATTCGAGGTAATTTCATAGTTTACGAGGCAAAAAGGAAAAAAATTCAGAGTTTTCTCATGAATTTTAAAAATTCAATTTTTTCCAGTACTTTTAGTAAAAATCCCTGACTTTTTCCTGATTTCCCTGACTTCCCTGACCTGAGGCAACCCTGATTAGAGTTCTATTTCTTTAATAATATTCTCGTTTTATAGAAAAAAAAATGTTGAAGAACAGACCTGATTTGTTATGTCATATACCACAATGGCTGCTTGCGCTCCACGATAATACATTGGTGCAAGACTGTGGTAACGTTCCTGACCGGCAGTATCCCAAATCTCGAATTTTACAGTCGTGTCGTCCAAACATACTGTTTGTGTTAAAAATGCAGCTGTTGACAAAAAACAAGCTTTTGTTAATAAAAAAAATCTATATTATTTATAAAAATAATTAAATGTTCGCCTAGAATTTTATGAAATGTTTTTAAAAAAAATTGAATTCTTTTAGAAAATTTTATAAAAATAGTAGATATTGAAAATCATTGAATTAAGGAAAATTTTTTGAAAATATAATAATTGAAATTTTACGAAGAATTTTATTAAAATTCTTGAAAATAATTGAATTTCGAAGAAAAAATTTATTATTTCTAGAGATAATTAAAATTGTGACGAGAATTTTTAAAAAAATTTTATCATAATTGAATTTTTGAGATGAATTCTAAAAATTTAATTTTTTCCAATACTTTTACAAATAATTTTCAGTAGTTTCTAAATTTAATGTTCGTTTAAATTAAAAAAAATGGAACCTACCACCTATTGTACTTTCTTGATATTCGTGGAATTGTCCCTTGACAAACCTCAAAACAAGACTCGATTTTCCCACCGCCGATTCGCCAAGTAATACCAATTTAAACTGACAAATTTTGCCTTGTGTGCCATTTGGCCTTTGGGCTGTACCCCGATTAGCCATTGTGACCTAAAAACAAACAAAATACGTTAAAAATTAAGAGAAAAATCTTACAATATTTAATTACAAATTTTCCAATTAACAAAGGCTCAATATAAATAGAAAAAAATATTTTAAAAATATATTCTACAAATTATAAAAAAAAGTGGAGAAAAATAATTAAAAATATAAAAGAGCAAAACAAAGGGTCAATATAAATGAAAAATAATTGAAAAATATATTCTACAAATTATAAAAAAAAGTGGAGAAAAATAATTAAAAATATAAAAGAATAAAAAAAATATAAAAGAGCAAAACAATATAAAATAACAAAAATATTTAAGAGAATGTACAAAATATTAAAAAGTACAAACAAATATTTTAATAAACCTAAAAATATAATAAAATATTTTAAAAAAACAAAAAATATAGAGAAAAGTATAAAAAAATATCAAAATCGCGAAACAGTATTAAAAAAATATAAAGCAACAATTCTTATTCAATTCAACAATACTCATTCACATTTCCTACAAATATTCCCTCGAAATTAATTATATTTTAACGAAATGAAACGTAAAAAAAAAAAAATTGACAATAGGTAGCGAAAAAAAAAATTACATCTCATTTTCTCATTTATAGGCTAAAAAAACCAATAAATTCGATATTGAATACGAGCATTTTGCGAGCAGCGAATGAAACTGATAAAAAGTGATATTTCGCAATTGAATATTCTAAGTTAGTAAATGCGGCTTTAATCACAATGATTAATATTATCCGTTGCATGAATTATAACGAAGTTAAATAAAATTATTTTTTTCATTTTCCGACAAATGCAAATATACGAATTATAAAAAACAAATCTCTGTTTTTGATTTTTCAAAACATATATTTTTGTTATTAGTAATACGGGATGTCTACTATTTTTGTTCAACAACATTCACGATTTTTTCCTAATTTTTCCCGGTTTTTTTCTCATAAAATTTAAATATTTCGAAAATAAATAAATCTACAAATGTCTTCAAAAATTTTTTATCAGAGTTTTTATGAATAATTAAATTCTTTTGACGAGTTTCTTTAAATTTCTTGAAAACAATATATTTTTTTAAAATTTTAATTACAAAATTTGGAAAATAAATGTTTGCGTAGAATTTTATTAAAATTCTCAAAAATAATTGAATTCTTGGGAAGAATTTTATTAAAATTCTCAAAAATAATTGAATTCTCTCAAGAATATTGAAAATAATTGAATTCCTGTGGAGAATTTTATTTTTTATGAAAATAATTGAATTCTTGGGAAGAATTTTATTAAAATTTTCAAAAAAAATTGAATTTCTTTAGAGAATTTAATTATTTTTGAAAATAATTGAATTTTTAGGAAGAATTTTATTAAAATTTTCAAAAATAATTGAATTCTCTGAAGAATATTTTGAAAATAATTGAATTCCTGTGGAGAATTTTATTATTTATGGAAATAATTGAATTCTTTTGACGAATTTTAATACAATTTTTAAGAATAATTACATTTTTCAAGGAATTCGATTAAAATTGTATTAAAAATAATTGAAATTATCCAATGAGTTTTATTATTTTTATGAAAATAATTGATTATTTTGCGAAGAAATTTTTGAAAATAAGATAAAAAGCGATTTTTTAAAAACAAATTAAAATAATAAAATTTTTTTTAATTTGGTGAAAAAATTCCCTGCTTAGCATAAAATTTCTGACTTATTCCCAGTTTTTCCCTTTTTTCTTGGTTAGTAGACACCCTGTAATAATTATCGAAACAAAAATAAATTGTCAACAGTGAAAAACAAATTAACATCGATAACTCTAAATTTTTTTTTGTCCCCTTTAATTAAATTAACAAAATTGACAATTTATAACAATGAAATGCTTTGACAACAATCCTAAATTTAAAGCAGAGTTAAATTAATTAAACCTTAACTCGGGTATATGCTATTCACTCGATGACTCTCTTTTCTCTCCCTCTCTCTATAAAGATTTCTGAACAAATTAATTCTCAAGAATCATAGATAAGATATTTTAATAGATACTAATAATTTCCCATTTTTTTTCCACAAGGAATTGATAAAAACGCAATAAATTGAAAATTGATTGAAAAAAATAAATAAATAAAAAATCTTGCGAATAAGTAAAATTTTTCCAAATATAAACAATTATTTTCATTAAAATCAAAACAAAATTCTTTGTTCTAAGAAACGAAAAAAAATTTCGTTTTTGTAGAAAAGATAAGTTTCGAAGCCCAACAATGTCTAATAATTGAAAATCCACTAGTGACACAAACTTAAGACTTGGAAAATTATACAGATCTGAATCTACGCAAAACAATACAAGAAGCCATTCACTGATAGTGTCGTCAGAGCCACAAAAAAACTCTCTGGGAGTTGTTTGTAAATCCCGTTTTTGTTGACGCAGTAAAAAAAGAATGTTGAATTTTTCCCCCCCAAAAAAAAGAAGAAACTAAAACACTGGATGTGATTGAAATTATAAAGAACACACTGACGAAAATGATAAAAAATATTGAAAAGTAGATCATAATCCCCAGATCGTCGCAACGGAATTCCCACCCCCTACGTCATCGTCGTCAAAGTTTTCGTACAGCCCTGAACTTGTCACCGCCCGTGAAACGTCAGCAAACATTCAAACATTTGCCTTCATCGAGTAAAGAGTGTGTATAAACTATGTAACTATTGCCCTGCGAGTCTCACTCCATGAACAATGGGCGGTGCAAAGTAATCGACAGCACCTTGAGTCATACACACCTGATGACGAACTAAACTCTCACTATTATGTCTCTCTATATTTTAAATTTACTCGATAGACCCGGATTTTTTTCTCTCGTGACAGGTTGTCTGATTATTTTACACGCGTCCGCCCCCCTCACAATAAACAGCATCTAATACCACAAAAATTGTCCTCTAGAGAAAAAAAAATGACCTTCTTTTTTCCAAGTGTAACAAAAATTGATATAGACACTTCTTCGGAATACTTGTTTTTTTTTTATTTAACCTACTTTGAACTTTGATCGAAGGGAGAGGCTGGACAATCTCCTCAGGTAGAAGAGCGTCGACGATTATTGTCAATTTTCCCGTATGTGCTCGCGACGATCACTTATCTCAAACTACTCGGCCCACCGAGCCATAGATCGCACAATCTATATAGAATGTGTATACATTTATGACAGTTGGACGGATGCGGGCAGATTAAATTCGTTTTCCCTTCTGATCCTCCAATTTATCAAAAAATAAAAAAATATTAAAATCAAACCTACACCAATATTTCTTATTGATGAAAATTTCGCGGATCTTTCACTAATATAAAATATCAACCACGTCCTCTCGAGACCAACACAAGCAAACACCCAGTGTGAACACAAGAACTGCTGCGCCACTTTACAGACAAAACCAAAACCGGGTTTCTCTCTCACACGCGCACACAAATACAAAGATGAGGAAACTAGGAAATTATTATTCTTTTCTACTTGTACACGACTTTATAACTTTACCAAATTATTTCCTCTGATGATTGAAAAAAAAGGACGCTTCAATATCCAAACACGTTGAGGGGGGAAAAAAACTTTTAAAATTGAAGAAAAATCACTTGTTCACGATATTTATGATCAATCAGCGCGCATCCGTTGTGTCGAATTCCCTTGCGACAATAAACGTCAAAAAAAAAGAACAATTTTCAGGTTATGTGTCGTATACACCCCTCGAATGGTAATTAGACTGAAATTTGACAATTTATTTCCAGGAGAATAAAAATATTATTTTTTTTTATTTAAAACGATCAAGGTCAAACTATTTTATTGTTTTATAACATTATTTTCAAAGAAAGAACGGAAAAGAAACTAATGTTCGTTCATACGGCACGCGACTACAGCGACATCTGCGCAGGTTCACTACTGACCTCTGGCGGGAAAACCAAGAATTTTTTAAATTTCGAAATATTCAAAAATTACGGATATTACAACTTTTTTTTTAATAAAAATTTCTGTTCACAAAATATCAAGAAAAAATAATTATAAAATTTATTAAACTAGGGTAAGTGTACTAATTCCTGCGGTATTTTGGTCAAGACGTCTTTTAACTATAAAATATAATTTTTATATTGATCAAATTGAACTTATGTCTTATTAAATTTGTAGTTTGTGTTATTAAGATATGTTTACAATAAATAACATCTCTAAAATATAATTTATTTTAATAAATTTAATGAATTAAAAATAATATTCAATGCGTTTAATTCTGCGCGTTTGAGTCAGTTGCTGCGCATCAGTTGCTGCGCGAATTCAATTCCTGTGGGTCAGTTTCTGCGCATAATTTCGTGTTTATGTGTATAATACCGCAAACTACTATGAAATCAAAATGGGACAATGATTTTAATCAATGTTTAATTCAATAGAATATAAATTTATTAAAAATAAATATATATCATATATTAACAAAAGTAACAAATAATTTCTGAATTATCACATTTTTGAAACATTTAGTTAAAACTTAATAACAGAATTCTTCCTTAATTAATTTATGTATTTATTAAATTTTCTTTAGTTTTTCCTCCATAATCTTCATTTTTTCTTTCATTTTCATAATTTTTTCTTGCTCTTTTTCAAAATAGATAGTCTATTGTAACCAGTCTTAGTTGATTTTCTGAGGGCGCAGAAATTAAATCAAGCCCAAATTCTGTGTTAATTACTACTCTTAAAAATAAAATATAATAACAGACAAAAATAAAGTAAAGTTTAATTTTTCTTTTAAAACAAGGTTTTCTTTATCTAAAATCATCATAATAATAACCACTTTAAGTCTAAAAACAATAATAAAGCCTTTTTTATGTAGGTATTTTTGCACCGCCAGCAAAGTTAGCAATGAAAATAAATAAAACCTTGCACACGTCAACTTTTAATTAAAATAAAATACATAAATATTATGTTTTGGTATATACTTCCTATATCTATTTTAAAACTTACATCGTTAAGAAATTTTTAAAAAAAATTTCAAAATTATTTGTGCCCTGAACAAATGTATTCACTTAAATTATTAAAATGCCGCAGAAACTGAAGCACCCGCAGCAATTGACGCACTTACCCTATACTGTCAAATGTCACGCGTGCGGAACGAGATGTTCAATTTCAATTAATTATATAAATATGTAAAAATTCAATTATTTTTTGAAAAATTAATAAATCCTTCACAACAATTCAATTATTTTTGTAAATTATTAGTAAAATTTTTGGAAAAAAATTCAATTACTTTTAAAAATTTTAATAAATTCTATGAATCAATTCAATTATTTTTTTTAAATAATAAAATTCATGGAAAAATTAAGTTTTTTGAAATTTTTAATAAAATTTCTCGAAAAATTTAATTATTTTAAAAAATTTGTTAATAAATCTTTCACAACAATTCAATTATTTTTGTAAATAGAAAATTCTTTGAACAAATTCAATTACTTTTAAAAATTTGAGTATTGAATCAATTCAATTATTTTTATAACTAGTAAAATTCAATTATTTTTTGCAAAATTCAATTATGTTTAAAAATTTTAATAAATCTTTTACAACAATTCAATTATTTTTGTAAATGGTAAAACTCTTTGCAAAAATTCAATTATTTTCTAAAATTTTTAAAAATCGTTTGAAACTAATTCAATTATTCTTATAAATAGTAAAAATCTCTGCAAAAATTCAATTATTTTGGAAAAATTTTTAAACATTCTTTAAAACTAATTCAATTATATTTATAAATGGTAAAACTCTTTGCAAAAATTCAATTATTTTCAAAAATTTTTTAAAATCGTTCAAAACTAATTCAATTATTCTTGTAAATAGTAATGCAAAAATTCAATTATTTTCTAAAATTTTTTAAAATCCTTCAAAACTAATTCAATTATATTTATAAATGGTAAAACTCTTTACAAAAATTCAATTATTTTCTAAAAGTTTTTAAAAACCGTTATTGAAACTAATTCAATTATTTTTCTAAATAGTAAAAATCTTTAAAAAAATTCAATTATTTTTAAAAAATTTAATAAATCTTTAATTCAATTATTTTTGTAAATAGTAAAACTCTTTGCAAAAATTCAATTATTTTCTAAAATTTTTAAAACTCATTCAATTATTCTTACAAATAGTAAAATTCTTTGAAAAAATTCAATTATATTTTCTAAATGTTTTTAAAAATCGTTTGAAACTAATTCAATTATTTTTCTAAATAGTACAATTCTTTAAAAAATTTCAATTATTTTTAAAAAATTTAAAAAATCTTTAATTCAATTATTTTTGTAAACAGTAAAATTCTTTGAAAAAATTCAATTATTTTCAAAAATTTTAATAAATCTTTTACAACAATTCAATTATTTTATTTTTAAATGGTAAAACTGTTTGCAAAAATTCAATTAATTTCTAAATTTTTTAAAAATCGTTCAAAACTATAATTCAATTATTCTTATAAATAGTAAAATTCTTTGAAAAAATTCAATTATTTTTTTTAATAATAAAATTCATGCAAAAATTCAATTATTTTTAAAAATTTCAATAAGTCTTCCACAACAATTCAATTATTTTTGTAAATAGAAAAAGCTTTGAACAAATTCAATTACTTTTAAAAATTTTAATAATAACCCTTTGAATCAATTCAATTATTTTTATAACTAGTAAAATTCAATTATTTTTTGCAAAATTCAATTATTTTTAAAAATTTTAATAAATCTTTCACAACAATTCAATTATTTTTGTAAATGGTAAAACTCTTTGCAAAGAATCAATTTATTTTCTAAAATTTTTAAAAATCGTTCGAAACTAATTCAATTATTCTTATAAGTAGGTAAAAATCTTTGAAAAAATTCAATTACTTTTAAAAATTTTAATAAATTTATTGAATCAATTCAATTAATTCTTTAGATAATAAAATTCGTGCAAAAATTCAATTATTTTCTAAAATTTTTTAAAATCCTTTGAAATTAATTCAATTATTATTCTTATAGATATTAAAAATCTTTCCAAAAATTCAATATTATTCTCTAAAACTTGTAATACAATTTAATAATTTAATTGTTTAATTTCAACTATTAAGAAACACGATTTTGAAAAGAAACTTGAAAGTATTTGTTCATAAAATTCAGTTACTGGCAATTTTTTCAATTAAAATTATTAAAGAAACATTATTTAAAAAAAAATATTGAAATAAATTCTTCAAAAGAATTTAATTACCATTTTCAAAGATTTTAATAAAATTCTTGTCAAGAATTCAATTATTTTCATAAATATTAATTTTCTTCCAAGAAATTCAATTATTCTCATTTTTTTTTATAAAATTCATTGCAAAATTCAATTATTATTTTATAAATTATAAAATTCTTCGAAGAAATTCAATTATTCTCTAATTTTTTTATGAAATTCTTTGCAAGAAATCAATCATTTTCAAAATATTAATTTAACCGAAATCCTACAATGATTATTAATATAGATTGTTGTTTATTTGTTATTTATTTATTTGTTGTTTATTTATTTTTTTACGAAAGAATAAAAACATGTGAATCAACCTTTATGTCGATCCGTCACGGAATGTGAGTATGATCGCAACTCTATAGTATTCCGTATAGTTTATGGCACTAACGGCTGTAAATTTTGTGTTCCGGCAAGAAATTTATTGTGATAATTAATGGAATTGTTGTGCTGTTTAAAAATATGGCAATTTTAAGCCGCTACAATGACTAATGTGACGAGGAAAATTCAAATACGAGAATTCTGTCTATTAACTTTTCATCGAACCACAAAAAACAACCGGTCTCTGTCGAAATTTAAGGCGTTGTCATTTACATTTTCTACTCCAAAAAGTAAGAACGAGTTTTTTTTTAATTCTCTTTTTAAAAAATAGTATAATTATAATTCACACGAAAGTTTATACCTGAAATTTAATTAATTAACATTTTCATCAGATTATCAGGAATTTATCCGGTGAACAGAGAGAGAGAGAGAGAGAGACGACGACGACGACGAGAGTCATGAATGAACTTAACGTTATTGAATACATTCAAAGTTTTGTCAGCTGATTAACGCAGAAAAATGACATGTGAGTCACTTGCTCTTATTCAGTGTTCCTTGAGAAGCCGGATCGTTCGTTGATCGTTCAACCGGTTAAAAAATTTAAACAAAAAAAAAATAAATAAATAAAATCGAAATTAAACCTGCTGGACGGGAAATTTGTTTGATGAAAAGAAGAAAATTTTTGATAACGGAAAAATGGGTAATAAATGCAGTTGTTGTGCTTATTCGAGTCCACAACTTGGTAGAAAGGATTTAGGTGGCGATGGTGTTGGTCGTGGTTTAGAGGATCTTCCCGAAGGTGATATCAGTGTCAATAATCTTCAACATATTAGTGAACGAGAGCCGGAAGTTTGGAATTCCGACCCGTCCTTACATCCCTGTGCTGGTACCATTTTTATGGAGCGATCGAAAAAATCCATTGAAAGTAAATATTATTTTTCCACTAATTTATTATCTAGAGAAAATTAAAAACTGGAAAAATAGGAAAAAAAAAATTTTTTACCATCTCAGTCTTCACAGTCTGTCCCCTATTTCCCTGAAAGACCCCTTTTTTAATTTTGGCCCCTAAACGTACCCTATTTTGAAAATAACCCCTCAATTTCCCCTATTTTTTTCGTCTCAGGAAATCAATTATTTTCAATAATTTTTAAGTAATTCTGCAAAAGAATTCAATTATCTTGATAACCAACAAATTTCTCCCCATAAAATCAATTATTTTAAGGAATTTTAATAAAATTCTTTTCCAAAATTCAATTATTTTGATAAATATCCAAATTCTTCTCAAGAATTCAATTATTGTCAAAAATTTTAATTAAATTCTTGGCAAAATTTCAATTATTCAAACAAAATGTAATAAAATACTTTGCACGAATTCAATTATTTTTATAAATTGTAATGAATATCTCGTCAAGAATTCAATTATTTTTAGAAATAGCAAAGTTTTTCGCCAAAAATTCAAGTAATTTCAAAAATTTAAATAAAATTCTTTGCAACATTTCAATTATTTTTAAAAGTTTTTCGCAATTCAATGTTTTTTAATATTTACTATTTTCATACAATTTATCAACATATTTAATTATAGAAAAAATTTGTTGATACAATTCTACGAAAAGATTCAATTATTTTCATAAATAATAAAATTTCATTTACGAATTAAATTATTTTTATCGCAGAATTTCAAATATTTTTAATACAATTTTAAATAAATTTCTTGAAAAATGCAATTATTATGAAAAATTTTATTAAAACTTGAGGAAAGAATTCAATTTTAAGAAACATTCAATTATTCAATAAAGCAATAAAATTCGTTGCAATAATTCAAATATTTTCATAAATAACATTTAATTCGTCGCAGAAAATCAATTATTTTCCAAAATTTTTAAGTATTTTTGCAAAAGAATTGCAGGGTTGCCACAGGTCAGGGGAGTCAGGGAAATCAGGGAAAAGTCAGGGATTTTTACTAAAAGTACTGGAAAAAATTGAATTTTTAAAATTTATGAGAAAACTCTGAATTTTTCTCCTTTTTGCCTCGTAAATTATGAAATTACCTCGAATTTTAATACAAAACCTTCAATTTTTTCAATTTCTGACAATAATTTCTTTTTAAAGAACTTAATTTATCAAAAACTATCATAAAATTATGACTTACAAATTATTTTATAAATAATTTTTACAATTTTCATAAATACTAGATTGATAGAAGAATTTCAGTTAAAAATACTAAGAAAAATTGGATTTTGGAAAAGTTACAAATGATTACAGAAATTCAATTATTTTCAAAAGTTACAAAAATTCTTCGCAAAATTTCAATTATGTTCAAAAATTTAACAGAAATTCTTGTCAAAATTTCAATTATCTTTATAAATAATAAAATTCTTCATCAAAATTCAATTATTTTTAAAAATTTTAATAAAATTCTTGTCAAAATTCCACAGGAATTCAATTATTCAATATTTAATAAATTTCTTTGAAATAATTCAATTATTTTCATTTGTAATAAAATTTTCACAAGAATTCAATTATTTAAAATACAAAATTTCATAAAATTTTTTGAAATATATCAATTATATAAAAAGATTTTTATAAAATATTTTCATGAATTCAATTATTTTTATAAACTTGAATAAAATTCGTTGGAAGAATTAAATTTTTTTCAAAATAATAAAATTCTTCGCAGAAATTCAATTATGTTCAAAAATTAAAAAAGAAATATTGTCAAAATTTCAATTATCTTTATAAATAATAAAATTCTTCATCGAAATTCAATTATATTTAAGAATTTTAATAAAATTCTTGTCAAAATTTCGTAGGAATTCAATTTTTCAATTTTTAATAAATCAATTCAAAATAATTCCATTATTTTCATAAGTAATTAACAATTAATTAATTAATTTTCACAGGAATTCAATTAGTTAAAATACAAAATTTCATAAAATTTTTTTGAAAATTATCAATTATTTTTATAAATAATAAAATTCTTCACCGAAATTCAATTATTTTTATAAACTTGAATAAAATTCGTTGTAAGAATTCAATTATTTATATAAATATTAAAATTTTTCTCCGACATTCAATTATTTTATGAAAATTTTAATTATTTATTTAATTATTATTTTTATGAATTATTTTTTATACAATATTTTAATCAAATTCCTCGATAAATGTAATTATTCTTAAAAATTTTATTAAAATTTGTCAAACGAAATCAATTATTTAAAATTTTATTGATAAAATTCTTTATGAGAATTCAATTTTAACAAACATTCAATTATTCAATAAATTATATATTTTTTAATTTAAATAATTGAATTTTTTTAGAATTTTCTAATAAAAGTTGATTCAAAAATGAATAAACGAATAATCGATTTATTATTATTATTTATAAAAATAATTGAATTATTGCAACGAATTTTATTACATTTTTTTAAATAATTGGATTTTTTTGTGAAATTGTACTTCTTGTAAAAATAATTGAATTCTTGCGAAGGATTTTTTTAGGATTTTTGTAAATAACTAACTTATTTTAAAAAATTTTATGGCAATTTAAATTATTACAAAACATGAAGAAGATCGTCTTCTTCATGTTTTGTAATAATATTCTTATAAGTTGTTGAATTTCAAAAAGGTTTAAATCTGAATATTTTGAAGAATTTTAATTCCTACAGAAAAATAATAATGATTAAATATTTATTTAAGAAAGAAGTTATTGATGTTTTTAAATAATTTTACAATTAAAGAAGTTTGTAAATAAATGTAATAGAACATTTTTTTGAGTATCTAATAATTTTGAGAGTGAATCAGAATATTCTTTAGGGTCAGGGAAAAAGTGAAATTTTTTTCTGGAAATCAGGGAAAAGGCAGGGAAAAATAAAATTAAATATTTGTGGCAACCCTGAATTGAATTAGCTTGATAAACAACAAAATCGCATAAATTCTTCCCATAAAATCAATTATTCTAAGGAATTTTAATAAAATTCTTTTCCAAAATTCAATTATTTTGATAAATATCAATTTTTATCAGAAGAATTCAATTCTCTTGAAAAGTAATAAAATACTTTGCAGAAATAAAATTATTTTCAAAATTTTTTAAAAATTCTTGTCAAGAATTAAATTATCTTTATAAATAGAAAGGGAAATTCTTTTCATGAATTAAATTATTGTTAAAAATTTTCTAAAAATTCTTCTAAAAAAGAGAATTATTTTCGAAAATTTTAATAAAATTCTTCTCATGAATTCAATTGTTTTCAAAAATTATTATTTAAATTCTTCTCAGGAATTCAATTATTTTCAAAAAATTTAATAAAATTCTTCAAAAAGTTTTCAATTATTTTCAAAAATTGTTATAAAATTCTTTAATATAATAAATTTCATTAAAATTAAGAAATTAAATATTTTCAAAAATTGTTAATAAAATTCTTCGTAAAAATTAAATTTTAAGAAACATTCAATATTATTTATTATTGCATTTAAATAATTGATTTCTCGTAGAATTAAATTATTGTTTTTCGCACTTTTAACTAACAATTCTGTAGAATTAATTATTTTTGAAAAAGTTTAATTGAATAATAATTGATGTTATTGATTTAAAGTAGAATTTTAGTTAAAAATTCTTTAAAATGTTTATTGAATTGAAATGATAAAAATAATTTTGAAGAAATTACAGTAACAATATATTCTTATGAGTTGTTCAATTTGAAAAGGATAGAATTTGAAATTTTTGATCATCATAATTCCAATGAAAAAAAAAATGATTAAATATTTATTTAAGAAAGAAGTTATTGATGTTTTTGAATAATTTTACTTTTAAAGAAATTTGTAAATAAATGTAATAGAACATTTTATTTGAGTTTCTAATCATTTTTAGAGTGAATCAGAATATTCTTTAGGATCAGGGAAAAAGTGAAAGTTGTGTTTGGAAATCAGGGAAGGTCAGGGAAAAATAAAATAAAATTTTTGTGGCGACTCTGTATAAATAAATTATATTTTTATCTTTATTTAACCAATTTTTATGGTCCCCTAAAAGTCCCCTATTTTTCCTAAAATAACTTTTAGGGGCACTGTGAAGCCTGCCATCTAGAAATAAGTCTCGTGAATATAAAAGTTATCCAGTATTTTCTAGTTTCAACAAAATATCTTGCATTTTGATTATTAAACTATAGCATTGATCTCTTTATTTACATAAGCTTCAAAGTTCATTACAGTCTCGAAAAAAAAGGAATTACAGATTTTTATTATTTGATTGTAATCAATATTGAATTGTTTTTATTTTTCACGCTATTGTTATTTTGTTTATGAAATATAATACTTATCGGGTTTTAATTGAATGTGATTTATCAGATGAAATTTTTAAAATTTATCACGTTATTGACATAAATTTTATTTTCTACTAGCAACAATTCGCTCACTTTTTTTAAAATAAAATTAGCAATTTTAAAAATACCTAAAGAACATAAAAATTTTTAATTCAAATTCTTTTTTATAAAAATAAAATCTGAATTGAAAAGTATAGTTTTAATATTATTATAATTATAATAATCATATATTCTCACAATAGGGAATTTAGAGAAAAGTCAGGAATTTTTATTAAAAGTGGTGAGAAAAATTAAATTTTTAGAATTTATAAGAAAATCCTGAACTGAAACGGGAATATCGAATGTTTTTCTTCCAAAAAGAAAATGATGAGAAAAAAAACGAAAGAATACGGAGATTAATATAGTTACTTAATAATTAATAATTTTCAGATGGAATGGTAAGAAAGAAGAGTCAACATCAAATTGCTGATATAAGACCTTTAAAAAAAAGTAGCAGCTGTAGTACGATTTATTTAGACGATAGTACTGTATCTCAACCAAATTTAAAAAATACTGTTAAATGCGTCGCATTAGCAATATATTATCACATTAAGAATAGAACTTCACAGCGTCAAATCGAAATATTTGATGAAAAATTACATCCGCTCACGGTACGTATTTTTTCTATTGTTTAAATTAAGAAATTTTTATTTTTATTTACTAAAATCTACAATTTATTACTTTTTTTACGATCTTTTACACTAAAAAAATATTTTTTCGTTCTTTATTAAGAATTTGCACTAATTTCTAAAGTTTAATAAAATTTTTAGAAACAATTCATAAAACTTTTATAAAATTCTTTGAAAGAATTATTTTCAAAAATTTTAATAAAATTCTCCTCAAGAATTCAACTATTTTCAAAAATAATGAAATTCTTGGCTAAAATTCAACTGTTTTCAATATTTACAATTTTAATAAAATTAACTTCGTAAGAAATTAATTATTTTCAAAAATTTTTGATAAAATTTGTCAATAAGAATAAAATTATTTTCGTAAATAATAAAATTTTTACAGGAATTCAATGATTTAAAATTTAATTAAAAAAAAAATTTTCCCAAGGAATAAAATATTTTAAATAATAAAATTAAAACTTTGTAAGAAATTAATATTATTTTCAAAAACTTTGATAAAATTTGTCTATAAGAATGAAATTATATTCGTAAATAATAAAATTTATCCTAAGAATTCAATTATATTTAATAAAATTTTAATAAAACTTCTTCGTAGGATGGCAATTATTTTTAATAAAATTTTAAATGAATTCCTCGAAAAATGTGATTATTTTTAAAAAATTTATTGAAATTCTACGCATTATTTTCAAAATTTTTTTTGATAAAATTCTTTATAAGTAATTCTATTTTAAGAAATAATCAATTATTTATATTTGTGCTTAAAGAATTGAATTCTCGTAGAAATTTCTAATCAGAATTGATTTAAAAATGAATTTTTGTTAAAATTTTAGAAAATAATTGAATCTTTGAAAATTGTTGTAAATTGTGGAAATATTAAGATATTTATTTTTAAAAAAACTGATTAATTTATTATTTTCCCAACAAATTATTCAAAGTTTTGAATAATTTTATTTAAAAATTAGAAAAAAAATTCAATTTTGAAAGTTCAATCACAATTGTATTTAAAAAAAAATACTTAAATTTCAAAAAGCTTTTACATTAAAATTGTTTAGAATTCTATTTTTCATGGAAAAAATAAAAAGCACAAGTACCTATTATAAATATTTATTTAACAAAAATTATACAAGTGAGATTAATTTGATTCAGAAATAGTGAAAAAAAAATTAGTTTTTTGAAAAATTGATAATTAAAATTTTTTGTAGACATTTAAATTCTCGTAAAAATTTAAAAGTTTTTTTAAATTAGAAATGGCAAATTTAATTTGAAATTAATTTTGTGTTTTAAAGAATTTTATTTTTTTTACTTTTAAAAATTGTCATGTTTTTTGAACTAAAAATATGAAAAATAATTAAATTTCAGAAAATTTGAGAATATAATTTTTCGATAGCTATTTTTTTATTGCATCTTTTCAATCTTAAAAATAATTTTTAAAAAAATTTTTTTTTAAATTAATTTAATTGAATTACTTCTTTTCAGATTAAAATCTATAGTTTGAATATTAATTACTAATTAGAGTAATGAAGTACTAATTAAATTAATTAAAACTTGCCCTCCATTAGGAGAATAGATTCTGTTTTTTTTAATTAATGAATAATTTTTCTGTTGAAGAGAGACGGTGTTGCAGATGATTACGATAAACACAATCCGGAGCACAAGCAGATATATAAATTTGTGAGAACTCTTTTTAATGCGGCACAATTAACGGCTGAATGTGCTATTATAACGTTAGTGTATCTCGAACGTCTGCTCACTTATGCGGAGATTGATATAACGCCCGCTAATTGGAAACGAATCGTTCTCGGTGCTATTTTGCTCGCCTCAAAAGTGTGGGACGATCAGGCTGTGTGGAATGTGGACTATTGTCAAATTCTAAAGGACATTACTGTAGAAGACATGTGAGTCATTTATTTTATTGTTTCTCTTTACTTTATAAATTCCAGGGCTCGAAGTCGGTCCGTAAATCCCGTAAAAGTCCGTTTTTTTTAAAAAAGGTCCGTAAAGTCCGTAATTTCATTCAAAAAGGATGAAAAGTTCGTAAATTGTACGATATAATTTTAAGAATTTTAGAGAAATTACAAATGATTGCAGAAATTCAAATATTTTTAAAAGTAATCAAATTCTTCGCAAAAATTCAATTATGTTCAAAATTTTTTTTAAATTCTCGTCAAAATTTCAATTATTATCTTTAGAAATATTAAAATTCTTCTCAGAAAATCAATTATTTTCAAAAAATCTAAAAAACATTGTCAACATTTCAATTATCTTTATAAATAAATAGCAAAATTCAATTATTTTCCAAAATTTTATTAAAATTCATTACAAAATTTCAATTATTTTCATAATTAACAATATTTATCACACGAATTCAATTATGTTCAAAAATTTTTAACAATTCTCGTCAAAATTTCAATTACCTTTAGAAATATTAAAATTCTTCTCCGAAATTCAATTATTTTCAAAAAATCTAAAAAAAAAATGGTCAAAACATCTCAATTATTTTTATAAATAAATAGCAAAATTCTTCGACAAAATTCATTTATTTTCAAAAATTTTAATAAAATCCATTGCAAGATTTCAATTATTTTCAAAAGTAATAATATTCTTCGCAAAAATGAAATATTGTTCAATATCTACTATTTTCATAAAATTTATCAAAAGAATTTAATTATTTAAAAAAAAATTTAATAAAATTCTACAAAAACTTTTAATTATTTTCAAAAAATAATAAAAATTTCACAAGAATTTCATTAATAACAAATTTTTTTTATAAATTTCTTCGCACTCATTCAACTATTTTCATAAATAGTAAAATTTTTACGGGGATTCAATTATTTTCGTAAATAATAAAATTCTTTGTAGGAATTCAATTACTTTCAATAGAATTTTAATCGAATCGAAAAAATTCTTAAAAATTTTATTAAAATTCGTCCAAAGAATTTAATTATTTAAAAATTTGTTGATAAAATTTTTAATAGGAATTTAATTCCAAGAAACATTTAATTATTCAATAAATTATTTATTTTTGTATCTAAATAATTGAATTCTGGTAGAATTATCTCATAAACATTGATTTAAAAATAGATTTCAATTAAAATCTTAGATTATAATAATTGAATTCTTTCGAAGAATTTCATTAAAATTTTAAAAATAATTGAATTTTATCGAGACATTTTTTAAAAAATTGTTTTTAAAAATAATTAAATTTCTACTAAAAAAAGTTTTATCGAAACTTTTTAAATTATTTGAATTTCTAATAAAATTCTGATATTTTTGAAAATAATTGAATTCTTGCGAAGAATTTTATTAAGACTTTTGAAAATAATTGAATCTCTGCAAAGATTTTTATTATTTTACGAAAATATTTGAATTCTTGCGAAAAATTTTATTAAAATTTCTGAAAGTAATTGAAGATTTGCTAAGAATTTTGTTATTATTAATTTATGCCAAGAATTTTATTAAAATTTTTAAAAATAATTCAATTCCTGTTAATTTTTTTTACAAGAATTTAATTATTTTTGAAAATTTTAATAAAATTCTTCGCAAGAATTCAATTATTTTCATAAATAATAACATTCAATGCAGAATTTCAATTATTTTTAATACAATTTTAATCAAATCTCTCGAAAAATGTAATTATTCTTAAATATTTTATTAAAATTCGTTGATAGAATTCAATTATTTGAAAATTTGTTGATAACGATTTTTTATGGGAATTGAATTTTAAGAAACGTGCAATTATTCAATAAATTATTTATTTGCATTTTTGCATTTAAATTTGTATTTAAATAATTGAATTCTAGTAGAATTTTCACATAAAAATTGATTTTCATTTCATAAAAATGAATTTCAGTTAAAATTTTAGATAATAATTGAATATTAAATGCAATAGAGCGTGAATTTTAAAAAATAATTGAATTTTGTAATTAATTTTTTTGAAAAAGTTTAATTGATTTTTTTAAATATTATTTTTAGTTTCTATTTTCTAATATTTATTTAATTAAAGAATTTACGAATAATTGAAATTTCGTAAAATTAAGTATTATAAAGAAATGAATTTGAAAATTGTCAAAGAACTTTTTCGAGAATTTAAAAAAATAATCGAAGAATTTTAGTTTTAAATTCTTAAAAATAATAATTGAATTGATAATGATTTTCTTAATTATTATAAATTATTTTATTAATAATTATTATTAATTATTATAAAACATAAAGAAATCGATGACTTCGAGTCGAAGACTCGGAGTTATCGATTTCTTCATGTTTTATAGAATTATGAAAAATTGAATTTCTAGTTTTAAGTAAAATATTCTCTTATTTGATTAAAAAATTTCTAAATATAAACTTTATTTTTAAAAAACATTAGATTCAAAATTTAAAAAATTCTCTTATTAATTACATAATTAATTAGGTATTAATGTTTATTATTTTTAAAAATTATAATAAAATTCTTCGCAAGAATTTAATTAGTTTCATAAATAACATTCTTCGATAAAATTCAATTATTCTTATAAACAGCAAAATTCTTATCAGAAATTCAATTATTTCAATTATTTTAAAAAATTAAAACTTAAATTTTCACAAGAAATCAATTATTTTCAAAAATTTTAATAAAATTATTCGCTAGAATTCAATTATTTTTATAAATAATTTATTATCATGAATTTAATTATTTCCAAAAAGATTAATAAAATCCAATAATAAAATTTTTAATTATTATTATTAATAGAAACGATTATTTTAAAAAGTTAAAAAAAAAATATTTTTTGTAAAATTCAATTATTTTAAAAATTTTCAATTTTTAATTAAAAATTATTAAGAAAACTACATTAGGTATTTAAAAAAAACTTGAAGAAATTCTTCAAGTAAATTTAATTATTTACTGAAACTAATAAAATTGTTTAAAAGAATTTAATTTTCTACCAATTTTTGTTATTTATGAAAATAATTGAATTCTTGGTCTTGCAACGAATTTTATTAAAAATCTTTTTAAAGAATTGAATTCCCGTGAAGAATTTTATTTGTAAAAATAATTGAATTCCAGAGAAAAATATTATTATTTATGAAAATAATTAATTTCTTGTGAAGAATTTTATTCAATTTTTTTTAAATAATTGAATTTTGCAGAATTTTTAAAAACTTTTTAAAAATAATTAAATTTTATTAAAAAATTGAAAATAATTGAAATCTGACAAAGAATTAAAAAAATTTTTTTTTAATTAAATTCCTGTGAAAATGTTTATTTTTGAAAAAAATTGAATTCTTGGGAAGAATTTTATTAAAATTTCAAAAAATAATTGAATTGCTTAGAAGAATTTTATTTTTTACCGAAAATAATTGAATTGTTTCGAAGAATTTTACAAACATTTTTGACAATAATTGTATTTCTAGAAAGAATGTTGTATTTTACGAAAAATAATTGTATTCTATGACCGTTTTTATTATAAATTTTCAAATTTATAAAGCATTTTATCAAAATTTTGAAAAATAATTGAATTCTCAAGAAAGAAAATAATTGATTTCTACCGAAGAATTTTATTCAAATTCCTTTAAATAATTGAATTCCCATAAAAAATGTATTATTAAATTTTTATTAAAATTTTGTTTAAATAATAGAATTCTTTTGGAAAATTTTATTAAAATAGTAGATATAAAAAATAATTAAAATGAGGAACATTTTTGAAAATAATTGAAATTTTGCCAAGAATTTTATTAAATTTTTTGAAAATAATTGAATTTTGGAGAAAAATTTTATTATTTATAAAAATAATTGAAATTTTGACGAGAATTTAAAAAAATTTTTGAACATAGATAATTGAATTTATGCGAAGTTATTTAAAAGTTATTTAAAAAGAAATTATTGTCAAAAATAGAAACCTGTTAATACTAATGTATTTTTTTTTCTTTCATGCAGGAACGAATTAGAGAGACAATTTCTGGAAATGCTTCAATTTAACATTAATGTACCTTCCAGTGTGTACGCCAAATACTATTTTGATCTCAGGACACTTGCCGAGGCCAATTCATTGGCATCGGATTTTTCTTTACCACTTAGTAAAGAAAAAGCGCAAAAACTTGAGGCAATGTCACGCATTTACGAAGATAAAGTGGCAGCAGAAGTTTTACGTAATGGTATTAAAAAATGGTCCAGTCTCGATAATATCTGCTTAGGACCTAGGCGAAGTATCGCAATTCTTTCGTAAATTAGTCCTTCCAAAATATTTTGCGATTATAGTGTCTATTGAAGTGAAGAAAAAAATGAAAGAAATTCAATTTCACCACTGTGGGTGGAGAAAAGAAAAGGGGAGAGGTTTTTTTTTCTTTATTTAGATTTACATAAGAACCAGTGTAATTTATTATATAAAATTTACGTTTTATAAGTGCTTTGTAAGAAAAGAGAATATATAATTTTTTTTTTATAATTTTTTACCTAGAACGGTTTTTGATCTCAGTTTATTGTTTTCTTTTTTAAACAAGTACTTAATTACACCGTTTTATAAAGAAGAAAAAATTAATATTTATTTGCTTAACGAAAATTAATATTCGAAATTAACACGAAGGCTGATTTAGTGACAAAAATTAGAGTCCAGGGTTGCCACACAACACGGAAAACCTGAGAATGTCAGGGAATTTTATAAATCTTGGAAAAATCTGGAAAAGTCAGGGAATTTTGATCGAAATCCTGGAAAATTGTTGTTTTCAAAAGTTATCCTTGAAATCTAATTTTACTTAAATATTTCATAATTAATTCAATTTTAAAAGAGTTGCGTTTACAATTTTCATAAGTAGATGAACTTCAAAAGTTTGTAAAAATTCAATTATTTTCAATATCTACTGATTTAATAAAATTTCACAAAAGAATTAAATTATTTAAAAAGAAATTTTTAATAAAATTCGTCTCAAGAATTCAATTATTTTCAAAAGTAATAAAAAATTCTTTGGAAAAATTGAATTATTTTTAAAAATTTACAAAAATTTTCGTCAGAATTTCAATTATCTTTATAAATAATAAAATTCTTCTCCGATATTCAATTATTTTGAAAAATTTTAATAAAATTTCAATTTTTTTCTGCAAATTTTACTTAATTCAATGATTTTAAATATTTACTAATTTAATAAAATTTCCCAAAAGAATTCAATTATTAAAAAAAAATTTTAATAACATTTCTACGCAAACATTTAATTATTTTCATAAATAATTAAAATTTTACAGGCATTGAATTATTTTAAAAAACTCTTATAAAATTCTTTGGCTAAGTTCAATTATTTTTAATATACCATTTTAATCAAAATTTCTCGAAAAATGAAATTATTTTAAAAAAATTTTATTAAAACTTGTCAAGATAATTTGATTATTAAAAAGTTTGTTTATAAAATTCTTTATGATAATTCAATTTCAAGAAACGTATTCAATTATTTAATAAAATATTAATTTTTTTATTTAAATAATTGAATTCTCGTAAATTTTTCTAAGAAATATTGATTTAATAATGAATTTCAGTTAAAATTTTAGATTATAATTGAATATTGAAATTATCACGTAAATTTTTTAAAATAATTTAATTTTAAAAAGGTTTCAAATTAAAAATTTTGAAATGCTGAATTTTTCACACTTTTAATTAATAATTATGTCGAATTCAATTATTTTCAAAAGTAATATAATTTCTCGCAAAAATCCAATTGTGTTAAAAAAATTTACAAAAATTATCGTCCAAATTTCAATTATCTTTATAAGTAATAAAATTTGTCTCCAAAATTCAATTATTTTCGAAATTATTTTAATAAAATTCTTCATAGAAATTTAATTAATTTCAAAAATTTGTCAAAATTCAATTATATTCAATGTCTACTATTTCAATAAAATTTCACAAAAAAATTCAATTATTTAAAAAAAAAATTTTTAATAAAATTTGCCTCAAAAATTCAATTATATTCAAAAGTAATACAATTCTTCGCAAAAATTCAATTATGTTCAAAAAATTTTACAAAAATTCTCGTAAAAATTTCAATTATCTTTATAAACAATAAAATTCTTCTCCGAAATTCAATTATTTTCAAAATTTTTTATAAAATTCTAGATAAAGTTTTAATCAAATTTCTCGAAAAATGAAATTATTTTTAAATAATTTTATTAAAACTTGTCAAGAGAATTCAAATATTTAAAAATTTGTTTGATAAAATTCTTTATAAATATTCAATTTTAAGAAACATTTAATTATTTACTACAATATTTATTTTTCTATTTAAATAATTGAATTCTCGCAGAATTTTTTTAGTAACAACTAATTTAAAAATAAATTTCAGTTAAAATTTTAGATTATAATTGAATATTGATTTTATCGCGTAAATTTTTTGAAATAATTTAATTTTAAGAAGGTTTCAAATTAGAAACTTTGAAATTCTCAATTTTTTACACTTTTAATTAATAATTATGTAGAATTAATTTTTCCACAAAATTTAATTGAACTTTTTTTTAATTATTTGAAGTTTTTATTTTCTAACATATTTAATTGAATAATTTTCGAATAGTCGATGAAATTTCGTAAAAATTGAATTGTAAATAAAAGGATTTGAAAATTCGCAAAAAAAACTTTTTCAAAAATTATTTTTCAAAAAATTGATTTAAAGAAGAATTGTAGTTAAAAATTCTAGAAATGAATAATTGAATCGAAATGATGAAAATAATATTCTTATTTATTGAATTTGAAATTTTTCCAAATCTTAATTTCTAAAAAATAAAAAATAATATTTAAATATTTATTTAAAAATAAAGTTTTCCGTTTTCGAATAATTTAACAATTGAAGAAATTCGTCAAAGTTTTGTCTCAAAATGAAAAAGTTGTTTAATTTAGTAAAATGTATAAATGTAGTTTTATCTGGAAAAATTTCGTTTTTTAATTTGGAAATGTCAGGGAATTTGAAATGAGCAAAAGCGTGGCAACTCTGATTAGACGTGATAATTTTTTTTTTTTGTAAATTTTCTTAGTGACAATTGATTCAAATACAGGTACTAGGTAAAAATTTGCTATGGCAATTTGGGATCAATTTAGCTTTGTTGCACTATTAACTTTTTTCTTAGGAAGATATTTTTAAAAAATTTTTTTTCGCCTCCTGTGATGTTCTTTGTACTGAATTTGTTCCACTAATTTTACTTGTAGCATCATTTTTAGAGAATGTATTTTTTTTTATCTTCGAAGTAAATTACCACACTTTTCTATTTTTTTTTTTTTTTTATTTTTTTTTTGTTACTTGATGTGTAATAGCTTTCAGGATTTAAAGCTCTTTGATGCTTTTTTTGAACTATAAAAATATTACAAAGAGCTTGTAAATCTAATTGATTTAAGAAGTTTGCTATGTAAACTGACTGATTAGATATTTTGTAAAGAAAAGAAGGGAAAAAAACTTCTTTTGTCTTATTGGGCAAAAATCGAAGATTTTTTTTTTTAAACAGAAAATAATTGGCCACTTAAATTTTCGTAATTTATTTTCTATTATGCAAATTTTTCGTAATTTCCGGTGAATTTTTTTTTTATTGGGATGAATGTAACGAATCAAAAAGTATAATAGTACAAAAGAGAAATGAACTCGTAAGTTTTTTTTCGATAAAAAAGAATCCTTTTTTTTTTTTTTGGCTTGCATCGTTATTTTGCTCATTGTTTTCTTTACGGAAATTAACGCTTTTTTTAAATTAAGCGATTAAATTTTTTTTACCTGTAACTAGAGTTCTTGGGAGATTTCCTTTCTTCCGAAAATTATTAAATTGATTTTTGCTTTTTGAAAAAGAAATTAAATAATTGAAAATTTCTAATTAAAATACTTTAGAGTAAATTGAAAATTTTTGATGAGAAAAAGAATTTGAAATTCTACTAAGAACTCTGGAATAAAAGAAAAATGAAAATGCAGCTTCCTATTCTTAGATTTACTCAGACGGATTTTGAATACTTAAGCTTAATTAATTAAGTGTTAGCGTATAAAGAAAAAAAGAAAAAGAAAGGAAATCATAACCGTCGTGCAATTTGACATATCTTTGCGAAATAAAAAAAAATCCATCAAACTATGTAATTTTTTCCGTTTTCGGCCTCGAGAGAGAGAGAGAGAGAGAAAGAGAGAGAGAATTTTCCTTTTTGCGCATAAGCTATTTTTATATATAATAAAAATTAAAATCGAAGGAAAGGAAAAAAAAGAATTTAGAAAGACAATCCAATGTCCCATTGCGTCCTTGCATAATTAAAAAAATGTAAGTGCGAATAACTCTTTAAGTATTTCGTAATAATGGCTTATTTCTTTTTCTGTTCTTTAAATAATGTGTTTAGCGTCGTAATTTTTCAAAACTCGAACAAAAATCGTCTATAATTGTAATAAGATAACAGCAATTTCAATCTTCCATCCTGATAACCAACAAAGTTATATAATTTTTTGCTCTAACATGTACATGGCCAAATATGCGAATTTAATATTAAGGATAGTAAATGAAAAAGGGAAAAAAAATAGTTGTGATATTGTAGATTTGAAATTGTTATAAGATTAATCGACGATAAGTGTAAGGTGATTAGCATTTTGGGGCGTTTGATTATTCGCAAATTCCACATAATTATTTAGTGAAAAATTGATTAATTAAATTATCAAGAACTCAAGTTGATAATTGCTATTACTGAAATATTTAATTTCATTGTCATTTAATAATTATTATTGATTGACAAAAAATAATAATTAATTCACAATTATACAATTTTAAAAAATTAATTTTACAAATTTTTTTAAATTTAATTTTTAAATTGATAATTGAGAATTTAATTATTTGAATTACAATTGAGAATTAACTTTATCTAAATAATAATGATTATTATCTAAATAATTGGAAATTTCATTGTCCAGAGGATTAAAAATTGAATTCTCTAAATAATTGACGATTTAATTATCTAAATAATTGAAAGCTTTATTGTCAAAAGAATTAAAAATTGAATCCTCCAAATAATTGGAAATCTAATTGACTAAAGAATAAAATATTTAATTCTCTGAATCAGTGACGATTTAATAATCTAAATAATTAAATGTTTCATTGTCTAAAGAATTTAAAATTTAATTCTACCGATAATTGAAAATCTAATTGTCTAAATAATTGAAAATTTAATTCTCTAAATAATTAAAAATTTACCTCTCTAAATAATTGAAAATTTATTTATCTAAGTAACGGAAAAGTTCTTTGAGAATTTAATTATTGAAAGAAAAAGAAAAGAAATTTCACCTAAAATAATTCTGAAATTCAATTTTACAATTTTTAATTTAAAAATAATTGAATTTCTGCGAAAAATTTTTTTATTTGTGAAAATAATTGAATTTTAGACAAAAATTTTATTATTCCTGAAAATAATTCAGAAACTTAAAATTTGAAAAGAATTAAATATTCTATTCTCCAAATAATTGACGATTTAATTAAATATAAATAATTGAATATTCTACTGTCTAAAGAATTAAAATTTAAATTCCCCAAATACTTAGAAATATAATTGTCGAAAAAATTGAAAATTTAATTATCTATAAAATTTTAAACTTCAATTCTAGCTAAATAATTCCAAATTAAATTATATAAATAATGGAAAATTGAATTTTCCATAAATGATAATTTACTAAATGATAATGAAATGAAAGAAAAAACAGTATCTAAGAAAAATAACGAAAAATCTAAAAAAAAAACTTTTTTATTATTTGTAAAATTGTAATTTTTATTTTAAATAGAGTGGAATTTTAGCGAAAAAAAATCAATTGTCCCCCAATATTTTCTATTCGTGATGCAAATGAGATTTTATTACTCGAAAGCTTCGCGATAGTCTCGATTCCATCCGCTTAAAAAAATTGTAATTTTTGGATGGATAATCTTAGTTATAAGTCCACCAACTTTTTTATTATTATTATTTTTTTTTGTAAATACGTGTTTTTTTTAACTATACCAATGAATTGTTACAAGCCCCTTCACTTTTATTGTCTTATGCTTTATTAAAATGTAGAATACAAAAAAAAAATATATATATATAATATATAATTATATATTATATTTATATATGAAAAAAAATATCCTAAAGCATAAAGAAACCGTCTAGAACATTTTGTACAGACTTTTTAGAAATACTTAAATATTGTGACTCGTTTTTCTTTTTATTGTTCAATTCCTTTTTTTATTATCATTGCAATATTTTTAAGAATGAATTCTTTTTTTTTTAATGTGTGTATATACGAAAAAAAATTGTACGGGGCCAAGATGCTTCCTAGTGTTTTTTTTTAAATAATAATTTCTCGTGTAAACCTTTAAAAAAAGGTTTTTTGAGCGCAATTAGAGAGATGAAAAAAGGAAAAAAATGCAGCTTAGCTGCAATAAATATGATGAAGGAGTATGAAATGGAGATTTTATTCTTGATAAGGGCTGGTTTGTAATATGCATAGCGAGCTTTTTTGCTAATTTCGAATTTTTTGCATTCCATTTGTACTTTTTAACCCTTCCAAAAAAAAAGAGAACAACTAGTGCCTGAAAGATTTACACTTATCTCCATTTGTAATCGTACGCTGAAAGTTTTTATCAATTAACTCATAGGTTTAGCAAAAAATAAAAAAAAATTTTAAAAAAAACTTGAAAATGATTGATTAATTGGGCTCAATAAATAAATACGATGTACACGAAATTTTTATTTGTAATTTTATTAAAATATAATATTGTACACTTTTTATTTAATTTTAGTTCAATGTGTTAAGTTAAGTTTTATTTTATTGTAAAATTAATTTTTATTGATTTAAATTATTAATTTTTTGGAAAAGAGATAATTTTCAATTTATGAAATCCTTATTTATAATAATAATAATTATTATTATTATCATTATTATTATATGAATTATTGACTTTGCAGACGAAGAAAATATTATTATTATTATTATTATTATTATTATTATTATTATTATTATTATTATTATTATTAATACTAATTAACAAAATAATTCGTAAACATTTGGTAATTAATTACAATTTATTATTTAATTAATAATTAAGTACTTAATTTAAAATTATTTTCTTTCGATTATAAAATTTTATCTCCTGAAACAGTGAAGATTGTGATATTGTCAGACTTGTAATTTTTCGCAGTGATTGGTGAATGGATAGAATCATTATATATTTTTTAATTATTATAATTTTAATTGATATTTTTAATGTCCTAGTCATTAATGCTGATAATAATTATTCAATAGAAAACAAATGAAATTCCATTAAAATACATTATTTATTCTTAAACAATTACTGTACAAACGGCAAGAATAATTATTTTAGCTACTATAAGATATTTTGATTTAATTCTAAATTTTTCATCTAAATTTAATGTACTTATAAACTATTTAATTTAATTTAATATTTAATTAACAATTGATAAAACAAAACAGTAAAAAAATTAAATGCAGGAAAATTACACTAAGAAAATTAAGCTTAATTATAGAAGAAATAATTTTTTCTATAAAATTTGTTCCTTATGGAATAGAAAAAGTGAGTAAAAAAACTTTAACACTCATAAATTTTTTAAATATTATTTTGTCATGAAAATTTTACTGAAAAAACTGAGACCAACAGAAGAGACGGCTAACAATAAAAAAAGCCATCCCCATAAATTTAAACTATTTTTTTCATTCGCCATAATAATTGACCTACTGACATTTTTCGATAATTTATTAATTGCCATTTTATTCGTACCTTTTAAAATATCGATTCTTTTCAAAATATCAATTACCTCCTCGATGCTCTGTGCTTTTTGAATTATAATCTCCTCCTCTATATGTTTATCATAATGTTTTATTAATTTTTCAATAATTTCTTTTTCACTTGGCGATGAATCTAAATATTTCGCACCAATTGCGTGTTTAAAAAAATAATTTCCCATTGATAGTCGACATTTTCTCATATATTTTCCTGTATTAAGATGTTGTGTAAATAAAGTCTGTTTATCGGAACTCCAGTAAAATGAGAGAAATGCCGTTTTCATTTCTTCATAAGTGCCATGGCCTCTTTCACTTAACCAAATTGCTGCATATTGACGAAGTGAATTTACAAAGTGATTTTGCTTCTCCTCCTCGTTCAGATTCTCCTCAGCAGCGTAGTATTCGAAATTTTCAATAAAAAGCGCCGGATGCACTGGATCTCGCATTCCGCAGAATTTTAAATTTTTTATTGGCTTAAATTTTATTTGATTTTCCTCGTTTTCGTCATTTTCGATTTTTAACTCTTGGCTTTTTTCCCCTAATTCCGTATTGTCACTATTTTTCAGTTGATCATCAATTTTTAACTGTTGAATTTTTTTTGTTGACTCCATATTTTCCTCATTGTCTTCCATCTCACTGACAATTTTTAATTGTTCACTTTTATCCGAAAATTCACAACTTTTGAGTTTAGAATAAGAAACTTGATCAACTTTTGTTTCTTCAATTACATCTCGAGTTTTATTATTTTTTTCCTGTTCCTGAATAACAGAAGAATTCTCAATTCCTATCAATTGAATTGAATCTAGGAATTTATTAATATTCTCCTGATTTTGACACTTATTTTCCATCTTTCCATGATCGTTATTTTCTTTGTCGTCGAGTTTGCCATCGTCTTCACTCTTCTTTCCTTCTAACATTCTCTTTTTTAATTATGAAACTGATTACTCGATTCTGAAAAAATTATTCAATTTTTAAATTCCAAACTTTCTTTCTTCGTTAAAATATTACTTAGCGAAATATTTATAAATATATAGAGAAGAAAAATTACCTTTTGTTATTGTTTTCCTTTGATTGAAATTAAAATTATAAAACTCGAAATTTTCGTCTTTGTAAATATGAACAAATCATTTTATTTTAGTTTCACAACTCACCGGCATAAAGTCAAATATCGAATGAAATCGTTGTCCGGAAGCGACAGTAGTAAGTTTTAAAAATAGATTTCTATTTTGAGTCCAACTGCCCTTATTTTGATCATTTAGAAAAATTTCCATTCTTCCTTTCCCCTCTAGAATTAAATAATTATTAAACAATACAAGATTTTCAAACTTTTTAATTAAAAATTCAATTATTTTTAAAAATTCACGCTAAAATGCTTTTAATATTCAATTATAATCTAAAATTTTAATTGAAATTCATTTTTAAATCAATATTTATTAGAAAATTCTACGAAAATTAAATTTTTATTTAAATACAAAAATAAATATTTTATTAAAAAATTGAATGTTTCTTAAAATTGAATTATCATAAAGAATTTTATAAAAAAAATTTTAAATAATTGAATTATCTTGACAAGCTTTATTAAAATTTTTAAAAGTTATTTAATTTTTCAAGAAATTTCCATTAAAATTGTATTATAAATAATTGAACTTAGCCAAAGAATTTTATAAGAGTTTTTAAAAATAATTCAATGCTTGTGAAAATTTAATTATTTATGAAAATAATTATTTGTTTGCGTAGAATTTTATTCAAACATTTTTTTTATAATTGAATTCTTTTGGGAAATTTTATTAAAGTAGTAGATATTAAAAATTACTGAATTCAGAAAAGTTTTTGAAAATAATTGAATTTCGGAGAAGAATTTTATTATTTATAAAGATAATTGAAATTCTGATGAGAATTTTTGTAAATTTTTTAACATAATTGAAATTCTGAATTCAACTATAAATTAAATTCAGAATGAATTATATTACTTTTGAAAATAATTGAATTCTTGAGAAGAATTTGATTAAAATTTATTTTCAAATAATTCAATTCTTTTGTGACGAAATTTTATAGAATTAGTAAATATTGAATATAACTGCATTTTTACAAATTTTTTAAATTAATTAAATTTTAACCAAGAATTTAAAAAAAAAATTGAATTTCGGAGAAGAATTATGTTACTTTTGAAAATAATTGAATTCTTGAGACGAATTTGCTTAAAATTTCTTTGTCAATAATTTAATTCTTTTGTGAAATTTTATAAAATTATAGTAAATATTAAAAATAATTGAATTTTGACAAATTTTTTGAATTAATTAAATTTTTACCAAGAATTTTATGGAATTTTTTGAAAATAATTGAATTTTGGAGATGAATTATGTTACTTTTAAAAATAATTGAATTCTTGAGACGAATTTTATTAAATTTTTTTTTTAAATAATTGAATTCTTTTCTGAAATTTCATTGAAATATAGTAGATATTGAAAATAATGGAATTTTCATAAATTTTTGAAATTAATTAAATTTCTACGAAGAATTTTATGAAAATTTTTGAAAGTACATAGCATAAAATTATTTATAAAATAATTGAAATTCTGATTAGAGAATGTTTGTAAATTTTTTAACATAATTGAATTTCTGGAAGAATTATATTACTTTTGAAAATAATATTGAATTCTTGAGACGAATTTGATTAATTTTTTTTTAAATATTAGATATTGAGAATAATTGAATTTTATTAAAACTATTTTGAAAAAAATTGAAATGTTATAAAAAATTTCATTAAAATTTTTTGAAAATAATTTAATTCTTTGAAAAAATTAAATTAAAAACGTATTGAAAATAATGCTTAAATTCTAATAAATAAATTATAGCAAAGTTTTTTAAAATAATTGAATTTCTTTGATGAATTTTAATGAAATTTTGAAGAATAATTACATTTTTCGAGAAATTAAATTAAAATTACATTAAAAGTAATTGAAAGAATGCAATGAGTTATATTATTTTTATTAAAATAATTGAATTCCAAAAAAGAATTTTATTATTTATGAAAATAATTGAATGCTTGTGAAATTTTTAATATTTATAAAATAATAATTGTTTCCGTAGAATTTTATTAAAAAAATTTTTTAATAATTGAATTCTTCTGGGAAATTTTATTAAAGTAGTAGATATTGAAAATCATTGAATTGAGAGGAAAGTTTTTGAAAATAATTGAAATTTTGACAAAGAATTTTATTAAAAGTTTTTTAAATAATTGAATTTTTGAGAAAAATTTTACTACTTTTGAAAATAAATGAATTTCTGCAATTATTTGTAATTGCTTCAAAATTCAATTTTTTTTTAGTGTTTTTAACTAAAATTCTTCTGTAAATCCATTATTTTTAATAATCAATTAAATATATATTAGAAAATTTAACTATAATTTCAGAAGAATTTGAATTATTAATTTTTTTCAAAAATCTGCTTTTTTTAAGATTTCTAATTAAATTCATAGAAAATTAAAATTTTACAAAATTTTAAACTAAAACCTTTTAAAGTCCATCTACTTATGAAAATTGTAAACGCAATTCTTTTAAAGTTAAATTAATTATGAAATATTTAATTAAAATTAGATTTCAAGAAGAAGCACAATAACTTTAAAAAAACAACTTACAATTTTCCAGGATTTTGATTGAAATTTCCTGAATTTTCCACATTGTTTCAAGGTTTATAAAATTCCCTGACATTTCCAGGTGTTGCAGATTTCCAGGTTTCGTGTCAACCCTGAAGAAAAAAAACTATAGAGAAAAAAAGTAGTAAAGAAAAATATTAACGAAAAAAAACTATCGAGGGAAAAAAATATTAAAGAAAAAAACTATCGACGAAAAAAAATATTGAGGAAAAAAGTATTAAAAATAAAAACAATCGAGGGGAAAATTTTCAAAGAAAAAACGATTCCGCAAAAAAATATTGAAGAAATAAAAAATATATTTTTAAGAAAAATTACAAAACTTGGTTAATTCGTATAAAAAAAACATTGAACAGAAATAATACTCCTTTGGTTTTAAATATAATTTTCAAAATATTTCCTGATTCGAAATATTCTTTTCTCGCGTTATAAATCTAACTTTATTTTTTTTTCAAATATTTTTTTATATTATCTTTTTAAATAATATTTTCTTATATTATTTTTTTAAATAGAAATTTTTTTAAATAATATTTTTTAAATATTATTCTATTTATTTTTTTTTTAACTTTAAAAAGTCCACTTAGTGATAGTTTGGATTTAGGGGATCGTACTTTTCGCCAGCCTTATCCCAAACAGAATAAATCGTACAAAAATTTTCATTCAAAAATCTCAAAATATGTTTGGATTTGTAAAATTTTTGCTCATAATACCTAACAATGAAATCATTAACAGCAATTGTTCGATTATCGGAGAAAATGATTTCATCAATTTTCTCCTTACAAAGTAAACACACGATTCGCTCGTTTTTATTCGAAATAACGTATCGATACTCTGAATCTTCAGTTATCGAACAAGTTATTATGCCACAGGGTTTAGCGATACTGTCACGCATAAAGTACAACAGTTGACCGGCAATTAAATTCTCACGTGTCTTAAATGTCGAACATGTGCTTACAATTAATTGTCTTTCATTTTGTTTAGCAATTGTCACCGGGCCCAACACTTGATACTCTTTCATTTCATCGATTTCGGTGAAAATCCAATAAATTTTCTCTGGGATATCGATTAAAAAATGCATTGAACTCTCATCGCTTGTGACATTAAAATGTCTCATTTCTGACATTGGATTATTATAACTCAATGTGTGCATTGGCCATAATTTCGTTGTTGTACATCTGTAGGAAATTTGCCTATCCTTTTGAATTATGTCATATTTATTGTTCAGACAATCTTTCCACGATCCATTTCGACTTTTCTTCGACGATGACGAGCTGAAAAAATTTAAAGGAACTTCGATAGTTGAATTTTTTGGTTTGTCGTTGGTGAATTCTAAATCTTTTAGAAAACGATAAATTTCGTCGATTGTTTTTTTATGAATTTTTGATAATTTCATTTGAATGTAAACATCGAAATGTTCAATGAGCCAATCAATTAGAATTTCATCGTTTGGTGGATTGTCGAGAAATTTCGCTTCTTTTGCGTATTTGTAAAAATAGACAGAACGGGATAATTTTGCATTCTTTTCGTTGTACTTTCCATGTTTTAAAAATGTTATGAAACAATTTTGGTCTTGTTGATTCCAGAAAAAATTGAGAAATGATTTTCTCATTGTTTCGAATGTTTTACTGTAGCCTTGAATTTTTAACCATTCAGCAGCTTCATTTATAAGCGATTGACCAAAGTAAAATTGCTTCTCATAATCGGTTAATTCCTCTTGTTTGGCGAAAAAATCAAAGTCCTCGGTAAAACGTACAGGATGCGTTGTATCATCTCTTCCGGAGAATTTTAAATTTTCAAAGGGCTTGATACTTCTTCTTGAAGGGCGATTCATTTTGAAATTTGACGCAAGCTCTTCAATTTCGTGTAATTTTCTCACAGTCGAGTCCAATAGTATTTGTGATTTTTCATTTAAACATTCGAGGACGCTTAAATCAAGTGCACCATTGCTTCTAAAATTAAACAAAAGGAAAATAAAAATCTATATTAATAATCGTTCTATTCCGGTAATCTGTTCGCAGTTTGAAAGTGAGTTATTCTTTGATTTTTTGTTTTCTAAATTTCTTAATATTTCTTCCTTTCAAATATTTTCAATTTCAAAACTTAATGTATTAAAAATCATTGACTTCTTGCAAATAATTTCATCAAAAAATTTGAGAATAATTGCAGGGCTCAGATCGTCTTTAAGACTCAAAAAAAGTCGCTTTAGTCGCATAAATTTACAAACAAAAGTCACAAAAAGTCGCATAAAATTTCCAAAAAAAGTCGGAAAAAAGTCGAATAAAATTTTAGAAAAAACGACAAAAAGGAAACACGAAATTTGCAAAATTGTAAAAAAAACCACATTTCTCGACAACAGATACATTAATATCAAATAATGAGCAATAAAATTTTTAAAAATTAAATAAAATTCATAGCAAAATTTTAATTTGGTATTTTTAACATTTTTTTAAAAATTCTCTTTAAAATGTCAATTATTTTTATAAATAATAAAATTCATCTCCGAAATTCAATTATTTGACAAAAATTTTAATGAATTTCTTGTCAAAGTTTCAATTATCTTTATAAATAATAATATTCTTCTCTGAAATTCAATTATTTTCAAAAGTAATAAAATTCTTCGCAGAAATTCAATTATCTTCAAAAGTAATAAAATTCTTCGCAAAAATTCAATTATTTTCACAAATTTGAAATAAAATTCTTCTTATGAAATCAATTATTTTCAAATATTAATAAAAATATTTGTAATAATTCAATTATTTTCAAAACGTTTAAAAAAATTTTACGCAGAAATTCAATTATCTGCCAAAATAAATAAAATTATTCACAGGAATTCAATTATTTTTTTAAATTAATAAAATTCTTGACAGGAATTCAATTATTTTTAAAAACTTTTAAATTCTTGACAGTAATTTTTTTTTATAAATTAATAAAATTCTTCACAGGAATTGAATTATTTTCCAAAAATAATTGAACTCTTCGCATGACATCAATTATTTTCGAAAATTCATCAAATTTATCGTAAGAATTCAATTATTTTCAATTATTACTAAAATTCTTCTCAAGAAATTCAATTATTTTGAAAAATTTTAATTAAATGAATGATAAGAATTGAATTGTTTTTAATACAAAATTTTTTTCGCGAAAGTTTAATTATTTTAAGGAATTTTAATAAAATTCTTCGCAAAAATTCAATTATTTTCAAAATTCAATTGAATTTTTTACGGGAAATTAATTTTTTTCAAATATTAATAAAAATCTTTGCAAGAATTCAATTATTTTTATAACTTTTAATAAAATTCTCCACAGAAATTCAATTATTTGCCAAAATTAATAAAATTAATCACATGAATTCAATTATTTTCAAAAGTAATAAAATTCTTTTCTGAAATTCAATTATTTGCAAAGAATTTTAATAAAATTCTTGTCAAATTTTCAATTATCTTTTTAAATAATATAATTTATCCTATAAATTCAATTATTTTCAAAAGTAATAAAATTCTTCGCAGAAATTAAATTATTTTCAAATTTTTTTTTTAAATTTCTCGTTAAAATTTTTATTATCTTCATAAATAATAAAATTCATCCTGGAAATTTAATTATTTTCAAAAGTTCTGATCAAATTTTTTTGCAAAATTCAATTATCTTCAATAGTAAAAAAATTCTTCACAGAAATTTAATTATTTTCAAAAAATTTTTTTAATTCTCTTCAAAATTTCAATTATCTAAATAATTGTGTAAATATCAACACTCTTCTGCAAAATGGAATTACTTACTAATGTTTTATAAATTTCTTCCCAATAATTCAATTATTTGCATAAAAAATAATTAAAAATTTTTTTTTTATAAAGTCTTTTAATATAAATTAATGATTTTATCACTCGGTCATCTTTAATTATTATAAAACATGAAGACATCGATTGCTCCGAGTCGAAGACTCGGAGTGATCGATTTCTTCTTGTTTAATAACAATTTTTTTAAAGTTGATTAATTTGAAAAAGGTTTGAATTTGAATCTTTTAAAGAATTTTAATTCCTATGGAAAAATAATAATTAAATATTTATTTAAAAAAAAAGTTATTGATGTTTTCAAAAAATTTGTAAATAAATGTAACAGAACATTTTTTTGACTCAAACTTTTTCCTTTTAATTTAAAAAAAATTTAAATTTAATTCGCATTTTACTAAAAAAAAGTCAAAAAAGTCGATTAGTCGCATTTTTTCACAAAAAAGTCGAAAAAAGTCGCATTTTCTTAGAAAAATCGAAAAAAGTCGAAAAAGTCGCACAATCCGAGCCCTGTAATTGAATTTCTTCGTAGAATTTTATTATTTATGAAAATAATCGAATTCTCGCTAAAAATTTTATTAAAATTTCTAAAAAATAATTTAATTCTTCTCAGAATTTTATTACAATTTTTTTAAATAATTTAATTCATCCAATGAGGAATTTTATTAAAAAATATAATATAATTAAATTCTTTCGAAGTATAGTTTCTATTAAAGGTTTTGACAATAATTGAATTCCTTCAAAAAATTTTTTTAATTTATTCAATATAATCGATTTTGTTAATAACTGTAATTAATAATTTAACTATCAAAATTTTATAAAAATTTATTTATAGAAAATTCAACTCTTTTAAATAATTTTATTAGAGTTTTTGTAAATAATTAAATTCTTTTGACAAATTTCTTTGTGCTTTTTTTAAATAATGTACATATTAAAATTGTTTTGAAAACAATTGAAATCCAAAGAAGAATTTTATTATTAATGAAAATAATTGAAAATTTTCCAAAGAATTCTTTTTTATGAAGATACTTGAATTCTTGTGAAGAATTTTATTAACATTTTTAAAAATAATTAAATCGTGAAAAGAATTTTATTTTTATGAAGATAATTGAATTTTTAGGAAGAATTTTATTAAAATTTTGGAAAATAATTGAAATCCTTCAAAGAATTTTATTATTTATAAAAAATAATTTAATTTTTGCGATGAATTTTACGCCGAAAGAAATTCTTGACAAAAATTTGTTTCAAATTTTGTAAAATAATTGAAATTCATCTGTAAAGAATTCAATTATTTATGAAAAAAAAATTGATTTCTTGATAAGAACTTGTTTGAAATTTTTGAAAATAATTGAAATGCTCCGAAGAATTTTCTTATTAATGAAAATAATTTAAATCTTCAAAAAATTTTTTTTTATGAAGATAATTGAATTTTTAGGAAGAATTTTATTAAAATTTTGGAAAATAATTGAAATCCTTCAAAGAATTTTATTATTTATAAAAAATAATTTAATTTTTGCGATGAATTTTATTTTTAAAGGATTTCTTGACAAGAATTTGTTTCCAATTTTTAAAAATAATTTAATTTTTCGATGAATTTTATTTTAAAAGGATTTCTTGACAAGAATTTGTTTCCAATTTTTAAAAATAATTTAATTTTTCGATGAATTTTATTTTAAAAGGATTTCTTGACAAGAATTTGTTTCTAATTTTTAAAAATAATTGAAATTCTGTAATTTAAGAAAATTGAGGAAAAATTAGAAAAATTGAGTGATCTCGAAAAAAGGGTGGGGAAAATAGAAAAAAGGGAAGAAGAGAGGGGGAAAAGTGTGGATGAGGAAGGTGCTTCAGGAGGCGAGCACGTAATCGAAAAGAGATTAGGGGAAATTGAAAGGAAAATGGAAGGGGTTGAGAAAGAAAGAAGAAGAGAAAGGATTGTGGTAAAGGGGTTGGAAGTGGAAAAGAGTGAGGTTAAAGAAGAAGTGGAAAAAATAATGAAGGATATTGGAGTGGAAGTGCACATAAAGGGTATAAGGGGGGCTGGAGGTGAAAACAGGGATAAGCCGAGTGTATGGATAGTAGAGTTAGGAAGCGAAGAGGAAAAATGGGAGGTAATGAAGGCGAAAAATAAGTTAAGGGGTAAACCTGTAAAAATTGATGAGGATAAGACCTACAGGGAGAGAAGGATTGGGTGGCTTTTGGCAAGGAAAGCGAGGGAGGAGAGGGAAAAAGGGAGTTGGGTAAAATGGGGAAGGGAATGTTTATGGATTAATGGGAAGAAGTGGATAGTTAAAGAAGAGGATGGAGAAGTGGTAGAAGAGGAAAGAGAAATGGGGTTTGGAGAATAGCGAACAGGAGAGGGGAGGAAGGAGGGAGAAGAGGGAGGGAAGGGGAATTAAATAGGAAGATAAAAGTTGTTTTTTGGAACGTATCGGGGTTGGGAAATAAAGATGAAGGGTTTTGGAAAACATTAGGAGGGTGGGACATAATATTTTTGAGTGAGACGTGGGTAGAAGAGAAAGACTGGGATAAAATTAAAAAGAAGTTGCCTAAGAATTTTACATGGAGAATGCAAGGGGCAAAAAGGGATAATAAAAAGGGGAGAAGTGCAGGGGGGATGTTGTCAGGAATAAGAAATGGAATAGAAGAGGAAAGTCTGAAGGAAGGAACCAAGGAGGTGGAGGGATGTATGGCAAGAAGGGTAAAAAAAGGAGAGGAATATATTTCGATTGTGGGAATCTATAGGAGAAGAGGTGAGGATGTGGGATGGGGGGTGATAGAAAATTGGATGGAATGGGGAAGGGACGAGAAAGTATTGATTGGGGGGGATTTAAATGCGTGGACGGGAGAAAAAGGTGGCAGTATATGGGATGAAGAGGAGGAAAAGTACGTAAGAAAGTCCAAACACGGTGAGCTAGATAAAGAAGGGAAAAAGATGCTCAGGATATTAGCGGAAAGGGGATGGACAATTGTAAATGGGAATGTAAAGGGGGATGAGGAGGGTGAATTTACATACGTAGGAAGGGGAAATACGGTGATCGATTATGTTCTGGCAGAAGAAAAGGTAAGGGAAATAATCAGCAGTATGAAGGTAGGGATTGAGGTGGGTTCGGAGCATTTTCCACTAATAGTGGAGTTGGAGGGGGTAGAGGGCAGGGATAGAAGGAGGCAAGAAAGAAAAATGAACAGAAAGATAAAAATGGGGGATTGGGGGCAAGAACAATTAAGGGAGTATGAAGAAAGGATACAGGAGGAAGGAGCGACAAGAGAAGAAGCAGTTAGGGATGTAAACGAAAGGATTCAAAGGTTAAGAGAGATAATCGAGAAGGTAAAAGGGGAAATAAAGGCAGAAGGAGCGAAGGAGAGCAATAAAAAAGGGTTGGTGGGATGAAGAATGTGAAAGAAGCAGAAAAGAGTTGAGAGAGCATATAAGAGCATGGAGAAAAGGATGGATAGAGAAGAAGTTGTACAACAAGAGGCACAAGATGCATGAAAAGCTGTTGAAGGAGAAAAGAGAAGCGGAAAGAAGAAGATACATGGAGGAAATAGAAAAAGCTGTGGCAGAGGGTAAGGTGTGGGAAGTAATAAATAGGGAAAGAAAAAAGTGGGAGGGAATAAATAAGGATATAAAAATAGAGGAATGGACGGAGTATTTTAAAAGTTTAAGCGGGGGCATAGAAAAAAGAATTAGAGGAGAAGGCAGAAGGCAGACGGGAAATAAGGAGGGTACAGGAATAAGTATGGGGGAGGTAGAAGAGGCGATAGGAAGGATAAAAAGAGGAAAGGCGGCAGGGGGGGATGGTTTGGAAGGGGAGGGTTTAAAATACGGGGGAGAATGGGTTAAAAAGGAAATGTGTAAAGTGGTGAATGAGGTGTGGGAGGGAAAGGGGTGGCCTGAGGAGTGGAAAACAGGGCTAATAGTACCAATCAAGAAGAAAGGAGAAGGGAAAAGGGTAGATGATTATAGAGGAGTCACCTTGATGCCGGTGGGATACAAGGTGTACGCGGAGATTCTGAGGAAGAGGTTGGAAAAGAGGGTGGGAGAACTTGGATGCATACCTGACAATCAGACAGGATTCAGAAGAGGAATGGGGACGATTGACAATATCTATGTATTGAATTTTTTAATAAATAGAAATCTAAGAAGGGATAAGGGTAAATTGGTTGCGGTTTTCGTAGATTTTAAGGCGGCGTTCCCGTCAGTAAACAGGGGAATTCTGTGGAAGGTTTTAAAAGAAAAAGGAATTGAGGAAGACTTGGTGGAAAGAGTTAAGGAAATGTACGTAGACACAAGGGAAAGAGTAAAAATTGGAGAGGAGTTGGGAGAAGAATTTTGGTTGGGAAGAGGACTTAGGCAGGGATGCCCATTGAGCCCAATATTGTTCAACCTGCTAATAGCAGACGTAGAAGAGAGGTTGTCAAAGAGGGGAAAAGGGGGAGTAATATTGGGAAATGGTAGGGTATTCTCGCTAGCCTACGCGGATGATATGGTGTTAATGGCAGATGATGAGAGAGGAATGAAATTAATGTTGAATGAATTTGAGAAGTATGTTAGAGATAAAGACTTATGTATAAATGTGGGAAAGACGAAAGTGATGAGGTTTAGAAAGAGAAGAAAGTGTGAGAAAGAAGTATGGAAGTTGAATGGAAGTAGCATAGATGAAGTGAATGAGTTTTGTTATCTCGGATACTGGCTGCAGTTTAACGGGAAACAAGGTTTGAATGCGGAAAGAAGAGTGGAAAAGGCAGGAAAGATTATGGGAAAAGTGTGGAGCATAGGTATGAGGAGATTTAAGAATGATTGGAGAAGAAGAGTGTGGATGTTTGATATGCTAGTGTGGTCAGTCTTAGGGTATGGAGTGGAAATTTGGGGTTGGAAAGAAGTCAGCAGTATGGAAAGTATGCATGAGAGATATTTAAGATGGACAATGGGGTTAAATCGAAGCTGTCCGGGGTACATGCTAAGAGAGGAAGTTGAGAGAGAGAAAATGGTAGTAAGGCAGAGAAAAAGAGCGATTGGTTTAGAGAGAAAGTTTGCGGAGGGGAAGGGAAGTGGGCTAGCGAGAAGATGTTGGGAACTTATTAAAAGGGAGGAGGGAAAGGGAGGGAAAAGTATGACTATCTGGGAAAAGGAAAGATGGGGAGCATTGGGAGAGATAGGAGAGAGGGAGGAAAGCGTTGAGAAAATAATTGGGAAGTGGAATAAGAAGGACAGGGAAAATAGATGGAAAAAGATTAGAGAGTCCAGATATAATAGGTGGTACAAAATGGTCAAGGAAGAAGGGTTGCCGAAATATTTAGTGAAAATAAGGGATGAAAGGAAAAGGAATAGAGTGTTAAGGTTCAGAATGGGAGAGGGAATGAATGAGTGTAAGTATTGGATGAGTGAGGATGAAAGATTGTGTAGAGTGTGTAAATTTGAAATTGAGGACTGGGAGCATGTGTTGGATAGATGTGGAAGAGAGGAAGGATATGAGGAAAGTAGTATAAGTGAACGGGTATGTATGGTGTTAAGTGGAAATGGGGAGGGAGAGAAATGGATGAAAGAAATAGAAAAAACTAGAGCGAGGGTGGGAACGTAGAAATAATTCTTAGTTTTATAATTGACGAAGCCAAATTGGGCACAAAGAAGCTGGAAACGGAAACCCAGGCACTTGGCAGATAGATTTAGTTTTTATATTAGGTTAAGGTTAAAATGTTAGAATTGTAAGTTATCTTTAAGGTTTTTTTTTGTATTGGAAGTTTTGCCTCGAACCCTGCGGCTTGTGCAGGGAGAGAGTAATAAATAAAAAAAAAAAAAAATATAATTAAATTCTTTCGAAGTATAGTTTCTATTAAAGGTTTTGACAATAATTGAATTCCTTCAAAAAATTTTTTTAATTTATTCAATATAATCGATTTTGTTAATAACTGTAATTAATAATTTAACTATCAAAATTTTATAAAAATTTATTTATAGAAAATTCAACTCTTTTAAATAATTTTATTAGAGTTTTTGTAAATAATTAAATTCTTTTGACAAATTTCTTTGTGCTTTTTTTAAATAATGTACATATTAAAATTGTTTTGAAAACAATTGAAATCCAAAGAAGAATTTTATTATTAATGAAAATAATTGAAAATTTTCCAAAGAATTCTTTTTTATGAAGATACTTGAATTCTTGTGAAGAATTTTATTAACATTTTTAAAAATAATTAAATCGTGAAAAGAATTTTATTTTTATGAAGATAATTGAATTTTTAGGAAGAATTTTATTAAAATTTTGGAAAATAATTGAAATCCTTCAAAGAATTTTATTATTTATAAAAAATAATTTAATTTTTGCGATGAATTTTACGCCGAAAGAAATTCTTGACAAAAATTTGTTTCAAATTTTGTAAAATAATTGAAATTCATCTGTAAAGAATTCAATTATTTATGAAAAAAAAATTGATTTCTTGATAAGAACTTGTTTGAAATTTTTGAAAATAATTGAAATGCTCCGAAGAATTTTCTTATTAATGAAAATAATTTAAATCTTCAAAAAATTTTTTTTTATGAAGATAATTGAATTTTTAGGAAGAATTTTATTAAAATTTTGGAAAATAATTGAAATCCTTCAAAGAATTTTATTATTTATAAAAAATAATTTAATTTTTGCGATGAATTTTATTTTTAAAGGATTTCTTGACAAGAATTTGTTTCCAATTTTTAAAAATAATTTAATTTTTCGATGAATTTTATTTTAAAAGGATTTCTTGACAAGAATTTGTTTCCAATTTTTAAAAATAATTTAATTTTTCGATGAATTTTATTTTAAAAGGATTTCTTGACAAGAATTTGTTTCTAATTTTTAAAAATAATTGAAATTCTGTAAAGAATTCAATTATATATGAAAAAATTGAAATCTTCAAGAGAATTTTATTTTTTATAAAGATAATTGAATTTTTAGGAAAAATTTTATTCAAATTTTGGAAAATAATTATAATCCTCCGAAGAATTTTATTATTTATAAAAAATAATTTAATTTCTGCGATAAATTTTTCTTCCAAAGGATTTCTTGACAAGAATTTGTTTCAAATTTTGTAAAATAATTGAAATTCTTATCAAGAATTCAATTATTTATGAAAAAAATTGAATTCTTGATAAGAATCTGTTTGAAATTTTTGAAAATAATTGAAATGATCCAAAGAATTTTATTATTAATGAAAATTTTGCCATGAATTTAATTAAAATTTTTGAAAATAATTGAAATCCTTTGAAAAATGTTAATATTTATGAAAATAATTAAAATCTTGAAAAGATTTTTATTAAAATTTTTCAAAAATAATATTATTGTTTCAATGAAAATTTAATTTCTTTGGAGAAATTCAATTAAGATTGTATTGAAAATAATTGAATTTTTGGGAAGAATTTTATTAAAATTTTAGAAAATAATTTAATTCTTTTGAAAAATTTTATTGATAATAATTGAATTTTTGCAATGATTTTACTATTTTAAAAAAATTATTAAATTGTTTCCAAGGATTTATTAAAATTTTATTGATAACAATTGAATTTTTTGCAAAGATTTTACTGCTTTAAAAAATTATTGAATTGTTTACAACGATTTATTAAAATTTTGTTGAAAATAATTGAATTTTTGCAAAAAGTTTTATTATTTTTAAAAATAACTGAATTCTTCCGAAAAATTAAAATTAAATTAAAATTAAAATAATAAACAAAGAAATTATAAATAATAATAAAAATAAATTTTTAAAATTATGAATTAAAATAATAAACTAAAATTAATTGCTTTTATCAACTTACATTTTTTCGCCCTTCTGAGTGATAAATTTTTTCTCAACAATACTTTTATCATCATCATCATTATCATCGTCATCTTCATCGTCGTCAAGAGTCTCATCTACTTTATTCAAAGTAATTTGAGACTGTGGAGTTTGTAAAATTGATTCGATATTTTTTTTTACATTTGAATCGTGCTCATTTTCAGTGTCACCATTATTTAAGGATTGAATGCAAGAATAATCACATACAGAGACCATATTTTCGCGGGCAGATTTTGATGATTCCTTGCTAGGAAGACATTCATCTTCATAGTAACACGATAATGAACATTGATGATCCTATAAAAAAAAGAAATTCTAATTAAATATTTTTTCCTATTATTTTTTGAATTATTTAAATATTTAACTGGAAACTGTTATGAGCGACACTCTATACTTCATTTTCTTATTATTCTTATGCAAACTACAAAATTTTTTATTTTCAAATATTAACTTTAATTTTTGAATAATTACAGATTCAAACTAAAAAAGATTCACTTATTAACTACTTAGCAATTATTATTATTTTTTATTATTTTCTAACATTTCAATAAAATTCTTTACAAGAATCCAATAAAATTCAATGAAATTTAAAATGAATTTCTCGAAAGAATTTAATTATTTTCAAATATTTTAATAAAATTTTTCGAAAGCATTCAAATATTTTCAAAATATAAAATTCTTCTCTGGAATTCAATTACATTTAATACAATTTTTATAAATTTTCTCGTAAGAATTCAATTATTCTTAAGAATATTAGGAAATTTATTTTTAAAAATTTCTCTTTTTAAATATTTTCTATTCTACAATTAACGCATTGAAAATCATTGAATTCTTGCTGAAAACTTTATTAAAAACTTTGAGAATAATTGAATTCTTTCGAAGAAATTTATTATTTATGATAAAAGTAATTGAATTCTTCAGAAGATTTTTATTAAAATTCTAGAAAATAATTCTATTTTTTCGCAAAACGTTAGTAAAATTGTAATAAAAATTATTGAATTCCAATTATGAGTTTTGTTATTTATAAAAAATAATTGAATTCTTGGGAAGAATTTTCTTAAATTATTTAAAAATAATTCAATTATTTTGAAAAATTTTATTGAAAATTATTGAATTTTTGAAACGATCTTCTATTTAAAAAAAATAATTAAATTATTTCGTGAAATTTTTTTTTAATTTTGTTGAAAATAATTGAATTTTGGCAAAAAAATTTACTTTTTACAAAAATAATATTGAATTTCTTTGAAGAATGTTATTGTTTATAAAAATAATTTAATTCTTGCTAAGAATTTTGTTAAAATTTTGTTAAAAATGATTGAATTTTTCCAAAAATTATATTTATTTATTTATAAAAATATAATTTTAATTAAAAATTTTGAAAAAATAATTGAATTTCATGAACAATTTCATTCAAGTTATTAAAATAGTCGTGATTGTTAATAATTGATATTAAACATTTAGTTAATGAATTTTATTAAAATTTTAGAAAATAATTGAATTCTTTTGAAAATCTTTTTAACGAATTATGAAAAAAATTGAATTCTTTCGTGAAATAATTCAATTTTTGTAAAGAATTTTACTATTTATAAATAAAATTGAATTATTTGGATAAATTCCTTAAAATTTTAGAAAAAAATTGAATTTTTTTGAAAAATATTATTAAAAATTAGAAAAAATCGAATTTTTTCATAAAATTTTATAAAATTTGTATTAATTGAAATGATGATAAAATTGTATTAATAATAATTTAATTCTTGCAAACATTTTATAACGAATTAAGAAAAAAAATTGAATTTTTGCAAAGTTTTTATAACGAATTAAGAAAAAAATTGAATTCTTTCGTGAAATTTTTTAAAAAATGTTGTTGAAAAAAATTTATTGAATTTTAGCAAAAAATTTTACTATTTACAAAATAAATTGAATTTTTCCGAAGATAATTTGCATAATAATAAATGGAAGATCACGTTGAAAAATAATTAAAATTTGCAATGAATTTTAATTAAATTCCTTAAAATAATTAAATTTAGCAAAAGTTTTAATAAAAATTCTGAAAATAATTGAATTTTGCAAAGAGTTTTATTAAAAATTAAAGATAAATTAGAATTTTAATAAAATTCCAGGAAAAAATTGAATATTGCAAAGAGTTTTATTAAAATTCATGAAAAAAATGGAATTTTTCAATAAATTTAAAAAAAAAATCCTGAAAATTGAATTTAGCCAAAGATTTTTATTGAAATTCCAGAAAATAATTGAATTTTGCAATAAATTTAAAAAAAATTTCTAAAAATTTCTAAAAATTGGATTTAGACAAAAATTTAATTAAAATTCATGAAAATAATTGAATTTTGCAACAAATTTTAATAAAATTCCCTAAAATAATTAAATTTTGCCAAAAAAAAATTAGTAAACAAATTAATTAATTAATTGAGTTTTTAAAAAATATTTAAAAAATAATCAAATTTTTGATGAATTTTAATTATAAATAATTTCTCAAAAATTCTAAAATAGTAAATTTTAAAAAGTTTTAAATTACTTTGTCAGGGAATTACTTTTTTCAAAACTATTTTAATATTTTCATTTTTTATCGAATTTACTCTTGAAGATTATTCATTAAAATTTTTAAAAATTCAATTATTTTGTAAAATTTTCAATAAAAATTCTATAATAGTTAATTTTCAAAAATTAAAAACTATTTTTAAATAAAATTACCTCAGTGTCAATGAAGTGAACAGAGATTTTTTCTCCCTGATCTGATTCGCTTTTTGCGAAATTATCGAACGTCAGTGTAAAGAAAAAAGGATATTGTCTTTTTGTTGAATTATTCGTCGAAGAAGTTCTACTGATATCAGAAAGAGAAATTGAAAGATTTAAAATTGAAATTAAAGTTTCTCTTTTGTCAATTGTGATAAAATCTTTTTCTGACGTTGACTCCGCCATACACGAGTAACAATAGAATACGCCTTTTATTTTTTCGAAGTGCTGAAACATGTAAACTTTTTTAATATGTATAAATAAAAAAAAAGAATATTTAGTAAAATATAAAAAGCAGAATATATAAATAATGACAATATTTACACATTTATAACTTACAATTTTTTAAATTTACAAAATTTACTTACTTCTGTACAATCATCACATAAAATGACATAATTCTTGCACTTCTTGTGAAATTTTAAATCACCAAAATTTATTGAATTACACATAGGACAAGTGGAGTTTACTTTTACGAAATTAAGTTCAAAAGCGTAAATATATTTTTTTATTGCCTTTGTTCCCTTGATAGTGCAATTTTTCATTAGTAGATTATATTTTTTGTCTTCTGAAATTTTTGCCATTGAAACATTATCTAATTTGGCTTCAGATGTGTCTAGACTTTTTAATAAAATTTGTTTCACATCATTAATTTTCATCGATTCATTTGCCGATATCACTACAGCAAGAGGTGAATTTATCCTATTATTAATTGGCTTACAAGTAAATGTAAGTTTACTTAATTCATCACTATTTATCACCGTATCTTCCATTTCAATTGTCGTAACTTTCTTATTGTTCCTTGTCAAGAAAAAACTATTTTGTTTTGATCAAAATCTGAAAATATTTATAATTCCTTAGTAATAAGATTAAAAAAAATACAAAAATATTTTTGATTTTTGAATAAAAGAAACGAGTTCTGACTGCCGATTTTATATTTTAAGGTTATGAGATCGAATTTACTTTTTCGATTTACAAAAATAAAAATGATATTAGTACAAAGACTTATATATGAAAGTAAAAAAACTATTTAAATTAGTAGGTAAAAATTATATTTATTAAAATTTCGTTTAACAGAAATGACAATTACAAACCTTATTTTTGTTGTCGATTGTTGTCACATGTTCGAACTCTGCGCGATAAGAGAGAGAGAAATTTTTTGAACATCATCTCAAACTTTATGAGATAATCCGCAGATACTTGAGATAAATTTTAGATAATCTCTTCATAAAGAGATTATTTTTAATACAATTTTAATAACATTTCAGGAAAGATATCTCAAATTTTTTTTTAAATTTTAATAACATTTTTCGAAAAAATTCAATTATTTTCAATAAAATTTAAAAAAAATTTCACGAAATACTTAATTTAATTATTTTTTTTAAATAGAAAATCATTTCAAGAATTTAATTATTTTCAATAAAATTTTTCAAAGGAATTGAATTATTTTTAAATAATTTAAGAAAATTCTTCCCAAGAATTCAATTATTTTTATAAATAATAACATTCTTCGGAAAAATTCCATTTTATTTTTGTAAAAAATTTGTTTTTGACAAAATTTAATTATTTTCAATAAAATTTTTCAAAAGAATTAAATTATTTTCTAAAATTTTGTTTAATAAAATTCTTCGCAAGAATTTCAATTATTTTTATAAATAATAACATTCTTAAAAAAAAATTCAATTTTATTTTTGTAAATTTTTTTGTTTGTAAAAAATTTGTTTTTGACAAAATTCAATTATTTTCAACAAAATTTTAAAAGAATTTCAGGAAATAATAATTCAATTATTTTTTCTAAATAGTAAAATCGTAAGAATTAAATTCTTTTTAAATAATTGAAGTATTTATTTATTATTTTCGAAAAAATTCAATATTATTTTTGTAAAATTTTTTTTCTTTGTAAAAAATTTGTTTTTTTGCCAAAATTTAATTATTTTTAACAGAATTAAAAAAAAATTTCACGAAATAATTGAATTATTTTTTTTAAGGACCTAGTAAAATCGTTGCAAAAATTAAATAATTTTCAATTAAATTTTTAAAAAGAATTTAATTATTTTAAAATAATTTAAGCGAATTCTTCACAAGAATTTAATTATTTTTTATGAATAACAAAACTCATCATAGGAATTTAATAATTTTTAATACAATTTTAATAATGTTTTGCCAAATGATTCAATTATTTTCTAAAAGTTTAAAAAAAATTCTTCTCAAGAATTCAATTTTTTTCATAAATAATAAATTTATTCGAAGGAATTCAATTATTCTCATTTCAATAATGAAATTTGCAAATATTGTCAGATTGTCAAATAGAATAATTCAAAGTATTATCAGGTCGTACCAATTTATTATCAATTCTTTTTTAATCACAAAACATTGGGCGTATGCATTTTTGAATTGTGACCATGGGGTACATAAATAAATAATATGATTAAATTTGTTTTCATTTTCATTTTTCTGAAACAGTGTATATATATATTTTTTTTTATTTATTTTTTTTGACAAAACAAATGTCACGAAGAAAAGAAAACATAATTTTTTTTTTGGAAAATTTCCTTGATTTGCATAAACTGATTTTTTAAATTAACCGATTCCAAAAAAACAGAATGGTCAGATTAAAAAAAAATAATAAATTAAAAAGACGCTAGAAGTCACACTGCCTGACAATTGTTAAATTTTAGAATCAAATTTTTTACGATTCGACTCAATTAGAAAATACCGAAATTCCAAATATTTTAGGTGACATTGAATTATTATCGTTGATTTAAAAAGAAAATCAAGATTTTGAAAATGGAAAAATGATAAAAAAAAAACGATAAATGATACTAATCAGTTTAAAGGGTTAAAAATACGTTATTTTTTCAAAAATCACTCTTAAAATTCGTGATTTCGTTTTTAGACGAAATTAAGTATCTGCTGATTATCTCCCCATGAACTAACATTCGATTACAATAATTTTTCTTTTATTAACGTAGTACGTACTTTACAATTGTTTTTTTTTCTTAAGAATACAATACAAGCTTTACGCTTTCAAATTGCGCCCCTGATTTGATTTCATGCTAGAAAACAAAAAATCGAAAGAAGAAAAAAATAGAAGAAAAAAACTCTTTCTCATCAGTATCACTTACAGTCTCTTAAAAATAATTATTCATTGATATTTTCTACATATATAAAAAATATAATTGTAACGTTGAAACATAAAATATAGTCGACGGCGGTGACTTTCTAAATTCTAATCACATTACTCCATAATGACTTCTAATTTTTATTAACGCGAAACTTAACCATCGTTATTTTTCAAAGGGAAAAAAATTGACAAAAAAAAAATTTGACAAGAATCACACTTTAAGTGTCACACTTTAGAGGACACATCTTAAAAAATATTCTTTAAAAGAAAAAAGAAAAAATTAAACCAATTATCACTAAAATTAGAAAATTAAAATTTTCCCTCTTGTTTTCTTTTTTTTGCAAAAATAATAAAATTAAATAAAAAGTGAAAAATAATTCTGGTTTTAGTTTCGGAAAAATTTTTCAGAAAAACTTGTTAAATTTTATTTCTCAGAGGAAAAAAAAAATTATAGTCAAATTTTATGGCACGAACAACTTAATCGAATCGATGACTATATTCTTTTTTTTTTTTTATCGACGCTTTTGCAATTTTCTCGTATTCTAATATTGCATTTGCGTGAAATTTCAAATAAAATAATACTCAGATTATAATTAAAAAGTCAGTCTAATACGAAGAAAACAGCATAAATTGCTCAATGCAAATTATAATATATATATATTATACAAAAAAAAATTGTTCTTATAAGATAAAGATTAATATATTACTTCGAACGTATATTATTATAAATGATTTTTTATGACATGATTATTCATGCTTCGCTTCGGCAAAACGAAAAAAGAGAGGAAATAATTATTAAGGCACAGCCCCACACGAAATTTCGCGCCAACTATCTTTTTATTCGGGTTTTAATGAGTCGGGACTGAATTTAATAAAAATATTATTCTATTTTCTGATGGCAGAAAAATCAAAAAAAAAATTCACTGAAGGGAAAATAAATTTATATCCGATATAAATTTATCATGTAGAAATCAATTGCTAGCAATTTTTGATAGTACTCGAAATCAAAATACTAAGAAATCTAAGAATCTAATCAAATTTTTAATTTCTATTTTAATTTCCAGAAAATAAGAAAAAATTCAGAAAGTAAAATTTTTTTTTTTGCAAAGTACTATAAAAATTGTTAGCAATTCATCAATTTTCCTAAGATTTCTTTTTAAACCTATATTTTAGAGAGTTTAATAGATCACTGTTAACGCGTAAACTAAGAAACATTTCTACAATTTTGCCAATGCAGAAAACTTGTTTGTTTCTACAGGCTGGAACATTAATTTTAATCCTAGATAATAATTTTTCGAATTTTTCTTCTATTTTATTTATTGAAATTTGGAGCTTTTTTTCTCAAGAGAGAGATTATTTATTGCCAAATAAATAATATTAAAGAAGTGGAAATTTTTCCAAAGAAATAAAAAATAGAAGAAAAATTCGAGAAATTGTCAAAATAAACTATAGAAAACTAATAAATCACATTTTAGTGAAGAATATTTAGTTGACCATTGTTTGTGGCATAAATCATTCCTTGACCTGGTTGCGGTATCCATCGAATGCAATTTAAACTTATTTGTCCAGTTGTTTCTCTATTATTTTGTAATAATTCACGCAATAGAATCATATTCTCCTTGGTGTCCTTCATATCGATATCATTGCCTGGACTTGGATTCCTCCAATTGAGATAATTTTGTCTATCATCCTCGGGATGTGGCACATTAGGATCGCGACGATAAATATTACGTAAATTCGGTGATCCTGGTATATAAACAACTGTTCGACTACAGGCGTGTGTACGATCGAATATATTATAATATTTTGAATCAGACGAATCGACGGATACTTTTTTATCCGTTTCGGGTTCACGATTCACCAATTTATAAATTAATGCCATTGGCAATGGCCTCGATGGAAGATGAATTCTCCTCGATCCAATTCCAACGAGAAGATGTTGTCCCGCTGGTGACATTGATAATGAGACAATTGTTTGGTCCGTTACTGTTGAATAAACTCGTTCTCCCAAATTCTCCCATTGTAAACTGTAAACTCCTGAAATTTACAGAAAAAAAAAAAATTAATAAAACTAGTGACAAGCTTTACACTCAATAATTAATAAATTTTTTAAAAAGTATCAAAAAATAGCAGAGTTGCCACAAATATTTAATTTTATTTTTCCCTGACTTTTCCCTGATTTCCAGAAAAAAATTTCACTTTTTCCCTGACCATAAAGAATATTCTGATTCACTCTAAAAATTATTAGATACTCAAAAAAAAGGTTCTATTACATTTATTTACAAACTTCTTTAATTGTAAAATTATTTAGAAACATCAATAACTTCTTTCTTAAATAAATATTTAATCATTATTATTTTTCTGTAGGAATTAAAATTCTTCAAAATATTCAAATTTAAACCTTTTTGAAATTCAACAACTTATAAGAATATTATTACAAAACGTGAAGAAGACGATCACTCCGGAGTGATCGTCTTCTTCATGTTTTGTAATCATTTAAATTGCCATAAAATTTTTTAAAATAAGTTAATTATTTACAAAAGTCCTTAAAAAAATCCTTCGCAAGAATTCAATTATTTTTACAAGCAGTAAAATTTCACAAAAAAAATTCAATTATTTAAAAAAAATGTAATAAAATTCGTTGCAATAATTCAATTATTTTTATAAATAATAATAAATCGATTATTCGTTCATTCATTTTTAAATCAATTTTTATTAGAAAATTCTAGAAAAATTCAATTATTTAAATTAAAAAATAAATCATTTATTGAATAATTGAATGTTTGTTAAAATTGAATTCTCATAAAGAATTTTATAAATAAAATTTTAAATAATTGAATTCGTTTGACAAATTTTAATAAAATTTTTAATAATAATTTCATTTATCGAGGAATTTGATTAAAATATTGTATAAAAAATAATTCATAAAAATAATAATTAAATAAATAATTAAAATTTTCATAAAATAATTGAATGTCGGAGAAAAATTTTATTATTTATATAAATAATTGAATTCTTACAACGAATTTTATTGAAGTTTATAAAAATAATTGAATTTCGGTGAAGAATTTTATTATTTATAAAAATAATTGAATTCTTAAAAAGAAATATGTTAAATTTTTTTAAATAATTAAATTCTTGCGACGAATTTTCTAAAAATATTTTTAAATAATTGATAATTTTCGAAAAATTTTATGAAATTTTGTATTTTAACTAATTGAATTCCTGGGAAAATTTTATTTTTTATGAAAATAATTGAATTGTTTTGAATTAATTTACTAAAAATTGAATAATTGAAATTTCTAAGAAGAATGTTATTTAATTTGTTTTTGAATAATTGAATTCTCGTGAAAAATTTTATTATTTGGGAAAATAATTGAATAAGTGTGAAGAATTAAAGAAAGAATTTTTCAATTTTTAAAAAATAATTGAATTTATGAAAATAATTGAATTCTTACGAAGAATTCTATATAATAATTTTTTTTTAAATAATTGAATAATTGTGAAGAATTAAAGAAAAAGTTATAAATTAATTAAAAAATAATTGAATTTACGAGGAGAATTTTATTGTTTTTAAAAATAATGAATTCTTGCGAAGAATTTTGTTTAATTTGTTTTAAAATAATTGAATTCTCATGAAAAATGTTATTATTTGGGAAAATAATTGAATAATTGTGAAGAATTAAAGAAAGAATCGAGGAAAGAATTTATCATTTTTTTAAAAAAATAATTGAATTTCGGTGAAGAATTTTATTATTTATAAAAATAATTGAATTCTTAAAAAAAACTATGTTAAATTTTTTTAAATAATTAAATTCTTGCGACGAATTTTATAAAAATATTTTTAAATAATTGATAATTTTCGAAAAATTTTATGAAATTTTGTATTTTAACTAATTGAATTCCTGGGAAAATTTTATTATTTATGAAAATAAATGAATTATTTTGAATTAATTTATTTAAAATTAAATAATTGAATTCCTACGAAATTTTGACAAGAATTTTATTAAAATTCTTAAATATAATTGAATTTCGATGAAGAATTTTATTATTTATAAAGATAATTGAAATTTTGACAATATTTCTTTTTTAATTTTTGAACATAATTGAATTTCTGCGAAGAATTTTATTATTTATAAAAATTAGTGAATTCATGAAAAAATTTTATAAAAATCTTTTTATATAATTGATGATTTTCGAAAAATTTTATGAAATTTTGTATTTTAAATAATTGAATTCCTGTGAAAATTTTATTACTTATGAAAATAATTGAATTATTTCAAAGAAATTTATTAAATATTGAATAATTGAATTCCTGTTGAATTTTGACAAGAATTTTATTAAAATTTTTAAAAATAATTGAATTTCGATGAAGAATTTTATTATTTATAAAGATAATTGAAATTTTGACGAGAATTTTTTTTTTATTTTTGAACATGTAATTGAAATTTCGCGAAGAACTTTTGTAACTTTTGAAAATAATTGAATTTCTGTAATCATTTGTAACTTTTCCAAAATCCAATTTTTTTGTAGTATTTTTGACTGAAATTCTTCTATCAATCTAGTATTTATGAAAATTGTAAAAATTATTTATAAAATAATTTGTAAGTCATAATTTTATGATAGTTTTTGAAAAATTAAGTTATTTAAAAAGAAATTATTGTCAGAAATTGAAAAAATTGAAGGTTTTGTGTTAAAATTCGAGGTAATTTCATAATTTACGAGGCAAAAAGGAAAAAAATCCATAGTTTTCTTATGAATTTTAAAAATTCCATTTTTTCCAGTACTTTTAGTAAAAATCCCTGACTTTTCCCTGACTTCCCTGACCAAAAATATTTATTTTTATTCTAATCCTGCTTCTAAATTTTTGAAAAATTCAATTATTTTCTAAATTTTTAACCTAAAAAATACAATATTGTATTAAAATGTAATTTTTAAAAGTAAACAAATAAAATTATTCAATAAAATTTAATTTAAATTGTTCACAGGAATTAAGAAAATAAATTAATAATTTTCAAAGTAAAAATTTAAAAGTTATTACAGTTTTACAACAATTAAAATTTTCAATGATTTCGATTAAATAATCTTTTAAATTTAAAATCTTTAAATCTTTTTAGAATTAAATCTTTTAATCATTTCTAAAAAAAAATCCTACTATAACGCTTTTAGTATTCAATTATCTAAAACAACTGAAATTTGTTTTTAAATCAATTCTTAGTAAAAAAGTTCAACTGAAATTCAACTATTTAAATACAAAAATAAATAATTATATTAAATAATTGAATGTTTCCCAAAATTTAATTCTTATAAAGAATTTATTAATTTCTTAAAAAATAATTAAATTTCTGAGAAGAATGTTATTTAATTTGTTTTTAAATAATTGAATTCTCATGAAAAATGTTATTATTTGGGAAAATAATTGAATAATTGTGAAGAATTAAAGAAAGAATCGAGGAAAGAATTTATCATTTTTTAAAAAAAATAATTGAATTTCTGAGAAGAATTTTATTATTTATGAAAATAATTGAATTCTTGCGAAGAATTTTATTATTTATGTGAAAATAATTTTATTCTTGCCTTGAATCTTATTTAAATTTAAATTTATTGCTTTGTGAAAATAATTGAATTCTTGTGGTAGAATTTTATAAAAAGTTTTTAAATTGATTTTCTTCGGAAAATTTTAGGAAATATTTTAAATAATTCAATTCAATTTTGAATCGATTATAATTTTATTTGATTCAAATTTTAATCTAGCATATTTTCAATTCTATTCAAATTTTAATTCAATTTTCAACTGATCTAATTCTAAATCAATCATAATTTTTACTACTCAAAATAAATTTATAGAATAAAAATTTTAATCGATTCTGAAAAAATGATGAAAAGAATTTCTCTCATAATTTGCATTATTTTTTATCGGCAATTTTTTAAAATGCTCTTTCTGTGATTTTGAACCCAATAACTCGCATAGGTTTTAAAAATTTCTAATCATTTCAAAAATGTTAAAAACCGAAGAATGTTGAAAAACCTTATAAGTTTAAAATCAATTTTGATAATTATCAAATATTTAAATATTCTCTCACCAAGAGTAGTGGTAGCGTTGATTCTTCCGCAGGGTAACGCAGTTGCTAACATTGTTCCATCGGCGGAAATATCGATACTAGCATCGTTGTGAATTTTACATTCCCGCACAACAACATTTTTCTCGGCTAAAAAAATAAAATGTTTTTTAACAATAATTTCTCTTTTTCTTTTTAATAACAAAAAAAAAAATACTTTTTCATTAGTAATTAAAATATTAAAAAGAATTCACTTACGATTTGTAATATCCGGAATTTCACCATCAGAAAAATCCCAAGCTTGAACGCGATAATTTGGAATTTCCAAACCGTTAAATGATATGCCAACAGGTACTTGATCTGTGAATAATTAAAAATTAGAAACACTTTTTTTTAATTACGTATTTCAAATTTTTCCAAAATTCAAAATATACAACAATTTTAAATAGTCTTTAAAAAAACAATTCCAGGGTTTCTACAAATTTTTCCTTGCAAAATATTCCATGACTTGAAAATTATCTAGAAAAATATTAGAAATAGTCGATTAAAAATATCACTGAGAATTCCAAGTATTTATATTTTTTTTTCTTTAGTTGTTATAAAAACCCTGAATTCAAAAAGAATTAAAATTCACTTTTACCTCTGATATCAACATCATCGCTGTCATCATTGCCCGGATCTTGACCGCCACTTCCGTCTCCTCCACCGCTGCCACCGCCATTTCCTCCATTAGCTGATACATAGCGTGGACTTAAAAATCTAGAACCTCTCCAAGTAGCTTGAGCCAGAAACCATCTTCTAAATTGCGGAGAAAAAGCTGGATGCGCTCCCATTTCCTATAAAAAAGAATTAATTTGTTTTTTCATTTTTTGAAAAATGAAAATTGTTGAAAATTAGGTAATCATTTCCAAACATTAAAAAGTATTCCAAAATAGTTAATTTTTAGTAATTTCACATGACTTTTGTTTTAACAACTTCAAATTTCTAGTAATTCAGATGTAAACAATAAGTTTTTCGATACTTTTTAGAAAGAAAAATTTAAGATTTATTTTATTTTCCACAAGTAAATTTTTTTAATTTTAAAAGAGAACATTTTTGTTAAAAAAAATGTAATGATTTTTGTAACTTTTATAATTTTGAATCTAATTTGAATATAATTCTAGCAAAGAATTTGATTAAAATTTATGGAAATAATTTAATACTTTCGAAAAATTTAAGAATGCTTGAATTCTTTCGAAAAATTTTACTAAAACTGTATTCAAAATAATTTTTTTCCTGAGAAAAATGTTATTGTTTACAAAAAAAAAAATTGAATTCTTGCGAAGAATTTTATTAAAGTTTTGGAAAATATTTGAATTGCGGTGAAGAATTTTATTATTTATAAAAATAATTGAATTCATAAAATATTTTATAAAAATCATTTTATATAATTAATATTTTTCGAAAAATTTTATGAAATTTTGTATTTTAAATAATTAAATTCCTGTGAAAATTTTATTACTTATGAAAATAATTGAATTATTTCAGAGAAATTTATTAAATATTCAATAATTGAATTCCTGTGGAATTTTGACAAGAATTTTATTAAAATTTTTAAAGATAATTGAATTTCGATGAAGAATTTTATTATTTATAAAGATAATTGAAATTTTGACGAGAAATTTTTTTTAATTTTTGAACATAATTGAAATTTTGCGAAGAATTTTTGTAACTTTTGAAAATAATTGAATTTCTGTAATCATTCGTAACTTTTCCAAAATTCAATTTTTTTCAGTATTTTTAACTGAAATTCTTCTATCAATCTAGTATTTATGAAAATTGTAAAAATTATTTATAAAAAAATTTGTATGTCATAATTTTATGATAGTTTTTGAAAAATTAAGTTATTTAAAAAGAAATTATTGTCAGAAATTGAAAAAATTGAAGGTTTTGTATTAAAATTCGAGGTAATTTCATAGTTTACGAGTCAAAAAGGAAAAAAATTCCGAGTTTTCTCATGAATTTTAAAAATTCAATTTTTTTCAGTACTTTTAGTAAAAATCCCTGACTTTTCCCTGACTTCCCTGACCAATTTTACTTTCCCTAACTTTTCCCTGACTTCCCTGACCTGTGGCAACCCTGTTAAAAGAAAATCTTCATAAAATTCAATTACTTTCAACATTTTCAGTAAAAATTATTTTTAAAAAACTCCATTATTTTTAAGAAAATTGAAATAAATTCTTGAAAACTATTCAATTTTATTTTAAAGAATTTTAATAAAAATCTTGTTAAGAATTAAATTATTTTCAATACAATTTTAATTACATTTTCTCGAAAGAATGGAATATTATTGAAAAAGTTGTTGATATTAAATTACCTGATTTCTATTTCCAAAATTCGACGTACTTGGTCCGGCTTGTTCATTATTAGAATTGCTATTCGAATTATTAGCATTCTCATGACTATTTTGTGTATTCGTATTTGGCAAGTAGAAAGGTGGCGTATGTGGCGGTGTGGGTGGTGCGACTTGAACGATCGGCACATTAAATTCATGACGATTATTCGTGGCCGACGACGATAGTAGAGGATCTCTGCCAAAAATGAGTGGACGACTTCTCGCTATAAGATAAGGTGGTCGCGGTGGATAATTATATTCCCTCTCGGGAACCGGTCGACTCCTTCCATAATGATAATCGTGTCTCAATTGATAAGCAGGCCTCGCGAGTTGCTCCAAACGATGACTGAAATAATTATTATCCTCATATCTGTGACGTATCATTCGCAAAAGTTCACTTCGAAATGGCGAATATCTCGTGGGACCTCTTCGCGACAGAACCGGACGCGTTGGCAACGATGCCAATTGCAAAAATGCACTCACCGATCTACCCTCGTTATTGTCATTATTACGTTGACGTGATGATTCGTCGTTTTCATTCCTTCTTCGATCGTATTCATTCAGAAGTCTTCTGTATTCCAATCGATCCTCCAACGATCTGTTCAATGGTCGTTCGCTATTCTCGTTCTGATTATTTTGAATTCTTTCCACAATACTTTGAACTTCTGCCGAGAGGGCATTTTCCGATGTAATGTGACCAATGTTCTGTTCCGTATTTTCGTTCAAAGTATCAGGTCTTGAATCAGCTCTTGAACTACCCGCTTCGGTAAAGTAATTCGATTCTGTGCTTTGTCTCGACGTTTCTGGACGAGTGGAATTTTCCGTCTCGCGAGTTTCATTTCGTTGTTGCTGCGGTTGCGTTTCATTGTTACAACAGGGAATATGAAACAAAGTTCGTAATTCCTCGAGGAGATTGAGATAATTTCTTGATTCTTGATCGGACGAGTGATGAAGATCGTTGCTTTCTAAATTTTGTGAACGCTCTGCATTTCCTCTTGTTTCACTTTGTGATGTTTCGGGACGTTCTTCGTTTTCGAATGAATTTGGACGATTTCTCTCTGTCTGCAAACCATTGTCAATTCGACTATTTTGCCGCTCGTTGACATCGGCGGGTGGAACGGTTAAATCCGAATTGAAGGGTCCATATTGACTGGATTCTAGTTCACGGCGAGTTGTTATCAATTGCTCGAGTAGTAAATCGGTTAATTGAAGAGCGAGATGGAGGAGAACGTACATTTTGTAGATTTGATCGTAGAGAACGCTGGTTTGTGAGCCATTTCCGGGTCTGTTCTCCTCGAAGAATTGAGTGAGACTCTCGACCATTAAACTGAGGACTTGACGCGCTCGTAGACGAGCGAATTCGCCTATTTCCTCCATTTCTTGATTCTCAGTGGTTTCGCGTGTCGTTTCCGATTGACTGTCGCTGTCTGAACCGCGATTAATTTCACTGTTTCGAGCGAGTGCTCTTTGCTGACGTACCAATGACTCTAGACGGACGATCATCGCTTGAAGTGATTCGGATGTATTTTGAACTCGATTACGTTCAGTGTTGTTGTTGTTGCTGCTGCTGTTGTTGTTGCTGCTGTTGTTATTGTTGTTGCTGGTGGAGTTGTTTGCATTGTTACTGTTACTGCTATTGTTTGCTGAAGTGCCGTTCGTCATTCGGGAATCATTTCGCCGGAAGGGCCACGGTCTTCGATGCTCGTAATGCCGAAATGGATTGAATTGAGTTCTGGAACCACGTTTCATACTCCTTGGTCCTAGAGAGAGCAATCTTGGTCGCCTGAAAAAAATACAATAATGCTGTCAATAATTTGACAATTAATAATTCATTACAGGGAGTGTCACGAAAATAAATTTGAAATTTAGCATTGCAACGAAAAGTTTGAATTTTGATTTTTTCCAGACTTTTCCCCTATTTTCCACGGTTGCCACAGGTCAAGAAAAAGTTAGCGAATTTCATAAAAACCGTTCAAATTTTTCAATTGAAAAAAAACTCTGATTTTTAATAAGTATAAACTCTAAAATTATTACGAATTTTAAAATACAAAACCTAAAATTTCTTCTATTTCTGAATAATGAAACTTAATTTATTGAAAATAAATTATTATTATTATTATTATTATTATTATTATTATTATTATAAAAAATTATTTTTTGAAGAACTTTTATAAAATTGTTATTTCTAAAATATTCAGTGAATAATTGTACTTGAAAAATGAGAAAATAATTGAATTTTGGAAGAATTTGCTTTTAACTTTTTTTCTGGACTTAAAGAATATTCTTTTCAACTCTAAAAATATTAGATAATATATGTAAAAAATAATTGTTTTAGAGAAGAAATTCAGTTAAAATTTCTAGAAAATAATTGAATTTTCGATAAGTTACAGTTGTAATTTTTAGATATTGCATTCAATTATTTTCTAGAAATAAAATTTAAAAAAATAAAAGAAAGTTTTCATAAAATATGATTAAAATTCAATTGTTTTCAATTCAATTTTATGAAATTTTCGATTATTTTTCAAAAAACGTTTATGAGAATTTTTAATTAAAATTTTGTAAATAAATAAATTTTTTAAACTTTCGGTTTAAATTATAGTTCAAACCTTCAAAAATATAAAATTACTTCTAAAAATTTTTATTTTGACATTTGCAAAGTTCGATGACTTTTTTTCGACTATTAAAATTGCAAAAGATTTGAAATTCAAAATTTCCGAAAATTTAAAATTTGAATCATTTTAATTAAAAATTATAATAAATGTAGGCTTTTGCAAAAATTTTAATTCGTTTTCTTTGAAAATTAGTTTAAACTTTTGAATAAAAATTTCAATTGGAAAATTTTACAATAATTAAAATTTCGTTAAATTAAATTGAAAACAAATAAATTTTAATCATTTTTTAATTGAACTTTCTTTTATTTTTTTTAAACAATTGAATTCTCAAAAAGTTTTTAAAATAATCAAAAATAATTGATTTAGAGAAGAATTTCAGTTTAAATTTCTTGAAAATATTTAAATACTGCAATTTCTAAAAATTACTACTGTAACTTCTCCAAAATTCAATAAAGTTTTTAGAATTTTTAACGACAATTCTTTTCTAAATCAATTATTTTTAATAATTAAGAAATTTTTTAAAGAATTTAATTGTAAAAAAGGAGAAAGTTTATATAAAACCACGTTTTAAATTCTGTTGTTTTCAATTCAATTTTGTTTTTAATTATTGGAAAATTTTTTGATTAGAAATTATTTTTGAAAATAGTTAAAAAATAGTATATGGCTGAAGTCCGCAACGTTTTTAAAAACGAAAACAAAAATTAATGAGACGATATTTGAGGCTCCGGATCTTAAAAGGGCACTTTCCGCATAGACTTTACATGGTGAAAGTGCCCTTTTAAGATCCGGAGCCTCATTTATTAAATTGGTTTCAAATTAAAATTATTTATAAGTAATTAGCCTCTTGGAAAAAGTTAATTCTTTAAAAATTTTAGGTTTAGAAAAATTAGAGATGAATTAACTTGAAAAAAAATTCTTTTCTAATTTTTCGTTTTTAAAAACGTTGTGGACTTTTTTCTCATAAAATACTCCACATAAAACTAAATTCGAAGGTAAATTTGTAATTTAGTCAGGGTTGCCACAAATATTTAATTTTATTTTTCCCTGATTTCCAAAAAAAAATTTCACTGTTTCCCTGACCATAAAGAATATTCTGATTCACTTTAAAAATTATTAGATACTCAAAAAAAATGTTCTATTACATTTATTTACAAACTTCTTTAATTGTAAAATTATTTAAAAACATCAATAACTTCTTTCTTAAATAAATATTTAATCATTATTATTTTTCTGTAGGAATTAAAATTCTTCAAAATATTCAGATTTAAACCTTTTTGAAATTCAACAACTTATAAGAATATTATTACAAAACATGAAGAAGACGATCTTCTTCATGTTTTGTAATAATTTAAATTGCTATAAAATTTTTTAAAATAAGTTAATTATTTACAAAAATCCTAAAAAAAAATCCTTCCCAAGAATTCAATTATTTTTACAAGAAGTACAATTTCACAAAAAAATTCAATTATTTAAAAAAAATGTAATAAAATTCGTTGCAATAATTCAATTATTTTTATAAATAATAATAAATCGATTATTCGTTTATTCATTTTTAAATCAACTTTTATTAGAAAATTCTAAACAAATTCAATTATTTAAATTAAAAAAATAAATAATTTATTGAATAATTGAATGTTTGTTAAAATTGAATTCTCATAAAAAATTTAATCAATAAAATTTTAAATAATTGAATTCGTTTGACAAATTTTAATAAAATTTTTTTAAGAACAATTACATTTATCGAGGAATTTGATTAAAATATTGTATAGAAAAAAATTCATAAAAATAATAATTAAATAAATAATTAAAATTTTCATAAAATAATTGAATGTCGGAGAAAAATTTTATTATTTATATAAATACTTGAATTCTTACAACGAATTTTATTCAAGTTTATAAAAATAATTGAATTTCGGTGAAGAATTTTATTATTTATAAAAATAATTAAATTCTTAAAAAGAAATATGTTAAATTTTTTTAAATAATTAAATTCTTGCGACGAATTATATAAAAATATTTTTAAATAATTGATAATTTTCGAAAAAATTTATGAAATTTTGTATTTTAACTAATTGAATTCCTGTGAAAATTTTATTACTTATGAAAATAATGAAATTATTTTGAATTGATTTATTAAAAATTGAATAATTGAATTACTACGAAATTTTGACAAGAATTTTATTAAAATTCTTAAATATAATTGAATTTCGATGAAGAATTTTATTATTTATAAAGATAATTGAAATTTTGACAATATTTATTTTTTAATTTTTGAACATAATTGAATTTCTGCGAAGAATTTTATTATTTTTTTGAAAATAATTGAATTCTTACAACGAATTTTATTCAAGTTTATATAAATAATTGAATTCTTACAACGAATTTTATTCAAGTTTATAAAAGTAATTGAATTTCGGTGAAGAATTTTATTATTTATAAAAATAATTGAATTCATGAAAATATTTTATAAAAATCTTTTTATATAATTGATATTTTTCGAAAAAATTTATGAAATTTTGTATTTTAAATAATTGAATTCCTGTGAAAATTTTATTGCTTATGAAAATAATTGAATTATTTTGAATTGATTTATTAAATATTGAATAATTAAATTCCTGTGGAATTTTGACAAGAATTTTATTAAAATTCTTAAATATAATTGAATTTCGATGAAGAATTTTATTATTTATAAAGATAATTGAAATTTTGACGAGAATTTTTTTTTAATTTTTGAACATAATTGAAATTTTGCGAAGAATTTTTGTAACTTTTGAAAATAATTGAATTTCTGTAATCATTTGTAACTTTTCCAAAATCCAATTTTTTTTAGTATTTTTAACTGAAATTCTTCTATCAATCTAGTATTTATGAAAATTGTAAAAATTATTTATAAAATAATTTGTAAGTCATAATTTTATGATAGTTTTTGAAAAATTAAGTTATTTAAAAAGAAATTATTGTCAGAAATTGAAAAAATTGAAGATTTTGTATTAAAATTCGAGGTAATTTAATAATTTACGAGGCAAAAAGGAAAAAAATTCAGTTTTCTCATGAATTTTAAAAATTCAATTTTTTCCAGTACTTTTAGTAAAAATCCCTGACTTTTCCCTAACTTCCCTGACCAATTTTACTTTCCCTGACTTTTCCCTGACTTCCCTGACCTGTGGCAACCCTGTTAGTTTAATTTCAGTATCGATCCCTGCTTTCTATAAAATTCACTGACTTTTCTAAAACTGGGGCAACCTTATAGAAGTATGTTTAATTTTTTTGTGAAATTCCCTGTGTTCATTAATTAATGTCAAACCTGATGTACATTCTGCGTCCGTAACGCCAGACTCTTTGGTAAGTGTACTGCTTGCCGCGATTGTTCAAATTATTCGGCGACGAATCCATCGACAGAGCCGAATTTGAACTCTCGGATGTGCTCTCATTCTCTGGATTTGCTGAGGGATTTAGAGAATTTCTCATATTTCTTGACGAACTTGGACCTTCATCATTGAGTGGATCATTTGAATCAAGAAGTTGCGTGCTCGGTGGAATATTCACGCTCGCTGACAAATTGGAAATAAAACTCGCGATACTTGGCAATTGAACGGTCGCATTACTGGTCAAACTGGAATAAGTGTGATCACTCATTGCACTTGGTTGTGGATTCGGTGCATCGAGATCAATTGGTGAACCGTCCCACGTCTCACGTTCACGCAGTGCTTTCAATATTTCCAAAAGACGATTATTTCGTCTCATACGTCGCAATTCTGATTCGGTGGGTAATAAATTCGATAGACTTATATTTGTCGAGTTTTGTGATTGAGATGACGAGGAAGGTGTTTCTTGTGTTGGTTTTGGCATTTTTTGCGACGTACTTTCTGCTGATGTGGACGGTCGTTGTTCTTTACAATAAACACCATCTTTATATTGCTTCTTATAATTTTCAATTAATGTTTTTTTGAAATTTTTCGCTGACTCGTTGTTTTGGGTTTCATTTGAACTACTCATGGAACTTTGTGAATTTGAGGAAGATGACGTTCCACTTGTGGAAGGTTGTTGATCGGCATTTTCACCCTCAACTCTCAGGGTGAGATGAAGACTGCGAATTTGCCGCTGTAAATCCTCCCACATTCTTCGAACTTGCTGAAGTTGCACAATCTCTAATCTTGCACTGAAAGAAAATAAATTACATATCTTTAAAGGTTTCGCTTTAGTTAATTATTGGTAAAAGAAAAAGGAGCATAATAATAGTTATTGAAAAATTAAATTTGACAAATGAAAATCATCGTGAAATGTAAAACCATGATAACATGAATTTGAATTGAATTTGAAAAAAAAAAAATTGAATTGAAAAATAAAACCTAAAAAAGGGATTTTATAAATGTTTTATTTAAATTATTAAAAAAAAATGTTCACTTGAAATAAAATAAAATTTTATTGTTTTTTTTAATAGTTAAATCTGAAAATTCTCTCACCGGCACAATCGTTGCATGTTATCGATGTATCTACTGAGAAGTTGAATTCCCTGACGAACGCCAATATTATCACTGAGACTCTGATTCTGCGACAAGGGACTAACTCTATTCATTCTTCGATTTCGCTCCTCCTTGAGTCTCTTGGCTTCGGCACTATTATTATTATTATTACCCTTTCTAGTTGGCGGTTGTCTTCGTGAATTACGAGATTCATCGTCCTCCCGTGAATCATCATTACTCCTGGAAGTCGTTGCTCTTGCCTCTGGTTCCGCTCTCGTCTCACTTTGAGCAGTTTCCTGATTTGATTCCATTCGTCTCGCTTGATTCTCTCGAAGACTTCTAAACGGAAAGAGTGGCGGTCGCTCATAACGCGTTGAATTTATCGAAATTGGTGATAATTGATTTCTGTCATGATTACGCGACTCGGTTGATTGGACCCGATCGTTTGTATTCCTTCTGCCTTGTTCGTTGGAAAATAATTCATTATCACTGTCTCTATTCGATGGATTCAATTGTATCCATCGGCTCGTCCATCTTTGGAAACTTGAATTTGGATTTAAATTCTGATCCTCTTGATTTGAATCTGAATTACTGTTTTCCTCGAGTAACCAGTAGCCGTTGTCGGATTGCTCGCGAGCGATTTCCGCCGCCGTATGACTCGATAGATTTTCCGTTTGATTTGTTCGCTCTGAATTGAGACTCCTTTTGAATGAATCGAGAGCCATTTGCAATTCATAAGTAATCAAGCTTAATGTTCTTTGGTTTCTGTCGTTATTTATATTTTGATCAGATGTTGGATTCTCTGTTTGTTCGCTATTATTTGCCGTCGATGGATTGGCATTGCGATTTTCTGGTGGACTTGTGGAATTTTGTGATTGCCTTGGAATGCTGGGTTGAAAGGCGGATCTCGAACTTACTGTGAAATTTGAGGTGCCAAAAAGTTGTGATCGAACTTCGTTGAAACTTTCGTCACTGGACGGGGAACTGTCTTCTGAAAATAACATTTTTTTATTGTAAAAAAATCATTTTGTTATTGTTTTTTCTATTTTAATATTACATATTTACAGGGTTGCCACAAAAATTTAACTTTATTTTTCCCTGATTTTCAAACAGAACTTTGACTTTTTCCCTGACCCAAAAGAATATTTTGCTTCACTCTAAAAATTATTAAATATTAAGTAAAATGTTAGTAGACACCCTGTAATAAATTCTAAACATTTAATTTTTTCCAGTAATTTTAATAAAAATCCCTGACTTTTCCTTGAATCCCCTAATTTCCCTGACCTTTGGCAACCCTTAATAAAGTTTAAAAAAAGTTGAGAAGAAGTGATCACTTACCAGTAATTTCGATTCGTACTCGTGAATTGGAATTGTAGTTCGGATACCAAATGTGGGAACCCTCGCGACGACGTCGTCTTCTCGGCGGCTCATCATCCGTATCCGTATCGTCGACTCTCCTTCTATTCGTCCTCGAGTTTGATTGCGTTCTACTTCTACTGTGAGTTGAATTCCCACGGCTACTTCCCTCCCTGGGTGTTGTAGTTGTCGTTGTTGCTGTTCCTCTATTCGAATTCGATTCCTCAGCAGTATTCAAATTCTCCCGTGAATTTAAAAATCTATCGACAATTTCCCTGAGATAATCTTCATTTCGATTCTCCGTTTCTTGGCCTTGTTCCGTTCTACCAGAATTATTCTCCTCTTGAGTTCGATTAGTCTCCGATTCGTTACCTCTAGTTCGACTCTCATCACTCCTGTTTCTACTACTTTCTCCATTTCTAGAAGAAGGACGCAAAGTGTCATTAGATAACATTACGGAAATAGATTCAAGAAAATTTAATTGGGAAACTGCGGTTGCCTGATTGGGACGTAAAACTCCATTTGTTGATAATTCATCGCGAAGCATTTCAATTCGTGAACTTGTATTGGTGAGTTGAACTTCCATATTGTTGAGTGCTTCAATTTCATCGTTGAGTGCATTGCGAAGAACTTGCTGCAAACTCGTTGTTGTGTGCGCTTGTAAATGTTCACGTAATTTTTGTAATCTCGCGAGGCACGCACTATTATTTTCGGCTGTTGCATTTAATGCCTCGCGCAATATTTGAAGTGCAGTGCCAATTTCCTCTTGCTCGGCCCTTGCCATTAAAACACGTTGATATCGTTGAAGTTTCTCCAAACTTGTATTATTCGCTTGAGCACTGTAATTCAATCGACTTCGTACACTCCAAGCGGATGCTTGAGTCTCCAAATAATTTCTACTCGGCTCCCTTGTTTCCGTCGATTGCGAACTTGTTGATGATTCTGGCGCGTCCATTGGATCAGTTCCACGATCAATCTATAAATACACATTTTCAGTTTGCAATTAATTTCTAAAGTACAAATTTTATTCTATAAATTAGAATTGTCACAAAAATTTTTAAAAAAAAATTTTTCCTAGTGACAATTGTTATTTTTAATTTTTAAAGGAGCAAAATCGATGGTCGAAACTTTGGAAAAGTTGTCGAAAAATGAGAAAAAGAATCACTTTTTCAAAAAATTCAGGGCTCGAACCAGTGAAAGTATTTAAAAATACGGACATTACGGACCAAAAAAGAAAAATTACGGACAATTTATGAACCAATGACTGACAAAAATATAAACAGTCCGAGTCAAATAAGAGAACATTTTACTTAAAACAATAAATTAAATTTTTTCATAAATATAAAATATGAAGATATCGATAACTCCGAGTCTTCGACTCGGAGTGATCAATTTCTTCATGTTTTATAGTAATGACCGAGTTATAAAATCATTATCAATTCAATTATTACATTCAAGAATTTTTAACTAAAATTCTTCTTTAAATCGATTATTTTTTAATAATTTTCGAAAAAGTTCATTGACAATTTTCAAATCTATTTGTTTACAATATTCAATTTTACGAAATTTCGATTATTCGTAAATTCTTCAATTAAATATATAGGTATTAGAAAATAAAAACTTCACAAAATATATAAAAAATTCAATTAAACTTTTTCAAAAAAATTAATTTCCAAATTCAATTATTTCTGAAAATTCACGCTACATTGCTTTTAATATTCAATTATTATCCAAAATTTTAACTGAAATTCATTTTTATGAAATGAAAATCAATTTTTATTAGATAATTCTACTAGAATTAAATTATTTAAATTCAAATAAAATGCAAATAAATAATTTATTCAATAAAAATTGAATAGATTTTTAAAATTCAATTCCCTTGCAAAAATTCTATCAACAAATTTTTAAATAATTTAATTCTTTCGACGAATTTTAATAAAATTTTTAAGAATAATTACACTTCTCAAGAAATTCGAATAAAATTGTATTAAAAATAATTGAATCATTAAGAAGAATATTATTACTCTTGAAAATAATTAAATTTCTGCAATAATTTGTAACTTTTCCAAAATTAAATCTTTTTTTCGTGTTTTTAACTAAAATTCTTCTATAAATGCATTATTTTTAATAATTACGAAAATAATTGAATCTCTATATAAAATTTTATTATTTATGAAAATAATTGAGTTTCTGCAATATTTCTAATAATTTTTGAAAAAGTTCTTTAAGAATTTTCAAATTCATTTGTTTACAATTCAATTTCAGAAAATTTTAATTATTCGTAAATTCTTCAATATATTACAAAATAAAACTTGATATAATTTAAAAAAAATCCGCAATTAAACTTTCTCAAAAAAATTAATTCTACAGAATTATTAGTTAAAAATATTAAAAATTAAAATTTTCAAAGATTTTAATTTGAAACATTTTCAAAATTCAATTATTCAATTGATTCAATTAATTCAATTTCAGAAAATTTTAATTATTCGTAAGTTCTTCAATATATTACAAAATAAAAACTTGATATAATTTTAAAAAAAATCCGCAATTAAACTTTCTCAAAAAAATTAATTCCACAGAATTATTAGTTAAAAATATGAAAAATTAAAATTTTCAAAGATTTTAATTTGAAAACCTTTTCAAAATTCAATTATTTTTAAAAAATCCACGCTATAATGCTTTTAATATTCAATTATATTATCTAAAATTTTAACTAAAATTCATTTTTAAATCAAATTTTTCTTAAAAAATTCTACGAGAATTAGGTAAATTACAAAAAAAACATAATTAATAAATAATTTTTTGAATAATTAAATGTTTCTTAAAATTGAATTCCCATAAAGAATTTTATTAATAAATTTTTAAATCATTGAATTCTTTTGACGAATTTTAATAAATTTTTAAGAATAATTACATTTTTCGAGAAATTCGTTTAAAATTGTATTAAAAATAATTGAAATTCTGCAATGTGTTTTATTATTTAAGAAAATAATTGAATTCCTAAAAAGAATTTTATTATTTACGAAAATAATTAATTCCATGTAAAAAATTTATTATTTATGAATTATTATTGAATGATTGTGAAGAAATTTATAAAAAATTTGCAAATAATTGAAGTGAAGTTTTTATTATTTTATGATAATTAAAAGTTTGCGTAGAATTTTAACAATTTTTTTAAATAATTGAATTCTTTTGGAAAATTTAATTAAAATAGTAGATATTGAAAATCATTGAATTGAGGAAAATTTTTTAATTGAAATTTCGACAAGAATTTTACTAAAAATTTTAAAAATAATTAAATTTTGGAGATGAAATTAATTAATATTTAATTTTTAAAATTTTTAAATTTTTAAATTTAATTATTTCTAAAAATCCACGCTACATTGCTTTTAATATTCAATTATTATTTAAAATTTTAACTGAAATTCATTTTTAAATCAATTTTTATTAAAAATTCAACTAGAATTCAATTATTTAAATACAAAAATAAATAATTTATTGAATAATTGAATGTTTCTTAACATTGAATTTCCATATTGAATTTTATCAACAAATTTTTAAATAATTCAATTCTTTCGACGAATTTTAATAAAACTTTTAAGACTAATTACACTTTTCAAAAAATTCGATTAAAACTGTATTAAAAATAATTGAAATTCTGCGATAAAGTTTATTATTTATGAAAATAATTGAATCCCTAAGAAGAATTTTATTATTTTTGAACAATATTTAATTTTTGCGAAGAATATTATTACTCTTGAATATAATTGAACTTCTGCAATAATGTCTAACTTTTCCAAAATTAAATCTTTTTTTCGTGTTTTTAATTAAAATTCTTCTATAAATGCATTATTTTTAATAATTTTTGAAAAAGTTCTTTAAAAACTTTCAAATTCATTTGTTTACAATTCAATTTTACAAAATTTTAATTACTCGTAAATTCTTCAATATTAAATATATATTAGAATATAAAAACTTCAAATAATTTCAAAGAAATCCGCAATTAAACATTCTTAAAAAAATTAATTCCACAGAATTGTTAGTTAAAAAATTGGAAAATTCAGATTTTCAAAGATTTTAATTTGAAACCTTTTCAAAATTTAATTATTTTTAAAAATTCACACTGTAATGCTTTTAATATTCAATTATATTATCTAAAATTTAAACTAATATTAATTTTTAAATCAAATTTTCTTAGAAAATTCAACGAGAATTAAATTATAAAAAAACAAAATTAATATTTCTTTTCTAAGAATTAATAAATTAAAAACATTTCATTATTCTTTAAATAAAATAAAATACTTCCTCCATGAGGAAGAAATAATGAAATAAATTAGAAAAAATAAAAAATATTCTTTTAGTAAAAAATATTTAAAAATTAAAATCTTACCGTGTCTCTATTTCGAGAGATGGCACAGTATCTTCGAACAACCGATTGATATTGATCGACTAAATTTCGATAACAAAGATTTATCCTGCGCTCAGTTTCCTGGGCGTCATTGCGAAATAATCGCTCTCCCATTTGCGGCCACTCGTTCTCAATATTTTCCGCTCTGATTATGCTTCGATTAATTAGACTGAGTGCAAGAAGTTCAGACGTTGATAGTTGTCCATTGTTGGTATCGTCGGAGGAACGATTTTCATTTCTCGTTTCGTTTCTCGGATTAGTAGAAGCACTATTATTTGTATTTGTATTTGTATTTGGAGTTTGCTCGGCAATTCTCTCAACCAAACGACCAAATTCAACAGGATTTCCCATGCTGTTTGAACGAAAAATTGTGCTCGTCGAGGGTCGTCTTATTGGCGCAGAAACCACCGGAACCGACGCGTCTCTAAAAAAATATTTTTAATTTCCTATTCAAAAACAGTTTCTTATTGATTGTTAAAAATTGTTGCCTATTTAATTACTAAGAATATACTGCTAATAAATTTCTATCTAAAATTCTAAATGCAAAGGAAATAAGTTGTTTCTAAAAGCGACACAAACCAAAAGTTAGTAATACCAAAGGTTTTGAAAAATATACAAAATGTAAAAATGAAAATTAAATTAAATACAAATGTAAAATAGAAAAATGGCAAGAGAATAAAGTAGAAAGAGACTAAGTAAGAACAAAGAGAGTAAAACGAGCAAAATTATTATTACAATAAGAAAATTAGAGTTCAGGGTGGTCACAAGTTTCAGTTTATCAATCTTCCTGACAATTTACTGACATTAAAATTATTTTCCCTGACAAAATTCTTTTTACTGGAAAATACGAAAGTTTACGCAAAATTAGTAAAATTTAAAAATTTTAAAAATTTCTAAAAATTACAAGTACAGCCCTTCCTGAATTCAATTATTTTCTACAATTTTCAAATAATCTTCATCTCTTCTCTCTTTTAACTAATTTTCCGAAAGTTCTTTTAGAATTCAACTATTTAAATACAGGGCTCGAACTAGGTTTGTAAATTTGCTTCAAGTCCGTAATAATTTTTTTTTTTGAAAAACGGCCCGTAAAATCCGTAATTTGATTGAGAAAAGACGAAATGTCCGTAAATTGTACGATATAATTTAAAAATTTTGAAAAAGTTAGAAATGATTGCAGAAATTCAATTATTTTCAAAAGTAATAAAATTCTTCGCAAAAATTCAATTATGTTCAAAAAATTTTTTTAAATTCTCGTCAAAATTTCAATTATCCTCAGAAATAATTAAATTCATCTCCGAAATTCAATTATTTTCAAAAATTTTGATAAATAAAATACTTGGCAAAATTTCAATTATTTTAAAAAGTTTTCCATTCAATGATTTTCAATATCTACAATTTTAAGAAAATTTTCCAACAGAATTCAATTATTTAAAAAATAAAATTCTACGCAAACCTTGAATGATTTTCATAAAATAATAAAAATTGAATAAAAAAAATTTCAAATTTCACAGAAATTCAAATTGAATTTCTGTGAAATTTGATTGAAAATAATTTAAAAAACAAATTTTTTATAAATTTCTTCGCAATCATTCAATTATTCAGTAAATAATAAAATTTTTACAGGGATTCAATTATTTTCGTAAATAATAAAATTCTTTTTAGGAATTCAATTATTTTCATAAATAAGAAAACACATTACAGAATTTTAATTATTTTCAATACAATTTTAATCAAATTCCTCGAAAAATGTAATTGAAGTATTTAAAAATTTATTAATAAAATTCTTTATGGGGATTCAATTTTAAGAAACATTTAATTATTCAATAAATTATTTATTAATTTTGTTATTTTTATAATTTAATTCTCGTAGAATTTTCTATAAAAATTTTGATTTAAAAATGAATATTAATTTAAATTTTAGATAATATAATTGAATATTAAAAGCATTATAGCGTGAATTTTTAGAAATAATTAAATTTTGAAAAGGTTTCAAATTAAAATCTTTGAAAATCTGAATTTCTCATATTTTTAACTAACAATTCTGTGGAATTAATTTTTTTGAGAAAGTTTAATTGCGGATCTTTTTGAAATTATTCGAAATTTTTATTTTCTAATATATATTTAATATTGAAGAATTTACGAGTAATTGAAATTTTGTAAAATTGAATTGTAAACAAATGAATTTGAAAATTCTTAAAGAACTTTTTCAAAAATTATTAAAAATAATGCATTTATAGAAGAATTTAAGTTAAAAACACGAAAAAAATGATTTAATTTGGGAAAAGTTACAAATTAATTCTTCGCAGAAATTAAATATTTTTTAACAATAATAAAATTTTTTAGGGATTCAATTATTTTCACAAATAATAAAACTCATCTCAAAATTTCTATTATTTAAATACAAAATTTAATAATTTATTGAATTATTGAATATTTCTTAAATTTTAATTTCTTTTGAAGAATTTTATTCAAATTTTTAAGAATAATTGAGATTTTAGCGAAATTAATTTTAAATTATATTAAAAATAATTGAAATCCTTCAAAAAATTTTATGAAAATTGTATTTTAAATAATTGAATTTCTTTGAGAAAATTGTTTATTATTTATGAAAATAATTGAATTCTTTCAAAAAATGTTATTAAAATTATATTGAAAACAATTCAAATATTATAAACAATTTCCTTAAAATTATGTTTTTAAATAATTGAATTCTTTCAAAGAATTTTGTTAACATTTTTAAGAATAGTTGCATTCTTCGCGCAATTTATTTTAAATTGTATTAAAAATAATTGAAATCCTGCGATGAGTTTTCATATTTATAAAAATAATTGAATTCTTGCAACGAATATTATTAAAATTTTCAAAAATAATTGAATTTCTGATAAGAATTTTATTATTTATAAAAATAATTGAATTCTTGCGAAGAATTCTATAAAAATCCATTTAAATAATTGATTGTTTTCGAAAAATATTAGGAAAATTCTGTTTAAAATAATTGAATTCTTGTGAAAATTTTTTTATTCATGAAAATAATTGAATGTTTGTGAAGAATTTTATAAACATTTTTTTAATTATTCAACTCTTTTGGGAATTTTTTTTAATTAAAATAGTAGATATTAAAAATCATTGAATTATGAAAAATTTGTGAAAATAATTGAATTATTTGAAAGAATTCTATTAAAAGTTTTTGAATTGTTTTCAATGACTTTATTAAAGTTTTTTAAAACAATTTTGTTATTTCAACTGTTAATGAATTTAAAGTAGTGTAAATTCTCAAACATAGAAAAAAAGTAGGTATCTAAATAGTAGCAAATCGTAAAAAAAGTAGTAAATAATTAGTAGGTTTTAGTAGATGAGTGCGAGGCTTGCATTTTATACTTAAAAAAATGTGGTATTTTGTTGCAATATTTGGAAAAAAGTCAAAAAAGTCGCAATTTTTGAAAATAAGTTGAAAATAGTCTCAATATTCTTAATTTCCTTGACAAAAAATTTTTTTCCCTGTCATTTCCCTGACTTTACTAACAAGAATTTTGTTTTTCTGTAATTTCCCTGACTTTCCTGACAAGAATTTTGTTTTCCTGACATTTCCCTGACTTTATTGATTTTACTGACATGTGGTCACCCTGGAGTAGGTTTAAATTTCTAAATTCTACGTAGCAAAATTTTAAAAAATAATAATTGTGCAACTAAATAAAAAAAGCCGTGCTGATGATAACCTTAAATAGAACCTTTGTAATAGTCGCGGATCGTATTCGGTTGATTGGTTCCTTCTGATATTTCTTCCTTCAGTGAAAGGAATTCTCTCATCTAATATATCTCGATATCTATTTGAACTCGGCAACATTCCATGATTCCAGAGATGAATTGGAGGCGTTGAATGATAATTCAACGCCTGAGAGGAAATTTCGAATTCTTGCGATCTTTCTCGTACGAGACTGTAAAGTTATTGTTTTTTAAATTATTATACCATTCATTTAATTACTCTAGTTCTTTTTCTAAATGTAAAAAATATTCAATCTTCTCAACTTACCGGGGTATAGAACGGTACAATTGTTCTAAAGGAGGACGATCCCATTGTGATTGAGCAGGGGGTGCATTGGCAATTCCCGTGATTAGTTTTCTTCCTAAATTATCAAAAGCGACATACCTACGACAAATAAATTGAACTGAAACTCTTTCAAAAGTTCACAACTATAGGAAACAATTTCTTTCTAAATTAAAGGATTTTTTCAACATTCCTCAGCTTTCTCATGTTTTTTTAGATTTTGAATTCAAATAGACACCATTAAATGAAAAATTTTTAAAACTTCATGAAATATATTCCATTCAAAAAATTATTTAAATTTTGAAAAAATATGAGAAAGGTAACAAATTATCAAAACTGATGAAATTGGTGACAAAATTTTAAGTAAATGAAAAAAAGTGAATTGCTAACAATTTGTGAATCCTGCAAATGGAAAAAATAGAAAGAAAGGGGAAATATAATTCTAATTCGAAATTACATACCTAACTCTTTCTTTCTCGTGTTTTGTTGCGATAACAGCAAATGGTTCAGATTGACTCCAGTCCCAAAAATGAATTTCGTTGTACGTTGCGATTACGAGTAATCTTTCGGAAGGATGAAATGCAAGAGACGCGATTACTGTTTGACTGTCTGAGTTCCATACTTCACTTCCTCCCTGTTAAAAAAATCGTTAATTTAAAAATGTGTAAATGTTTAGAATCTAAAAATTAAATTTAAATTAAATTTCAAAAATATAAATTAAATTTCAAAAATTAATTTAAATTCAATTTATTTTCCCAAAATTTTTTAAAGTATAAATAAAGGACACTTTTTTTCTATTTAAATATGTTTAAAAATTACTATAAAAAAAAATATAATTAAACTTAAATATTTACTAAATTTTAGTTAAGAATTTATTCTTTTTAATATACTAAATAATTTTGCTTTTAAAAATACAATTTAAAAGTAGTAAAAAAGTATTGTCGTTCATTTGAACGTTTGAAACTTTAGGGACATTTTTAACTTTAAAAGTTAATTTAAATTAAATTACTCAATTAAGTTAATTTAAATTAAACTAGCATAATTACACGCGGGCAAGCGAGCGTGAAATTTTTAAGGGCCCTTTGTTAGTTACAAAAACTCTTTTTGAAATTTAATAAAAATTTATTATTTTCAAAAAAAGGAAATTTGACAAAAACTTCTAATTGTTTCAATTTTTAAAAATGTTTTCGTGAATTCAATTATCTTCAAAAAAAATTAATTACAATTTTTCAAAAACCTAATTTTTGTTAGAATTTTTACATTAAATTATTCAAAACTTCAGTATTCAGTATTTTAATTGAATTAAAATATTAAAAAAAATTACAATTGTGTAATTATTTTGTTTTAAAATATAATTATTTCTTAAAATTGCCGTTATTACACTTCAAATATTCAATTATTTTTCAAAATTTTAACTCAAAATCCACTTTTAAATCAATTCTTGTTAGAATTTTTTGTAAAATTTGATTTTCTAAATTTTTAGTTACAATTTGAAAAAAATACAATAATATTTAAGAATAATTTTTTAAAGTGAGAAAATGAAATCGTTTGAAATATAAAAATTTATTTTAATAAAATTTGAGAAAATATCCAATTTTGTCAATACTTTTTAAAAACCTCATTTTGTATTAATACAGGGTGGCCACTTTTTTTGTAAAAAAAAATTCACGGTCATTTCCCGGTCCATTCCCGGTCATAAATTATTTTTCCCGGTCATAAATAATAACTCTGAAAATAAATTATTCCATGAAAGATTGAAAGAATTTCCTGATTTTTAGACAAAACTTTGACTTTTTCCCAAACCCTAAAAATAATTTTGAACTTAAATAGATTTTTTGAAATAAATATTTAATTATTATCCATTATTTTTCCATATAGTAGGTATTCAAATTTCAAATCCTTTAAATTTGAATAATTTTTAAGAATTGCTACTGCAACTTATTAAGAATTATTTTCAAAATTTCAATTCAATTATATTCTAGAAATAACTAAAATATTTCTAAAATCCACTTGTTTACAAGACAATTTCATGAAATTTTGAATAATTTGAAAATTTTTCAATTAAATATTAGATATTTAAAAACATAACTAATTTGAAAAAATGTGAATAAAAATATTTTTAAAAACTAACTTATTCAGAATTTTTAATTAAAATCTTTTAAAATTCAACTTTTCTAAAACTTCAATTTGAAATTTTTTTAAATTCAATCTATAATAATATTAGTAATATTAATTTAACATTCTAAAATATAGAAAAATTTGCTTATGAATAATTGTAAAAAAAACTAATTGATATTAATGAAAAATACGGTTTTTTAATGATAAATCGTCCAAGCGCCCATCCTGCCGGAAGGACGTTCCGCAAAAAAGGCTTTTAAAAAAAGGGAATTCAACTTTTCTTTTCTGGCACTCTTTGGGATTAAAGTAGACGAAAAGACGAAAAAATCCATATTTTTGACTTTTTAAAATAATAATTTAAACCATTTTTCAAAGCCTTCAAACTTGCTATGTTTCTAAACAGTGAAAAAAACATTTTTTCGTAAATTTAATGTAAAATCCTCGAAAATCAATATTTTTTGACCGGACAAGTCTCTTTCTCTTCAGAAACGTTCAAAGAATGAAACCTAATTGTTCAATTAAAAAAAATTTATTTTTACTATTGTTCAGTATATGTGAGTAATTCTCAGGCGCGAGTCCCTTCGAAATTGGTCTATAAAATTAATATGGAAGCAGATAAATATAAAACTAAATATATCGTTGGAAAGGTAATGAAACAAGCTTTCAAATGATGTAAATATCGAGTCTTTAAATTTATAAACCTGGGCTAGGTAGTCTCTTAAATAAAGCGAAAAGCGTCCTGCCGGCAGGACCGGGCTTCGTCATTCTGTGACTAAAAATTATGTGAATTTTTGGAACATGGAACTTCTTCAAACTACCCAGCCCTTAGTTTTGAACTTACAAGCTCGATATTTATATGCGCTGAAAGCTTGATTCATTACCTTTCCAATGATATATTTAATTTTTTATTTATCTGAATCCATGTTAGTTTTCTTTAGTGATTTCGGAGGGACTCACCTGAGTCTTTTTCGTCCTGCCGGAAGGACGTTGGACGATCTATCATTAAAATTTATTTTCTAAGAAAAGAAATTTTATTTATTTTTATTTACTTTATTTATTATTCAAAAATTCATTTTTATAAATTTCGTATCACTTTTATTCTAATTAGTTCAAATTTTTAATAATTCTTATTTGTTTTGTTATAATATTAATTGCAAAAAAATTTTTAAATTGATTTATTTTTCATTATTTTATAGGATGTGAAATTTTTTCTCTTTGAAATTTTTTTGACAAATTTAATTAAAATTATATTTTGTTTAATTATTGTTAGAAATAGAAAGAATTTAAAATTAAATTTAATATTTTCTTTTTCTAAGTCTGTTACGTTGGACAACAAAATTCATAATTTTCTTATAAATTCTAGAAATTGAATATTTTTATAGTACTTTTTATAAAATTCCGACAAAATATAAATAGATTTTATAGAAGATCATTCAATCTTTTTTAATGAAATATAGTTAATACCTAAGTCTTAAAATAAATATTTCTATTTTTTCTCACAAAGTAATGTGTGTTTTAAAAAAAAAAATTCCAAAATCCCGGTCAAGATCAAAATTCACTGTCATTTCCCGGTTTTTCCCTGTCCAAAAAAATTCACTGTCATTTCCCGGTTTTCCCGGTTTCCCGGTCCAGCGGCCACCCTGTAATAACACTTTACAGTTTCAATTTTAATAAAATTCCCAATTCTTGAAATATTTTCTAAAATTTTAACTGAAATTCTTTTTCAAATCAATTCTTATTAGAAAGTTGTACGAGAATTCAATTACATATTTAAATAGAAAAATAACTGCGATAAAATATTTGATTAATTTTAAAAATTGCAACTACCTATGGTTTTTTTTTAATGGGAGAAAGAAAATTCATGGAATACTTAAGATTTTAAATAATTTGATATTTTTTGAATACTTTGGATTAATTTTTCGAAAGTAATTTCCAAAATATTTTTCTATAAAAAGTCGTTTATTTAATTTAGTGTTGTCACAAATATTTTATTTTCTATTTCCCTGATTCTTCACTGATTTCTAAATTCAATTAATCAAAAAAAATTCAATTATTTTCTAAAATTTTTAACAAAACTTCATTTCTAAATCAATTATCTATATTACTTTTTAATATTTTTCCGAAAGTTCGTCAAGAATTCAATTATTTAAATACAAAAATTCAATTTTTTATAATAATTGAAACAGTTCATTTTTCTTTTTAAAGATATTAAGGAAGAATATATTCAAAAATTTTAATAAATAAATTCGTAAAATTAACTTTTTAAAAATATTTCTAAATAATTTTTGAAAGACGCAATAGTTTTACAATTACATAACAATTAAATTTTTTTTTTTTAAATTGAAATTTTGTAAAATCTTTTTAAAAAATAATTTTAATTTAGTAAAATCTTTGAAAAATAATTAAAATTTGCAATGAATTTTAATTAAATTCCTTAAAATAATTAAATTTGGCAAAAGTTTTAAAATAATTTCTGAAAATAACTGAATTTTGCAAAGAATGAATTATTAAAATTATAGATGAATTAAAATTTTAATAAAATTCCAGAAAAAAATTTAATTTTGCAAAGAGTTTTATTAAAATTCATGAAAATAATTGAATTTTTCAATAAATTTTTTTAAAAAATCCTGAAAATTGAATTTAGACAAAATTTTTTATTAAATTTCCTGAAAATAATTAATTTTTGCAAAAAAAATTTTTAAAATTCCTAAAAATTGGATTTAGGATACAAAAAGTTTATTAAAATTCATGAAAATAATTGGATTTTGCAAAGAGTTTTATTAAAATTATAGATGAATTAGAATTTTAATAAAATTCCAGGAAAAAATTGAATTTTTCACTAAATTTTTTAAAAATTCTTGAAAATTGAATTTAGACAAAAATTTTATTAAAATTCCTGAAAATAATTGAATTTTGCAATAAATTTTTTAAAAATTCCTGAAAATTGAATTTAGACAAAAATTTTATTAAAATTCATTAAAATAATTGAATTTTGCAACGAATTTTAATAAAATTCCCTAAAATAATTAAATTTTACAAAAAAAATTTATTAAACAAATAAATAATTGAGTTTTTAAAAAATATTTTAAAAATAATCAAATTTTTGACGAATTTTAATTATAAATAATTTCTCAAAAATTCTAAAATAGTAAATTTAAAAAAATTTTAAATATTACTTTGTCAGAGAATTACTTTTTTCAAAACTATTTTAATATTTTAATTTTTTATCGAATTTACACTTGAAGATTATTTATTAAAATTTTTAAAAATTTAATTATTTCTAAAATTTTCGATAAAAATTCTATAATAGTTAATTTTCAAAAATTATAATAAAATACTTGAAAAAAAGAATTTATTTTTAATTAATTTTACTGAATTTCAATTATTCAAAATCTTTTTAATTGTATATTTCAAAATTTTAATTACACTAATTACTCTATTTTCAAATTAATTGTCAATCTTTTGACATGACGATTTAAGCTGTAAGAAAATTTGAAATCAAAAAGTCCTAATTTCACATAAGGGCAGAATATTCTGATTATTATTATTTAATTTAAAAATGAAATTCGAATTTTATATGGAAAATAAGAAAGAAAAGTGTTTGAACTTACACTGAGGTCCCAAACTCGTACTTGACCACCTAAACAACCGGAAGCTAAAATTTCACTTGAAGACGGATGAAAAGCAATACACCAAGGAGTTCGAGGATGTCCCGAAAGTATTCGGATATTTTTACCAGTAGTGAGGTCCGTTATGTAAATATTATGATTCCCATGTGTCGACGCGACTTTTGTACTGAAAAAAAGAAGCATTTATAATACATTAAAATATTAAATGTATCTCAAGAATTTTTTTTTTTGTAAATATACTAACCCATCCGGACTAAAGACCATTAAGAACGATCCCCTCGGAACACCCGGCAGGTCACATTTCTAAAAAGAAAAAAAATCGATTTTAGAATTATTTTCCCTATTCATGAAAATTAATATCTGAATTATTTTTATACTATAAATTATACAACTATATAAATTACTATAAACTAGCAAAACAACATGTGTGTAAAATTTTCGTTGCCATTGTTACTTTAAAAGATTTGCTTTCTGAAATTTAATTTAATGAAAATTCTTCATGTTTTAAAAAATATATAATTTTTCCAACAGTTTTTCTTTAAATTATATTATTTGAACAACTCGTATAGAAATCACAAAAATATATTTTAACAGCAACTTGAATGTAAGATATTTTTGATTATTATTAATTGAATTTAATAATTTATAATTTATTTACCTATATTTAATAATTAATAATAATAATCTAATAATTTATTTTAATAATTGAACTCTCGAGTACCACTGAAACAAACCTGGTAATAAGTTCCTTCTAAATTTTTTTTAAAATTCAATTATTTTCCAAATTTTCAATTAGAATTCTTCAAAAATACGATTACATTTCAAAATAATTTTAATTAAAATTTTTAATTTTTAATTTAAATTAATTTAAATTACCATACAATTTTTCAAAAAAAAGTTAAATATTTACAAAAATCCTAATATAATTCTTCGCAAGAATTCAATTAATTTTACAAATAGTCAAATTTCTCAAAAAAATGCAATTATTTTTAAAAAATGTAATAAAATTCGTTGCAATAATCCAATTATTTTCATAAATAATTAATAGATTATACGGTAAATCATTTTTAAATCAATTTTTATTAGAAAATTCTAGAAAAGAATTAAATTATTTAAATTAAAAAATAAATCATTTATTGAATGTTTGTTAAAATTGAATTCTCATAAAGAATTTTATCAACAAATTTTTAAATAATTGAATTCTTTTTGAAAAATTTTAATAAAATTTTTAAGAATAATTACATTTTTCGAGAAATTTGATTAAAATTGTATTAAAAATAATTCAAGAAGAATATTATTATTTTTGAACAATATTTAATTTTTGCGAAGAATATTATTACTCTTGAAAATAATTAAATTTCTGCAATAATTTGTAACTTTTCCAAAATTAAATCTTTTTTTCATGTTTTAAACTAAAATTCCGCAATTAAACTTTCTCAAAAAAATTAATTCCACAGAATTGTTAGTTAAAAATATGAATAATTCAGATTTTCAAAGATTTTAATTTGAAACCTTTTCAAAATTCAATTATTTCCAAAAATTCACACTATAATCCTTTTAATATTCAATTATTATCAAAAATTTAAAGTAATATTCATTTTTAAATCAAATTTTCTTAGAAAATTCTACGAGAATTCAATTATCTAAATACAAAAGTAAACAATAATAAAATTGAATTCCTAAAAAGAATTTTATTATTTACGAAAATAATTGAATCCTTGTAAAAATTTTATTATTTATGAATAATTGAATGATTGCGAAGAAATTCATAAAAAATTTGTGAATAATTGAATTTCTGTGAAATTTTTATTATTTTATGAAAATAATTAAAGGTTTGCGTAGAATTTTATTTTTTAAATAATTGAATTTTGTTGGAAAATTTTATTAAAATTGTAGATATTGAAAATCATTGAATTAAGGAAAACTTTTTAAAATAATTGAAATTTTGCCAAGTATTTTATTTATAAAAATTTTTGAAAATAATTGAATTTCGGAGAAGAATTTTATTATTTATAAAGATAATTGAAATTTTGACAAGAATTTTTTTTTAAATTTTTCAACATAATTGAATTTTTACGAAGAATTTTATTACTTTTTAAAATAATTTAATTTTTCCAACGATTTTTATTCAAGTTTTTTTTAAAAATAACTGAATTTCTGTAAAGAATTTTATTATTTATAAAAATCTTTTTAAATAATTGATATTTTTCGAAAAATTTTAGGAAATTTTGTATTTTAAATAATTGAATTACTTATGAAAATAATTGAATTATTTTCGAAGAAATTTATTAAAAAATTTGTAAATAATTGAATTTCTATGAAATTTTGCCAAGAATTTTATTAAAATTTTTAAAAATAATTGAATTTCGATGAAAAGAATAAAATTTTATTATTTATATAGATAATTGAAATTTTGACAAGAATTTTTTTTTTAATTTTTGAACATAATTGAAATTCTGCGAAGAATTTTTATAATGTTTGAAAATAATTGAACTTTTGGAATCATTTGTAACTTTTCCAAAATTCAATTTTTTTGTTTGTATTTTTAACTAAAATTCTTTTTTAAATTAATTCTTATTATCAAAATTCAATTATTTAAATAAAAAAACCAATAATTCGTAGAATAACTAATTATTTTTAAAAATTGCAACTGTACCTCTTTATTGACTTTTTGAAATTAGTAATAAAAAATTAGAATAAAACAACAGTGACTTCATCTGAGGACAAATTATTAAATTACAATCTAATAATTTAAAAATTCCTTTTTTTTATTGATTAAAAAGTAGAATTGATTAGAATTGGAAATTATTAAACCAGAGAGTAGGAATTAACTGCAGATTAAAAACGAAACAAAAATTAATTAGATATTGATCGAATTACCAATTCCTTGTGGTCCTTGAGTACAAGTTTTGTTTCTGCAATCGGTTCAAGCTCCCTTGTACTAGTTTTATGCGTTGTTCTCAATCCAAAATCACGAAGCATCAAATTTCGAAGAATATTTTGGGACTGAGTTGAGTGTATCATGTCCCGTTTCTTTTTCTCTTTTTCCATTTTGGCTAAAATTTTTTTGTTTACATTTATTTTTCACACAGGAAAAATTTTCTCATTAAGAATTTGATATCAAATAATTATCTTATCTATAGTGTATTATTAAAAAAATATGTTTTAAAATAGAAATAAAATCGGGTGTAAATAGGAGAAAAAAAACTGCAACACTTTGAAAGCAGTGGGGAAAGAAAAAATTTAAATACTATTTCAAAAAATCTAATCACTGAACGAAAGTATCGTAAATAAATATTCGACCTTGTTATTTGTATCTTATTGTAATCAAATGTCTCATTGTTTTAACATTACTTGCATCCTGAAGTAAAATATTTTCCTTTTTACTGTGTATAGTAAAAAGTTTTTCTTAAAAAAAAGGGAGAAATAGTTTTCCAATCACAAAATTTCTCACTGTAAATTGAATCTATCACAATTTGTAAGACGTGTGAATATATAATCGTGTAAAAATAATCACCCAATACATACATCTACAAGTGTCAAGAAAGTATCTTTTGTAGAGAATTGTTCAAGAGGGCAAACATGGTCGTTTATTCGTTAGATTATTCACAAAATCATTACTTCCATCACGAACTATATAAATTGTCCAATTGATTTGTTGACACTTTTGATTAAATTAAATACTCGAGAATAATGTTTAAATGAAATTGAATTTAATTAATGGGGGAAAAATAAAGAAAGATCCTCCCTAAAAAATCTCTTTACGACGTAGATGAAGCGTCCAGTGACATTTATTATCTCATTAATATGGTGACTATTTGACTTTTATACTCACATTTGAATTTTTCCCCAATGTTAAAGGATTGTTAAATAAAATTTAGAGTATCTTTAAAATTAATAATAATATTCTACACGACATATTTTAATAAATAACTCCGTTTGGCAAATGTACGAACATAAAAGTAAGGAAGGAACTGTCGGTAACTAACTCTATTTATGAGATATTGACTGTTGAGTCCATTCGATGTCCGCCAGGTGGCGACAAATGTACATTTCCCGAATAGTACAGTGACTCCAGTGACTCTCAATTATTTCTCTGTCTCTCTTCGATTTTTATTTATTTTCTGATTTTATTTTTAACTTATTAATTATTAAAAACAAGGTAATAACTTTTCAATAAATATTTTTATCTCGACAAAATAATATATACAGTTTTACTTTAGGTATCAATTTTGTTTCATAAAGTCATTGTCGTCATTGTTGTGTCTCTTGTGCTTGCCCCATTGTTCCGGTTGCCGGCAAAACAAGACTTTTTTTTTATAAATTTATTATTAATCAGTTCAGTATTTTCAAAAACGTTCAATTAATTCGAAAATTCTCCCTTCAAAGTATGTAGTAAGTTTTCGCTCAGTTAAAATCCGTGAAATATTCGCAGAGAAATTTGTTTTCAATTTTCGGATATTTTGCATCTTATTTTGAGGTTAGAAATCGCGCGCTAAGGAAAAAGCAGAAAAAGTTCATCAAATTTGCTGCGTGAATTCACAACAAACTTTGTTTATTTTAGTAAAAAAAAAAAGGGTAAACTTTGGTTTTTAGATATTATTTAATATTATAGTTCACGTGTATTTGGAGGTTATGTTATAAAAAATTTGAGAAATGTAATTTTTTATCTTATTGCAAATGTTGCAAATACACGTGAATGAAACTTTCGTTTTGTGATATTTTCGAAAATGAATAATATTTGTTCTTGTCTCTCAAATATTTCCTCTTTTTTTTGCTTTAAATTACAGTTTAGTTTCCTTTTTTCCCATAATCAGAATAATTTTACTATTTCTGAAGTAAATTTTTCTAATTTTCTATAAAGAAATTTACTTTGAAAATAACGTTTTGTTAATAGAAATACTATTTTGCGATAATTCAATTATTTTCATAAATATTAAAATTCTTCTCAGGAATTCAATTATTTTCAATACAATTTTAATAACTTTAATAACTTTCTCGAAAAAATCAATTTTCAAAATTTTAACAAAGATTCTTTAAAAGAACTCAATTAGGTATTTAAAAAAAACTTTATTATTTTAAAAAATTTTGATAAAGTTATTGAGAACAATTCAAAAAATTTTAATAGAATTCTTTCAAACGATTCAATTATTTTCACAAATTTTTCGTAATTCAATGATTTTTACAATATCTACTATTTTAATAAAAAAAATTTTCCAAAAGAGTTGAATAATTTAAAAAAAATGTTTATAAAATTCTTCACAAACATTCAATTATTTTCATAAATAAAAAAATTTTGACAGGAATTCAATTATTTAAAACTGAATTTTCCTAATATTTTTCGAAAAAAATCAATTATTTAAATAGATTTTTATAAAATTCATCGCGAGAATTCAATTATTTTTATAAGTAATAAAAATCTTCTCAGGAATTCAATTATTTTTTAAAATTGTAATAATAATCGCTGCAAGATATCAATTATTTTTGACACTCATTGCAGGATTTCAATTATTCTTAAAAATTTTTTAAAAATTCTTTGAAAGAATTCAATTATTTTAAAAAATTTTAAGGAACTTCTTTATAATAATTAAATTGTTTTCAATATAATTTTAATAAAATTTTATGAAAGAATTTAATTATCTACATAAATAATATACAATTTTCCAAGAAATTCAATTATTTAAAACACAATTTTCATAACATTTTTTGAAAAAAATAATTTCTTTAAAAAGATTTTTAAAAAATTTTTCTCAAGAATGCAATTATTTAAAAAACTTTATTAAAGTTCGGTGACAAAAATTCAATTATTTTCATAAATAATAAAATTCTTCGCAAGAATTCAATTATTTTTATAAATAATAAAATTCTTCTCAGGAATTCAATTATTTTTTAAAATTTTAATAATAATCGTTGCAAGAATTTAATTATTTTTATAAATATTAAAAATCATCGCAGGATTTTAATTATTTTTAATATAATTTTAAATGAATTGCGCAAAAAATTCAACTATTCTTAAAAATTTTAACAAAATTCTTTGAAAGAATTCAATTATTTTAAAAAATTTTAAGAAAATTCTTTATAATAAATGAATTGTTTTCAATATAATTTTAATAAGACTTTTTGAAAGAATTCAATTATTTTCATAAATAATATACAATTTTTAAAGAAATTCAATGATCTGAAACACAATTTTCATAAAATTTTTTGAAAAATTCAACTTTAATAATAAAATTATTAATTACAAATTTTTAATAAAATCAATTTTTTTAAGGAAATATTTGGGAATTTAATTATTTTTAAAAATGTTAATAAAATTCTTATTTAATTTAAAGAAATAATCAATTATTCTATTAATCATTTATTTTTGTATTTAAATAAGTGATTTCTCGTGGAACTTTCTAATGAAAATTGATTTGAAAATGAATTTCAGTTACAACTTCAGATTAAAATTTGAATATTAAAAATGCGTTATAATATGAATTTTTAGAAATAGATAAATTTCAAGAAGCTTTTAAATTAAAATTATTTAAAATCTTAATTCCAGGGAGAAAATAAATTAGTATTTATATATTTATTGAACAAAAAATAAAAATAAATAAAAACAATAATTTTTTGTATAATTCGAAAAATCCCTTTTTTTAAACTGAATCTACTTTATAAAAATTAAAATTACCTTTCTTTCTTAAAATTCCATGAAAAAATCATTGTGATTCTGGTAACATTTTACTTTTTGTTTCAGTGGATCACAATTTTGTAATGAAACGGGGAAAATTTATTTCAACCGAAATAAAGAAATAGAAATTTTGCAACAAAATGGAAAGTTTATTTCAATGAAAAACGATAATTAAATCTATACACTCGACGAAAAAAGGATAAACGGAAAGATTTATTCCAAATATGTAAGTTTATTTATATTCTATTCAATTTTTTTTTTTTTTTTTTTTTTGATATTCTAACTCTAAATTTAAAATATTTTACTTTAAAGGTACAATTAAAGCAAAAGTTATTTTATTTGCAATAAAATGGAAAGTTTATTTCAACGAAAACCAATGATTAAATCAAGGAGAACAAAAAGGAAAAGGGACAAAAACTATAAATATCTACGGAAAGATTTATTTCGAATATATGTAAGTTTATTTATATTTTATTCAATTTGATCCTTTTTTGTGATATTCTGTCTAAATTTAAAATACTTTATATAAACAGTGCAATGAAATGAAAGTAATTTTCTTTTTCTCACTTTAATTTTTATTAATTTACGAAACTGGAAAATATTTCTAAAATTTTTTAAACTGAAAAACAATATTGTCTTGAAAAATAGCGAATTAAGTTTCGGTTTGAATAATTTTTCGTTCAGTATTGAACAAATTAAATTTTTTTTATAAATTCGATTTTGAATTTTTGTGTCAGATTTAAAAATTTCTAAACATTTATAGAGATTTCCAATTATTTAGAGATTTAAAGACTGAGATATTTAGAGATTTTTGGATTTTTATATATTTGAATATTAGATATTTTTTGGACTTTCAGACATTTTGGAGATTTTTAGATAATTATATTTTGAATAATAATATATGTTTCATTCCCTATTCCCTAACTTTCATTGCTTTTGCCGGCATCGTTGTGATTGTGATAGCGTCTGGTTGGCGGTCGTCCAAAATATCGACCTAAACCACTGGCTTATGCGTTTGCCTGCGTTGCACTCTGAAAGACTCGCGCATTTGAATCAAGGGAATTTTCTCTTTCTAGTTATATACGTGCGTACAAATACAAGCTTATTTTGTTTCGCATGAAAAGAGCCCAACAAACGACCAACAGCAAAAATCAAATTTTTTTCTACTTTCTCTCTTGTTTTTTTTAAATCAAAGAAAATTTCTATAGTTTATAACTATTTAAATTTTTAATCAACTCTCTAAATCATTTAAAGCAGTTAAAATTTTAACTGATTCAGATTTAGAGAGAGAAAAAATTGATCTTTAATTTAATTACGGGAAATGTCAGGAAAACAAAATTCTTGTTAGTAAAGTCAGGGAAATGACAGGAAAAAAAATTTTTTGTCAGGGAAGTTAAGAAAATTGAAACATTTTTCAAATTATTTTCAAAAATTGCGATTTTTTTTTTACGATTATGATTTTTAAAATATCCACTATTTTAATAAAAAATTTTCCCAAAAGAGTTGAATAATTTAAAAAAAAATGTTTATAAAATTCTTCACAAACATTCCTTTTTTTTTAAATAAAAAAATTTTCACAGGAATTCAATTATTTGAAACAGAATTTTCCTAATATTTTTCGAAAAAAAATCAATTATTTAAATAGATTTTTATAAAATTCTTCGGAAGAATTCAATTATTTTTATAAATAATAAAATTCTTTTTAGGAATTCAATTATTTTTCAAAATTGTAATAAATAATCGCTGCAAGAAATCAATTATTTTTATAAATATTAAAACTCATCGCAGGATTTCAATTATTTTTAATACAATATATATTAAATAAATTGCGCTAGAAATGCAATTATTCTTAAAAAATTTAACAAAATTTTTTGAAAGTATTCAATTATTTTAAAAAAAAATTTAAGGAAATTCATTATAATAATTAAACTATTTGAATATAATTTTAATAACATTTTTTAAAAGAATTCAATTATTTTCATAAATAAAAAAATTTTC